ACACGTCACTGCTTGCACCTCATTAAGAGATAACATAAGCTTAATGTATACCACCGGATGGACTCCTCTACATTTACCTACGTAGTACCACATTCCGCTTTCGTTGAAATTTTAACGGAATTTCGGTCACATATGCAATGTATGTTAAAAATTGAATGCATTTACCTTGCCGGCGACGCCTCTCGACGGCTTGTCCGTTCCTCTCGCGGAGCTGTTTCTAGTGCGGCGCCTCCGGCCATGCGAGAGTGGCCTGCAGCCGTCGGGCCGGCCTTCACCGCATCAGGAAAGTGATGGAGGAAGAGGAGCTGTTGCAGTCTGCTGCTGCCGCGGCTGCTGAGGGGCACCCTGCCGACGGTGCGGACAATCGTGGTGGTGAGAGAGATCCGTATTCCCTGTTTAGAGCTCGGCCAGTCCAGGCGGGTGGTGATCGTAAACCGCCTTTGATGGTTAACGTGGTGCTTGACGGTCAGCTTATACAGACGGAGTTGGACACGGGGGCGGAGCTGTCCGTTTGATCTGAGCAGGAGTTTAAGCTCGTATGACCGCTGAGTGAATTCGACATTAAGCCAGGTGACAAAACTCTTAAAACTTTAACGGGGAAGTGTTGTTGTGCGGCTAGATGATGGTTGATGTCTGTTATCGGAAGCAGCGCGCACAGCTGCCGTTGATTGTGGTCAAGGGCGAGGGCCCGTTTCTGTTTGGTCGTAACTGGGGGTCACATTTGAAGCCTGATTGGGTGTTCATATGTTGGCTGACAAGTCACTGTCAGACCGAGAACGTCTTGACCAAGTTTCCAGAAGTTTTCAGCGGGGGTTTAGGCCGTTACCAGGGAGCAGAGGTAAGCATTTCTGTGGACCCGAACATAAAACCGACTTTCTCCAAGGCTCGCAATGTTCCACTGGCCTACTGCGACTAGGTGGAAGTGAGGCTGAACAAACAGAACCAGCACGGGCTTTGCGGGCCCGTGGAGTACAGTAGTTGGGTGGCTCCTTAAGTTGCCGTACCCAAACCCCAGGGCAAGATTCGCTTGCGTGGCGACCACAGGTTCAAGGTGAACACGGTCGCCAAAGTTGAGCACATCCGTTACCGTGTGTCGAAGAGCTGCTATCCGGATTAGCTGGGGGCAGTGTTCTCTAAGCTTGTCATAAAACCCGCTTACGATCAGACGGCTGGATGAAAAGTCATGTGAGTACTTGGCGTCAAACGCGTCGAAAGGTCTGCCGCAGCCCAAGCACCTAAGCCTCGGCAACGCCTCAGCGCCGTCTCCATTTCAGAGAACTGTGGGCACGCTGTTAACAGACATGGCTGGCGTCTGCGTGTTCTTGGATGACGTGGTAGTAGCGGGCAAGACGCTGGAAAGTCACGATGTGGCGTTGCGTCATGTTTTGCGCCGGCTGAGTGATGCAGGTCTCAAGGCAAACAGAAGAAAATATTGCTTTCGGATCGAAAGTGTGACATACTTGGGTCACGAAGTCAGTGGGAGAGGTGTGGAGACCACGGATGATAAGGTCGCGGCCATAATGGGTGCTCCAGAGCCGCGAGGTGCCCCGAACTTTGTTGCTAGTTGGGGCTAACCAACAACTATGGCAAATTTTTGCACAGGCTGGCAACCACGCTCTCACCGTTGTAGGTATTACCCCAGAAGAACCACCGTGGCAATGGACGACCGCAGAAGGCATTTGAGGATGCAAAGCGTCTTCTCACGAATCCGTCCGTCCTGGCTCACTTTGGCCTGTGACGCTAGCTTAGCCGGGCTGAGCTGTGTTCCTAGCCGGCAAACGAGGCAGGGAAGCGGCCGGTGGCTTTTTACTTGCGTTCGCTGAATCAAACCGAGAAGCACTATCGTCAGGCTAACAAAGAAGGCTTAGCAGTGATGGCAGGAATTAAAAGCCCCATACCTATCCGGCCGGCCGGCCGTTTTCGGTGCCGGCCGGCTAGCCCATCGCGCCCCATGCCTGCTGAGACGGTCCGTCTGATGGGGTTCCTGGATACCCCTCCAGTTATAGCAGATCAGATTCGCCACTGGACCTCTCGTGATTCTTTCCCGCCAGTCGTGGTGCAGCATGTCAGAAATAGCTGGCCGACAACCAGCGACGCGCTGTCGCCGTCTTTTCGGCCGTGTAAATATCGATTGTCTGAGCTGGATGTCCAGGATCGCCGCCTTCCGTGGCGATCTTGCCTGGTTGTCCACCTCAGGAAAGGGGAAAAATTCTGAAGTTGCATCATGACAGACATTGTGGCGAAACTCGTTCATTTGGACGCGTTCGGGCCGCAGAAAATCTTGGAAAATTATCCGGAATGTTGGAAAATCTCCCGGAATGATATTCGGCAATTCTGACGCGGAAAATTGTCCCCGATAATTTTGCGAAGCGAGGGAGAATTCCGAATAATTTTGAGAACATGGTAGAGATGGATAATCTGTTTTCGCTATCTGGACCATATGCGTCCTCGCCTAGATGTAACTGAAGTTAAGGTACCACCACACATTGTCAGCCAATCGGACCCAGAAGCGACCGATGCTTCGGTGAACGCGCGACCAGCCTCTGGTGATCCCCCGCGGGTATCGCGTTACATCCCGCGCCAGCAGGAAACGTTGCGTCAGCCGGGCAGGGTGCGGTGTTCTCACGTGTTTAATGTTGCATTGCACCGGGTAGCATGTCACGTTTGTTATGGAGGCTGGGTGCGTTGTTCCTTTGCAGTTGTTGTGTTTTGCTCAGGCGCTTCATGAACTTGTAAGAATCCGAGATGGCGGATGTCACAACGCGGTGCCTGGCACCGCCTCTGCTCGGCCGACCTCGGCCGGGCGTCCACGCCGCAGGTTATGAGAGGCGGGGCCGGGCCGGCCACCCGATCAAACAGACAACTGAAAATGTGACGCCTGCGTGTTCAATTCAGATACCACACGATAAGGGGTACAGAAACCCAGTTCGCTCGACAATGACGTCATCAACAGCTGGCACGTATATGCGCTAGTCACACTTCCTCAAGAAGACCTGCCGCAAATATCAACAGCACTGCCGGTGAGGATGGGGGCCCAGGGACGGGCGATCGCATTTCAGATTTATACCAGCAAATGAACGGACTTGCGGTATGAGCAGCATGCTTTTCCGACGCACTACTCTTGAAATAACATATCGTCCAGATATCAAGAAATGGTATGATTAGGGCCCATTTTTTGATACCAGAAAAGTAAGACGTCTGCTTGGGAAGCACCCTCTTGGGTTACACGAGTCCAGGTAAAGGAGGTCCCATAGCCGGGCTAGACAGTAGTTAGGCTCGGGAGAACTTGTTCTACAGCAAGAGACCTGTTTTATGTATGTCAGGAGGTCCATTGTTGTTTTAAGGAGGCAACTGCTGGCTCGGGAATCCCTTGTAGTGAACTGGGATGCTCTGCACTGGGTTAGGAAGCGCCCTCTATATTTAGGAGGCCTCGTTTCTGGAGTATGAGGCCCCATTTTGTGCCTTAGATGGCTGCAGCTCTGCATCAGGATGCCCTGTTTTGTGATATCTAGGCCCCTCAGCTAGATGTGAAGACCCCTTCATGAATGGGGTGGCATGCCGTTCTGGTATAGGAGGCCCTTCTTTGCATCAGGAGGCAGTGTTCGTCATTTGAATTGTTTGGTGGATGGTTAGAAGGCTCCAATTGTGTGTTTTTAATTGTTGACAAACTTAACATGGATATGATGAAGTAAACAGTTTGACAAAGGAGCACATGCCCTTGGTAGCCCCCCCCCCCCCCTTTTGAACATAACACTGCCCAGGAGGCCCCTGTAGGAAGTCCCTATGTAATGTGGGAGGCCCTTTAACATTTGTGCAATCCCCAACTAAAAAATTTGTGGCTACATGTGGCATATGGCGGTTGTTTAGGGCGCCTACGTGCCAGGCAGGTGGGAGTCACATCAGAGAGTTGGCCTGGGGTGGTGACAGGGGCATGATATGTTGGGTTGCCTCCCACATTATATGATTGCTATTGTTGTTATTTGGAGGTGTTGGGCAAATACTCACGGAAACACCTGACTTAGTGTTTGGTCGGGCTGTGAGAGCGGACAATAGTACACCATACCCCTAATTGGAATGATCATTAAGGAGGTAGGGTTGGCATATTGACAGAAATAAAGTCATTTAGATGTTGATTGGTGTGAACTAGATAGTGGGGAAAAGGTGGGATACCCAGCAATGTGGGAAGGATTGGTGTTATATAACATTGAGATTTTGATAGAATTGGGATATTAGTCAGCCAGTATATAACTGACAGGTATTGATGCAAGTACTTTTATGGACATGACAATTTTTTAGCATGTCTTGCATTGTTTTCAAATGTTGCTCAGGGAAAGGGGCATGGAGAGGACCTGGAAGATACAAGATATTTTGGCACCTCCTCATGTTTAAAACAGCTTATGTTGTGAATGTTTATGTGCACCAGTCCTGTTGCAGCATGTTTCTTGTGTTGCCAACCACAGATCACAACCATTGTGAGGGTATCAGATTATGCTGTGTCACATGATATGCTGCCTGTGACCCACTCCAGCCTTGCTGAACTGAGCCTTAGGTCCTTGATCACTGGTCTGTGATCAGTAGATGTGTTGTTTCACATCACATCACACAGCACCAAACTTTGAACAACCATTCAGCATCCTCTGCATGAAATTACGGTCCTGACCCGGCCCACCTGACAGTTTGCGCCTTCCCAGCGAGCTTGCCAAGGCCGGCTGGGGGCAGCACCACCATGTGGTGGCCAGAGGTGCTCTGGTCGCCGGACGCTGCCTACGTGAGCTGGCTGGCGGTGACGGCGGCAGCCGGGCCGCTCTTTCGCCGGCTGCCCTCCGCCGACGTGCGGCGCCGGCTCGGGGCCCTGTTCGGCCTGACGCTGCTGGCGCTCACCTGCCGCGAAGGCGCCCTGCACCCGGTGGTGGCGGCGCTCGGCAACGTGCTGCTGCTGCGGCTGGTCAGCCACAGGTGAGATGGTGGCTGCAGCTGGTCAGCCACAGGTGAGATGGTGAATGCAGCTGGTCAGCCACAGGTGAGATGGTGGCTGCAGCTGGTCAGCCACAGGTCAGACAGTGGCTGTGGCTGGTCAGCCACAGGGGAGCCTGCTTTGTAGCTGGTCAACCACAGGTGAGATGGCAGCTGCAGCTGGTCAGCTAGAGGTGAACCAGCAGCTGTGGCTGGTTAGCCACACATGAGCTGGCTACTCGCCTCTGACTTGCCGCCTGCAATGACTGTTTACCCGCGGGCGCTCATCTGTGACTGTTCATTGTGACGGGTCTCTCTCTGGTCACATCTGACTGCTTAAGCTGTCTACTGTCTAAAAGAACTCACCCTAGTCACTGGTGACTCAATCCTTTTGATCAAGTGGGAATCTTCATCTGTTCACCCGCAGCTACGCATCCACACCACTCACCATAGTTGGCTTTCTCTGAGTGCCCACATGAATCTGGGGGACTCTGCACTTTAGTTGTGTCATTAAGTTGTGTATATCTTTGCATGTGTGTGTATGGAAATGTTTGTATATGTATTGGTAGGCATGTATGCATGTATGTCCATGTGTATGATGTCTAACAAGGTGTATTAATACATATTCTTCCATTTGCTGACTATTCCATGATCCACTATTTTGACGCCAGCTGAAGAACAGCTGCAGGTTTCAGGCAGAGCCTTCAGTAGCAAAGCAGCACATCTGCCAACCACTTGTCCATTCTTCAGGTATGTCCACCTGGTCAGCTTCGGCTTCTGCTTTGGCTACCTGGCGTTTGTGCGCCTGCTGGACGCCTTCGTCCACCCTGTGTCGCCGCTCCTGAACCTGGTCCAGATGCTCACCAGTCTCCGGGTGAGTGAGCTGCCTGGGCTCGGCTGGACTTCCGACCCTTCGTCTGGCGTCATGCCGGTCCTGCCCGCTCCGCTGTTCTGTGAGGTTTTGATGTCACCGTTGTTTGCGGTCGGGTAGTGTAGTGAATTATGAGCAGTGCAGGTATTCTAAGATGTATTCAGTGTTGGAATGTAGCCGCGCCTGGGCTGGCGATGGTGATGAAAGTCTGAAGCGAACAACTAGTCATGGAGTGCGCTCCCTTGGCGCATTCTTTCCAGAAACGTTTCGGCAAATGCAAGGAACTAACACTAAATATCGTACACATTGACAGTGTTTTTCGTCGAGTGCACATTTTTGGAGCATGTCGATTGGCTTGCTGAGTGGCGCCGCTTTCCTTGTGCCGTCACACGCGCGCGGACTGCCTCCGTCCAACCGAGCCGCTGCGCGTGCCCCAGCTGGTGGGACTGGCCTTCGAGGTGCACAACAGCTGGCGGCTGGCCCGCGAGGCCAAGAGGCCCGACCTCTCGGACGAGGCCCGAGCTGAGATGACCTTCACGGCGGTGGCGCCGTCTGCCGCCGACCAGCTGTACTACACGTTCTTCTACGTGGGCATCATGACTGGTGGGCGCACTGTCCGAGCGTGTTATAGTCGTCTGCCGCCTTCTCTGCGCGTTGTAAGCAATGCCATCGTCGGTTTGGTTTTGTGCAAACGCCGCGACCCAGTATCTGTTCACATTCTAACCATCGCTGATTTCGACAGACTTTGGCGTTATCCAACAGAACCACGATGCAGCAAATGTTGCTTCAGATAGCCATGAAATTGCCGCGCCTGTGGCCCTCCCGCGTGATGACTGGGTGCGCATCAGGGACACGTGGCGATGAAATATCACGAGTCCCCCGCATCCCCAGATCGCTATCAAATCCGTCACCAAGGCACGTGCGGAAAAGCCAGCAAGATCTGTTCTGTTGCCTTGTTCCTCGGGGCGAAAGCGTACGTGTCCCACCGTGGCACGGGGGTCGGCTGTGCCGCAGATCTGCATTAAAGCACGGGTGTGCTCTCCATGTGGTCCACTCGAGCTGCGTTCGCAGCGCTGCGAGGCCGCACCACACGCGCGTCTGCCGTGCCGCAGGCCCGTACTACACGTTCGTGACGTATCGCCACTGTGTGGCCGGCACGTTCTGGCCGTTCGCCGACTGCTGGCGGCCGGCGCTGCGGCGCGCCCGCCTGCTGCCGCTGTACGCGGCGCTCTTCCTCCTACTGGGTCACCTCTGGGCCATCGAGGTGAGGCGGCCCGGCTCCGGCTCCGGCTCCGGCTCCGGCTCCGGCCGGCGCGCTGCGGCTGACCGGCGCGGTAGTCATAATGACAGTCGCAATGGTTGCGTTAGTCGGACAGTCACAAGTGGTGCAGGCGGTGCCAATCTGATGCGGCGGGGCGGCTGTCAGGCTTGCCGTCTGGACCGTCCGTTTGCGGTCCGTCGTGTGGTGTGATGGTGCGGGGCGATGATTGTGTGTGGTGAGAGGGTGTGTGGTGATGACAGTGATGATGTTTGGCGGGCGCCTCGACTGCCAGAGACCGTATTTTAGCGCCCTTGTCATCGGCGATGGCAGCTTCTGCGACACTCCTCGCCCTGGCGTGCTGCGCCGCGCGCCGCGGCTCCCGGCCGGCGCGCGCGTGCGCGGTGGGGCCGCGGCGGCGGTGCGCGCTGACCCGCCTGCCGCCTCTCGCCGGCAGTACGTCAGCTCGGACGCCATGGCCGCCCGCCCCGTCTGGTACCGCGTCTGGTACATGTATCCGGTGTTCGCACACTTCCGCATGCGCATGTACATCGGGTTCGTGCTCTCGGAGCTCGCGTGCATGGCGCACGGACTGGGCGCGTTCCCGGCGGCCAGCGAGGCCCGGCCCGGCCGGGGACCGACTCGACACGCGGCTCTGCTTCGGCTGTGAGTGTATGCACTTGACACTATGTAACGCGATGTACTTTGCTGAAGGATCATGTCGAAGTAGTACGGTATAGAACGATCGATGTATGGATTAGGTGCCAGTGGTGGTGACGGATGTCTTGACGCTGATGATTGTGACGGCTTTGCTCATGTTGCTGACGTCGACACTGCTCGCGCTGCTATAATTACTAATGCGTGTAATCGTGATAGATTTTTTTCTATAGACACGATAAAAGGGCCATGTTTTCCATGATCCACTCTGTAATTGTGAAAGATTCTGTTCTATAGACAACAATAGAAAGGCTATGTTCTCTATGGCCCACTTTCTTCCATGGCACGTGACGCGACGTGCCGTGACGTGCCGTGCTGTGCCATGACGTGACTTGACCTGACCTGATGTGACGGGACGTGACGTGACGTGACGTGACGTGCCGTGCCGTGCCGTGCCGTGCCGTGCCGTGCCATGACGTGACGTGCCGTGCCGCGCCGTGCCGTGCCGTGACGCGACGTGACGTGACGCCTGCCGTGCCGTGCCGTGACGTGACGTGACGTGACGTGACGTGACGCCTGCCGTGCCGTGCCGTGACGTGACGTGACGTGACGTGACGCCTGCCGTGCCGTGACGTGACGTGACGTGACGTGACGCCTGCCGTGCCGTGCCGTGACGTGACGTGACGCGTGCCGTGCCGTGCCGTGACGTGACGTGACGTGACGCCTGCCGTGCCGTGCCGTGACGTGACGTGACGTGACGTGACGCCTGCCGTGCCGTGCCGTGACGTGACGTGACGTGACGTGACGTGACGCCTGCCGTGCCGTGCCGTGACGTGACGTGACGTGACGTGACGCCTGCCGTGCCGTGCCGTGCCGTGCCGTGACGTGACGTGACGCCTGCCGTGCCGTGCCGTGACGTGGCGTGACGTGACGTGACGTGACGTGACGTGACGTGACGCCTGCCGTGCCGTGACGTGACGTGACGTGACGTGACGCCTGCCGTGCCGTGCCGTGACGTGACGTGACGCCTGCCGTCTGACGGCGCCCGGTCGCCGGCAGCATGGAGGACCCCGCGGCGCTGGCGGCGGCCCGGTACGACTTCGAGACGGTGCACAACATCCGGGAGGACAGGGTGGAGCTGGACGTGACCATGACGTCCGTGCTGAAGCAGTGGAACACCACGGTGCAGTACTGGCTGTACACGGTGGTGTACCGCAGCGTGCCCGGCTCCAAGGTCGTCAGGTGAGGCGGCCTGAGCGAGGCTGGAGAACTGGGGATGGTGGCAGGTCGGGGCAGGGGGAACAAGGTGGTCGGGTGAGGCGGCCAGAGCGAGGCTGGAGAGCTGAGAATGATGGCAGGGCAGGGCAGGGCGAACAAGGTATTAGATTTAGATGGAAGTGGAGGTAGGGCAGGGACAGACAGATACGTTGTGAGATAGGGACCAGAGAGCAGCAGGGAAGTGGGGATACCGAGACACCCGCGTCCCTCCGTTCCTACGCCTGTGTTTGGAGATTATGTCCATATCGAACAAATGTCTTGCCCTTGATGTACTCAACTTGCGATTTCGCATGCTATCGCATCAGTAGCGACATGCCATTTCTTGACGTGTAATTATCTTCCTATTTCCTATCCACACCTATTTCAACCTGAGTTACCTACAACGCGTCACTGGCAATGACCCACGCTCCACTGACCCCGCTGCCCTGTGACCCCGGCCGGGCCTGGCGTGACCCCAGGGCATCGCTGACGATGCTGGTGTCGGCGTTCTGGCACGGCATCCGGTCCGGGTACTACCTGTCGCTGCTGGTCTGCCCCCTGTACATGGCCGTCGAGGATGTGTGGGACCGTCTGCTGCGCCGGCGGCTGTCGCCTCAGGTAAGATCTCGCAGAGCAAGCGGCTCCTGTCTCGGGTGGGATCTATGGGAGTGCCTCTCGTCTCTGGTGGGATGCAGAGAGCGGCTCCTGTCCCGGGTGGGATCTGTGGGAGCGCCTCTCATCTCCGGTGGGATGCAGAGAGCGGCTCCTGTCTCGGGTGGGATCTATGGGAGTGCCTCTCGTCTCTGGTGGGATGCAGAGAGCGGCTCCTGTCCCGGGTGGGATCTGTGGGAGTGCCTCTCATCTCCGGTGGGATGCCAGAGAGCGGCTCCTGTCTCGGGTGGGATCTATGGGAGTGCCTCTCGTCTCTGGTGGGATGCCAGAGGGCGGCTCCTATCTCGGGTGGGATCTATGGGAGTGCCTCTCGTCTCCGGTGGGATGCCAGAGGGCGGCTCCTGTCTCGGGTGGGACCTGTGGGAGTGCCTCTCATCTCCGGTGGGATGCCAGAGAGCGGCTCCTGTCTCGGGTGGGATCTATGGGAGTGCCTCTCGTCTCTGGTGGGATGCCAGAGAGCGGCTCCTGTCTCGGGTGGGATCTGTGGGAGTGCCTCTCATCTCCGGTGGGATGCCAGGAGCGGCTCCTGTCTCGGGTGGGACCTGTGGGAGTGCCTCTCGTCTCTGGTGGGATGCCAGAGAGCGGCTCCTATCTCGGGTGGGATCTATGGGAGTGCCTCTCGTCCCCGGTGGGATGCCAGAGAGCGGCTCCTGTCCCGGGTGGGATCTGTGGGAGCGCCTCTCATCTCCGGTGGGATGCCAGAGAGCGGCTCCTGTCTCGGGTGGGATCTGTGGGAGTGCCTCTCGTCTCTGGTGGGATGCCAGAGAGCGGCTCCTATCTCGGGTGGGATCTATGGGAGTGCCTCTCGTCCCCGGTGGGATACCAGAGAGCGGCTCCTGTCCCGGGTGGGATCTGTGGGAGCGCCTCTCATCTCCGGTGGGATGCCAGAGAGCGGCTCCTGTCTCGGGTGGGACCTGTGGGAGTGCCTCTCGTCTCTGGTGGGATGCCAGAGAGCGGCTCCTATCTCGGGTGGGATCTATGGGAGTGCCTCTCGTCCCCGGTGGGATGCCAGAGAGCGGCTCCTGTCCCGGGTGGGATCTGTGGGAGCGCCTCTCATCTCCGGTGGGATGCCAGAGAGCGGCTCCTGTCTCGGGTGGGATCTGTGGGAGTGCCTTTCGTCTCTGGTGGGATGCCAGAGAGCGGCTCCTGTCTCGGGTGGGACCTGTGGGAGTGCCTCTCATCTCCGGTGGGATGCCAGAAAGCGGCTCCTGTCTCGGGTAGGACCTGTGGGAGTGCCTCTCGTCTCCGGCGGGATGCCAGAGAGCGGCTCCTGTCCCGGGTGGGATCTGTGGGAACGCCTCTCGTCGGTGGTTAGGGTCTAGAGAGTGACTCCGGTCTGAGGCGAGAGCCCTTATAGCGGCCGCGATCTTAGGCGAACCCCCTCCCCGCCCCTCAGAGCCGCCCTGATCTGGGATGAGAACTTTGGGGGTGACCCCCGTTTCGATTGGGGTGTCTCGCAGCCGCTTCCTTGGTACATAGTATTGCTGGGAGCCACTCCTGCAGCATGTGACGTCTCTGGCAACGGCTTCGGGCTAAGTTGACCACAGACGTCGTAATGCAACACGGCCCACGGTGTAACAGTGGAGTCTTTGTGGAGTGCATTATCATAACTTGTGTTCACACTGAGCTTGCTCCGGGACCTGGACATGCCTTCGGCATGGTGGTTTTCTATGTGCGTGCTTGGACGTGTTATAACGCATGCCAAGCACTCGGCAATTGCTCCGATCCCACGCCGCCATTTCGCTCCCCGATGCGGTTGGAAGTCGGCCGCTCAGCCAGGCCGTGACCGGCCGCGCCGCCGCTGTGCTGGTCACAGCGCCGTGCTGGTGCCAGCTGCGTGAGCTGGCCAGTGCCGGTCCCTGCGCCGGTCCGTCCCGGGATGCTCGCGCGCTGGTCCGCACTGACGGCCGCCCGGTGCCGACAGCGCGTCTGGCTGTACGACGCCGTCACCTGGCTGCTGCGCGTCTCCATGTTCAGCTACCTGAGCATGGGCTTCCTGCTGCTGGGCGCCGAGCCGACGCTGGCCTACTGGCGCTCGGTGTTCTGGTGCGGCCACGCGGGCGGCGCCGCCCTGTACGCCGTCGGCCTGGGGCTGGCCTGGGTGTTCGGACCGGTCCGCTCGCAGCGCGGCAAGGTCGACTGAGCCGGCCGCGGCGCCGCCGCTCGGCCACACGCCGGCCGGACCGAGCGCCGGAGTCACCACGTCGGCCGGCGAGGTGTGAGACCGAGCGCTGGAGCCGCCACGTCGACCGGCGAGGTGTGAGACCGAGCGCTGGAGCCGCCACATCGGCCGGTGACGTGACACCAAGCGCTGGAGCCACCACGTCGGCCGGCGAGGTGTGAGACCGAGCGCTGGAGCCGCCACGTCGACCGGCGAGGTGTGAGACCGAGCGCTGGAGGCGCCACGACGACCGGTGAGGTGTGAGACCGAGCGCTGGAGCCACCACGTCGGCCGGCGAGGTGTGAGACCGAGCGCTGGAGCCGCCACGTCGACCGACGAGGTGTGAGACCGAGTGCTGGAGCCGCCACGTCGACCGGCGAGGTGTGAGACCGAGCGCTGGAGGCGCCACGACGACCGGTGAGGTGTGAGACCGAGCGCTGGAGCCACCACGTCGGCCGGCGAGGTGTGAGACCGAGCGCTGGAGCCGCCACGTCGACCGACGAGGTGTGAGACCGAGTGCTGGAGCCGCCACGTCAACCGGCGAGGTGTGAGACCGAGCGCTGGAGTCGCCACGTCGGCCGGTGAGGTGTGAGACCGAGTGCTGGAGCCACCACGTCGACCGGCGAGGTGTGAGACCGAGCGCTGGAGTCGCCACGTCGACCGGCGAGGTGTGAGACCGAGCGCTGGAGCCGCCACGTCGACCGGCGAGGTGTGAGACCGAGCGCTGGAGTCGCCACGTCGACCGACGAGGTGTGAGACCGAGCGCTGGAGCCGCCACGTCGACCGGCGAGGTGTGATACCGAGCGCTGGAGCCGCCACGTCGACCGGCGAGGTGTGAGACCGAGCGCTGGAGCCGCCACGTCGACCGGTGAGGTGTGAGACCGAGCGCTGGGGCCGCCACGTCGACCGGCGAGGTGTGAGACCGAGCGCTGGAGCCGCCACGTCGACCGGCGAGACGTGAGACGTGGGACGTGACGTCCAGACAGACCCGCGGCTGCACCGAGCTGTGAACTGATCCGAATTCTATGTCTGTGGGCGCCGCGGTCAGCTGCCGTACCCTATTCGCAATCCCACGAGTGTTTTCTATGGTGCATGGACACCACGTGGGTTTCTGTTCCGTTGCGCCCTGCTTACTGTGGACACAATGTCAGCTATGGGGTCGATAGGAGCAGCTTCAGCCGCATTACAAAACGCATCGTCTGTTTTCGCGAACACCCAGCGATCCTGAATGAATATAGCAGCGCGGTTCAGCCAGTCTACCGTGCCGAATAGAACCAGGACGGAGCATAGTCAGCTCGCGTGCCCCTCATTGGCCCGTGCTCGCCGAATCGCCACCGAATCGGGGCCGTGCGATGGCGATGCCCTCGCGCGCTGCGGGGGACCTCGCCCCGTCCGCCTGCACCAGGCTCGGCTGGGAAACCCCGGACTGCCGACTGTGACCAGGCCTGTTCATTGTCGTGTCAGTGTCGTGTCAGCCGTGTCAGTGTCATGTGCGCAGTTTAGTGATGGTTTGAGATGGCGGCTGGGCCCGGGCAGCCCGCGCTGCCGTCTGATCTCGCGGCTTCAGGTCTGGTCGGGCCACGAACAGACGATAGCCTCTCGCGCCTTTCACTTGTCTTGGACCAACATGTATCGGACGGCAGGGTAAGTGATCCACAGCGGCGCCTCGACCGCTGCGTCATGGTGATTGGGCCCGTCGCATAGGGTGGAGGCGCGTATCGAGCTTTTGATTGTCACACTTCCAGGCAGGCCGCGGCAGCCGGCTTCTCTCTGTGTCCGGTTCCGCGCTCCCCGGCCGCACCGGCAGGGCAAGCGCTGAGGCCCAGGGGAGCGCCTGTCACCTGTCGGTTGATGCGTGGTGCGGGGAGTTCAGACTTGCCACGCGCTGACGGGAGCGGGGCGCCGTGGCCGGCCGCGGAGACCGACCCCGTTGGCAGATGGCGATTGGATCTCTGGCTCGGCGCTCCCCTGGCGCACCACGGGAGCGCGCCGGACCTGGCGCCCACGCCCGGTCAGACCGGGCGGCGCGGCGCGGGCTACGCTCCCGACCAGCATTGCACGGCCGGCCGCCGGCGGGCAGTGGCAGGTCAGGATGTGTGCGGACGGGTCCCCCCCACACCCCGGCACCTGTCCACGCGCACCGGCGGGCAGCGGCAGGTCAGGCTGTCCGCGGAGGCCCCCAACCTGTCCCCGTCCGCCGGTGGGCAGCGGCAGGTCAGGCTGTCCGCGGAGGCCCCCACACCTGTCCCCGTCCGCCGGTAGGCAGCGGCAGGTCAGGCTGTCCGCGGAGGCCCCCACACCCGTCCCCGTCCGCCGGCGGGCAGCGGCAGGTCAGGCTGTCCACGGAGGCCCCCACACCTGTCCCTGTCCGCCGGCGGGCAGCGGCAGGTCAGGCTGCCCGCGGAGGCCCCCACACCTGTCCCCGCCCGCCGGCGGGCAGCGGCAGGTCAGGCTTTCCGCGAAGGCCCCCAACCTGTCCCCGTCCGCCGGCGGGCAGCCCCTCAGGACACGGCGCCACAGGCCATGTGCGGAGCCGGCTGTACTCTGGGCTTGACCGTAGCGTCACGACCTCTCAGCCGTCCGAATCATTAGGTGTTGAGGATCGTATGTGCCATCACACGCAATATCCTGCGAGCTGCTCGCAATGCCACGTGTGGAACATAGCGCGCTGCTTTGTCTGACAGCTCGCGTCGTGGTCTGCGCATCATTCTGAGCACGTCTCGTTAAATATGTTCCATGACGGTAGGTGTGCTGTCGCTGTGTGGCAATAGACATAACCGTGCATCAGTGTCGTGGCTGTATTTTATAGATATCGGCGACGCCGTCTGACCAGCGAGCAGTGTGGTGCGGTAAACGGGCGTGGGCGGTGTTTTGCTGCTGATTATCCGATGGTTCCTGCTGTCGTCAGTTGAGCGAGGGGTTCGGCGCGGTGGCAGTTCGCCAGTTCCACCGTTTTCTTGATTAAAGGTGGCGGCAGTCGCCCTCCCTCCATCAGGGGTAGCGGAAAGGCACGGGTTCATCACACGCAGCGACTGGTTAAAGCGTTTATTGCGTGTACAGCGCTCGATGGCACCACGTAATCAGAGCCGACGGGAGTGTCGCGACCGGGCCCGACGGCTTCTAATGTCCGAGTTCCCATGAAATAACTCGCTGTTCACTCCTGACTAGCGGATGGCACTACCGGACTACGGCTAGGATACGGGGAAGGACTGACCATCGCGCCTTACAACTGCTAAACCGACGCGGGGAATGTCGGCTCTCATGGGGCACCAGCACGGTGTCTGCGGACAGCCGCTCTGGGCACGGAGCTGGACGAGCCTGGGCAGACAGCGCCGGCTGGGAGGGAACGACACATCGCACGCAACCGTATGGAGTGTTCGTCAGCACCCGTAATACAATACCGCCAGTTTCTAATAAAGCTCTGATTAAGTAATCTATTTGTTCTGAAGACGTGCGGCCGGCTATCTAAACTAACAGACTAGTGACAGGCAGTTGCTACAGCACCCACAGGCTAGCTGTCTGTGTTCCCTAGCGTGGCCGTCACTGAAAAAAAACGGAGAAGAGCTGGCAGCCGCGATCGCCAGCTTTCGGTCGTATCGTATTTGAGAGGGAATGCACATACGTCATGCGAGGGAGGATGCCGGGTTTGATCAACATCACAGGCAGACGTATGCTCTTTACGCCGTCCCACTACGCGGTTCCAACAGCCACTCATCCTAGCCCGGTGGAGACAGCGGCAGAGCCAGGCGACCTTTTGCGGTAACAGCAAACTCGCCAGAGGCCAGAGAAACTTCTAACGCTGACACGAACCTTGCCAGAGCACCTCTGACGGTGACACGAGCCTTGCCAGAGCACCTCTGACGGTGACACGAGCCCCGCCAGGGCACCTCTGACGGTGACACGAGCCCCGCCAGAGCGCCTCTGACGGTGACACGAGCCCCGCCGGGCACCTCTGACGGTGACACGAGCCCCGCCGGGGCACCTCTGACGGTGACACGAGCCCCGCCAGGGCACCTCTGACGGTGACACGAGCCCCGCCGGGCACCTCTGACGGTGACACGAGCCCCGCCAGGGCACCTCTGACGGTGACACGAGCCCCGCCAGAGCACCTCTGCCGTTGACACAAGCGAGCCCCGCCGGGCACCTCTGACGGTGACACGAGCCCCGCCAGAGCACCTCTGACGGTGACACGAGCCCCGCCGGGGCACCTCTGACGGTGACACGAGCCCCGCCAGGGCACCTCTGACAGTGACACGAGCCCCGCTAGGGCACCTCTGACGGTGACACGAGCCCCGCCAGAGCACCTCTGACGGTGACACGAGCCCCGCCGGGGCACCTCTGACGGTGACACGAGCCCCGCCAGAGCACCTCTGACGGTGACACGAGCCCCGCCAGGGCACCTCTGACAGTGACACGAGCCCCGCCAGGGCACCTCTGACGGTGACACGAGCCCCGCCAGAGCACCTCTGCCGTTGACACAAGCGAGCCCCGCCGGGCACCTCTGACGGTGACACGAGCCCCGCCAGAGCACCTCTGACGGTGACACGAGCCCCGCCGGGGCACCTCTGACGGTGACACGAGCCCCGCCAGGGCACCTCTGACGGTGACACGAGCCCCGCCAGGGCACCTCTGACGGTGACACGAGCCCCGCCGGGGCACCTCTGACGGTGACACGAGCCCCGCCAGGGCACCTCTGACGGTGACACGAGTCCCGCCAGAGCACCTCTGACGGTGACACGAGCCCCGCCGGGCACCTCTGACGGTGACACGAGCCCCGCCGGGCACCTCTGACGGTGACACGAGCCCCGCCAGGGCACCTCTGACAGTGACACGAGCCCCGCCAGCGCACCTCTGACGGCGACACGAGCCCCGCCAGGGCACCTCTGACGGTGACACGAGCCCCGCCAGGGCACCTCTGCCGCTGACACAAGCGAGCCCCGCCAGGGCACCTCTGACGGTGACACGAGCCCCGCCAGGGCACCTCTGACGGTGACACGAGCCCCGCCGGGCACCTCTGACGGTGACACGAGCCCCGCCGGGGCACCTCTGACGGTGACACGAGCCCCGCCAGGGCACCTCTGACGCTGACACGAGCCCCGCCAGGGCACCTCTGACGGTGACACGAGCCCCGCCAGCGCACCTCTGCCGCTGACACAAGCGAGCCCCGCCAGGGCACCTCTGACGGTGACACGAGCCCCGCCAGAGCACCTCTGACGGTGACACGAGCCCCGCCGGGGCACCTCTGACGGTGACACGAGCCCCGCCAGGGCACCTCTGAGCTGCCAGGCCGCGGGCTCGCGAGACACTCTCTAACCACACCTTTAGCACTGACCTGATCGAGGCGAAGGGAATGTGAGCGCCCCGCGGACAAGTGGCAATACAGCGGAGGCGGCACCGGGACCAGAGGCGCGCCACAGAGGCGCATGCGCTGTTTGCCGGGTGAACGAATCGGACCTACTGGCACCTATTGGCATATTGTCACTACAGTGAATAAGTCAAAAGTATTTCGATGTAACTACACTACACTGTCACCGCTTCACACGCTCACAAACGCTCGCAATGCATCTGTTCAGTGCGCACTAGTTTAAAATCACCATAATACGTCTCCTTCCGACATCATCATCCGACTTCCAATATCAGGGAGGAGAGAGCTGCCAACTTTTTTGTCAATGTGCAAGAACAGCCTTAAATGTAAGTGTAATCCAGATTTAAAGGTCCATACCTACCACGGACAGAACCGAACTCAGTCCTTGGAAAGCACCTCCTACAACGTCCCAAAGTAATTCAAATAATCGCACCCATTGGCCGACTCCACGACCAGCTTCCGTGGGCACGACGCAAAACTACCGCACCACCCCCAACCTAATTAACGCAATCCCCCCCCCCTCCCCATCCTACCGCGGGGTCAGGATCAGTGCGTCATACAGCACGTTCTCACTGCGGCGCTGGGGGCGCTCCCACGCATGCGCAAAGTCCGGATCAACAATATTGAGCAGACGTGAACACGTCCCTTTGTAACGCTCGCCGGTGTCCGGGCGGTGGCGGCCGGTTTGTTCTGCCGCGGTTTGGCGGCGTCCGCCAGGGTCAACAAGCGACCTCACGCTCGCCCGGCGTCGGACTGCAGCAGGCGTGGACCCGACCTTGCGGAGTGCAGACGGCCCATCGAAGGCCGCTGCACCCAGACACGTCACGTGCGGCCGAGGTCCGGCCGGCGGCGAGCCCCCCGGGCGTCACGGGATACGAGCGACAGGAACACGAGACGGACACCATCAGGTGTCGACCGCGAGCTGAGGGGTGTTGTCGAGCTGACGCGTACCTGAGTTCGGCTGTTTGCCATGATACGGGCTTCCGGTTGTGCGTGATGGCTCTCGAGAGAACACGTTATTCGCGCACGCACAATGCAGATCGCGGAATCACCGGGAGGCACCCCCCTGAATACGTGTTGAGCTTGTTCGCCGTGAGACCCACAGAACAGTCATCAACGACAGGCGGCAGGATCCGCAGACAACAAATGTCTAGTCAACTGGCTCACCACCAGACGAACACGTGGGAAACTCAGAGGGTCCAGCCCGTGATGAGTCAAAGTACCCGGCTCGTGCACTGTAAGACGATCATGGAACACAGTCGCACACGTCACTTCCCATCACCTGACTGGAATCTGTTTTCATCTCGGTGCACAGCGGGGCACCGCACGCATTCAAATCACACGCATATCACTGGGGCCTGACTAAGTTCTATCACACGCAGTTGCACGCGCCGACACAGGCAAGGGGACTCCCGGCTGACTGACGGCGTTACGCAAAACCGGAACCACCCCCAGTCGCGCCCAACACCAACGTATCCAAGTCATTTAAAACGCATTCCGTAACAGCGGACTACAAGTAACTCGCAAAGGCCTGCCGATGGGACGGCCGCGGCGAACAAGTGAACTAGCTAGAAACTGCAAAGAGTGGACTGTAACGGGCGCTGCGGCCGTCCTCAAGCGACTGATAACGGCCGGGGCGTGAGGAAAGAGAGTGCAAGAGGCTGCATGGACAGAGGCGGGTCTGCGCAGACGCTAGTCTGACCCAGACAGAGGCGGGTCTGCACCGGCGCTGACCCGGACAGAGGCGGATCTGCGCAGGCGCTAGTCTGGCCCAGACAGAGGCGGGTCTGCACCAGCGCTGACCCGGGCAGAGGCGTGTCTACGCCGGCGCTGACCTAGACAGAGGCCGGCTGCACCAGCGCTGACCAAGACAGAGGCGGGTCTGCACCAGCGCTGACCCAGACAGAGGCGGGTCTGCGCAGGCGCTAGTCTGACCCAGACAAAGGAGGGTCTGCACCGGCGCTGACCCAGACAGAGGCGGGTCTGCACCGGCGCTGACCCGGACAGAGGCGGGTCTGCGCAGGCGCTAGTCTGGCCCAGACAGAGGCCGGTCTGCACCAGCACTGACCCGGGCAGAGGCGGGTCTACGTCAGCGCTGACCCAGACAGAGGCCGGCTGCACCAGCGCTGACCAAGACAGAGGCGGGTCTGCAGCGGCGCTGACCAAGAGAGAGAGGCGGGTCTGCACCGGCGCTAACCCAGACAGAGGCGGGTCTGCACCGGCGCTGACCAAGACAGAGGCGGGTCTGTGCAGGCGCTAGTCTGACCCAGACAGAGGCGGGTCTGCGCAGGCGTTGACTCAGCCCGCGCCCGCGTCACCCCAGACACCCCCGACTGGGCCCAGGCGGGCTGTCCGGCTCACCGAACGGCCAGTGTAGCCCCGGGCCACCTCGGGGAGCTCCGAACACGGCCCTCTGCCTAATCTCCTCGCACAGACCAGATCTATAAAGCTGACTACTTAAATGCCCTGCTTAATAGCAACAATAATTTCTAACGGTTCGGGTCACCAGTCTGTTGCTTAATCAGCGCCGTGTGAACCAACGACAGGGCCTGCTGATGGGCCACCCTGCCCATTCCATCTGCATACCCTGCCACAACCAAATGGCAAAGATGAGAACGGAGCCGGGCGTCCATCTGAAAGACCCACCGCTGGTTCACCTGCTGGCGCCGGGTCTGCTGCTGGTTCAGCTGGTTCAGCTGCGGGCGCCGGGTCTGCTGCTTATTCAGCTGGTTCAGCTGTGGGCGCCGAGTCTGCTGCTGGTTCAGCTGGATCAGCTGCGGATTGGCCAGCGCGGCGCGGCAGCACTCTACTGCTGGATCAGCTCCGGGTTGGCCAGCGCGGCGCGGCAGCACTCTACTGCTGGATCAGCTCCGGGTTGGCCAGCGCGGCGCGGCAGTACCCTACTGCTGGATCAGCTCCGGGTTGGCCAGCGCGGCGCGGCAGTACTCTACTGCTGGATCAGCTCCAGGTTGGCCAGCGCGGCGCGGCAGTACTCTACTGCTGGATCAGCTCCGGGTTGGCCAGCGCGGCGCGGCAGTACTCTACTGCTGGATCAGCTCCGGGTTGGCCAGCGCGACGCGGCAGTACTCTACTGCTGGATCAGCTCCGGGCTGGCCAGCGCGGCGCGGCAGTACTCTACTGCTGGATCAGCTCCGGGTTGGCCAGCGCGGCGCGGCAGTACTCCGCGAATATGCGATCGATGTAGTTCTGTCCGAACGGCAGCATGCCCTCCATGAAGCCGATATGGCCGCCGTGCGACGTCAGCACGATGGCCACGTGCGACGTCTTCTGCACGGCCTCCAGGGGCACTCCTGCGGAGCGGGCACGGCTGTGACAGGCGGCCAGCAGCTCTTCTGGAAGGACACGACGCACCGGCGCCAACCCGACAGCACGCGAACAGAGCCTGCCAACCGTCACATCACGGGGATTCTCCCAAGCACCTGGTGACAGCCGGGGCGAGGTCGCCATGTTCCAAAGTCATCCCATGATGTATGATGCAGCCGTGCCATGAACGGAGACGCCACATACGCACACGCACACGCACGCACGCACGCACGCACGCACGCACGCACGCACGCACACACACACACACACACACACACACACACACACACACACACACACACACACACACACACACACACACACACACACCACACACACACACACACACACACACACACACACACACACACACACACACACACACACACACACGCACACACACACACAATCTCCAATCTGCCACCATTCACTGTTATCACACCATATTGGAACCCCCTGGTTCATTGTGACGCTGGTAGCGACGACGAACTGTGGTGCGGACATGATGCTGTCTCAATTAAAAGCTGGTCTTGATTGACAAAGCTGACATACATGCATAAAAATATCCATTTCGCATGTAAACTAATATCGACTCTGTTAGATGCGGCGCCTATTTCCGCACAGGTGACGCCAAACCAACGGCATTAATGTCGACGCACGCCGACCCGCGTCACCAAAGCCAATGGAAGGACGGCTCCGTCAACACCCCAGCACGGAACCATTCCCCAGGCGCTGCGCGTCCGCGCCCGACCTCGCGCGGCACCGTCCGGCCGCTGCGCCGTCCGAGCCCGCCGCCACTGACCGGAGCACGGGATGAAGGGGTCGTCGGCGGCGTTGAGCCCGAGCAGCGGCACCTTGATGCGGTGCAGCTTGTCGGTCAGCGTCGCCGCCGAGTAGTAGTCCTCCACGTCGCGGAAGCCGAACTGCTTCACCACGAACGACGCGTCGAACTCGCGGATCGTGCGCGACTGGCCGACGGGGGCGGGGGGTCAGAGGTCCGTCAGCGCGTTCGGGCGTGGCGGGAGTGCGCGACCCACCAGCGCGAGGCCGGGCAAACGTCTGGCGCTAACAGAGGCTGTGGTGGCGCTGCGATGAGCCCAGGGCTGCACAAAGCTTCAGGTGACAGGTCAGCCTGTGTGATCCTCTTATCACGGAGCTCAGACGTGAGACGGCGCACTTGCCGAACTCCCGCCCGCACCGCGGCGATGGCAGCGTTCAACGCATACTGCACGACGCCGAGGCACCCCCAACACACTTCCGAATGATGCACGACGTGAACCATGTCATCGCACCTTAAAATATTTCCTGTGTATCCCAGGCTCACCTTCACCACCTCCTGGAAATCCCACGGTACTCCAGCAGTGTTGATGACTTTCTCATGCCTGAAACGAAGGGACGCAGTGTACCTTGACAAAGGTCCGGTTACAACCTACAGCAACCAGTAAAATGTCACCATGCGGATCATGGCCCAGATCAATGCCTTTTTATGGCGGTATTCCAACAACGGCAATGTTTGTTTCATGCAGTCATTTCTGGATCTGATCAGACGCACAACACATAAACTGTACAGCGCAATCAGTCGGAGCAGCGTACATGTTAGCGGGACTGCGGGGCTATGAGTCATCGGGAGGTTCAAAGGCCGGGCGAAACATCTCGCTGACTTTGGTACTTTGTGTGACATTCGCCATGGCCTTGTTTGACAAGGGCGACCGGAGACCACCGGCTTCGTCGCGTATTTACGCCTCCACCGGTTTTGCCAGGCCTCAGAATCGCCGGCACATCAGCAGCTTGGCTAGCTCGACACAAACTTATCCACATCGCGCACCAAACATCGCACAACTCACATCGTTGAGCATGACAGCTCTCCCCAACTGAAAAAAATCCAGCACGGTTTAACCAATGGCCGTGGACCAGCGAGATCTTCCAGCCGCCATCGCGGACCAGCACAGTTTAACCAGCCACCACAAACCAGCACGGTTTAATCCGCCACCGTGAACCAGTACGGTTTACCAGTCACCACGAACCAGCACGGTTTAACCCGGCACACAAGCCTCTCAGGAGATGACGGACAGGGCGGACTCACAGTTTGACCGAGTCCACCAGGCACTCGGCCAGGTGCTTGTTGAGCATCAGATTGATGACGGGCGTCTCCAGACTGGCGGTGCCGACGAACACGTTCCAGGGCACCGAGATGATCATGGCGGCCAGCACCTTGTCGACGGCCGCAGCCGACTGCTGCTGCAGGTAGTTGCCCACGATCATCCTGGCGAGCGTCAGCTGTTAGACGCGATGACCCCACAGTCAGCTCAACGCGGTGATGTGGAGGCTACGCGGGATAGTTGTCCCCTAGGATCAGCCTGCTTGGCGATGACAATACTGCTGGCAAGAAGCGCGGTCGACAGCCTGACAAGCTGACATCTCGCTGAGATCGTCAGTCGCGGTGATCCGAGCGTATGTGGGGCACACGCGGCTGGCTCCAAACAAGCCGCCTAAATGAGCCGTCGTTACGCAACAGCGCGATGCCGCGTTTTAATTTCTCCGCGAAGTTCCTAAGTGACATAACTACGCACACGGCACACACAGTGGACGGGTTGTAAACTTTTATAAACTTATCACTCTATAATATATATATATATATATATATATATATATATATATATATTTCAAGTCCTGCATATAAGATCTACTTTAACCTCATTGCGTTGTTGATTGGGGGGAGGGGAATCATTACCCTCCGAGGGAGATGCCGGTGAGCACAATCCTGGCGCGTGGGTGCGCGCTGTGCAGGCGGTCGATCACGTATCCCAGGTCATCGCTGTTGGCCGCGCAGTACGTCCGCGGCGTCTGCACACACAGCGGCGGCGTAGAGGGGAGGCGTCAGCGGCGGCGGCGGCGACGAGGAGGGGTTAGCGGCACTCGGCCCGCCCTGCCAGTCCGGCGAGGTCGGAGCGGCCCGGGCGACACACACAGCGGGCGGCGGCGGGCGAGGGGGGGGGGACCAGCGGCGCTCGGTCCCCTCCGTCATCAGGCGAGGTCGGAGCGGCCCGAACAGCGCATACCTCGGGCGACACTAGCTGATAACACGGCACTGAAACAACAGGGCCAGCCGAAAAAAAACCACACCGTGGGTTCGCCGCGGACGCACGGCACCAAACACAGCAAAGCATGTTAAGCATGACACGTCAACTGACATTTACGAGGTGTGAACGTCTGTTCAAATGGAGATAGGAAATATACTCCAGCATGTATATACATATACATATATATATATATATATATATATATATATATATATATATATATATGTATGCCTGTATTTATCTATAAAATACAGTAGATAATAAGTCATACTCGTCTATTTAAGTTCACAGTGCACTGGCCCCCAAGGCTGTCGTTAGTGAGCGGGTCCCGACAACTTATAAGTCACAACAGCCGGCCGAAATATACTACTTCTGTGCCGGGCGCAGACAGCCCGTATCTAACCAATTTTCATCACTGCGCCACAGGAGGAGACCGCCACTTGATGCAAGGATCAAATGGGACTATCGGGTTAGTAAAACGTATCATATGACACACGTACATTCGGCGCACCATCATCAGCTGTTTCAGGTACGAGAAAGCGCCCGTCGTTCGGCCACCGTATGTGGCGTCGTGGCCTCGAAAGGACTATCTTAGTGATACGTGTATGACTCAACCACCTCGGCAAGCGAAGGCCGAGTAACACGCGTCAGGCGCGAGTCATTCAGCCATGTTGACCTTTGGCCGGAATCTTGAGAGTCCGATGGTTCTGGTTTCGGGGTGTGCATGGTCAGCCCAGGCTCAAATCCGACGTCGCGTTTGTCACGCGACGTCACGTTTGTACGGGCGCTCTGCCGGTCTCAAAGTGCACCAATGGCGCTGGCTTCCAGGAGCAGCACTGGGTCCGTAATTTGACGTTTAATTAAACACTCGGCACCGGCCCAGTTTCAGCCACGGCTGAATCAGTCCCAGACGGACAAGACGGGCCAACGCCGTGCAGCCGACCGGCGGCAGTCACCCACAAGGCGAGAATTCCCGACAAAGGCGAATGTGTGATTCGAATGGAAAACGTCCGAAAACACGCAAACCGGTTTCGTGAGTTTAAGCGGATTACTTCACATCGATACGCAGCTAGGAGCTACTCCGGTGAACACAGACCCTCAGTCTGTCGTGACTCAACAACAACACGGAGCGAGCGGGAGGGTGCGGCGAGGTCGGCCGGGCGGCGCCGATGTGGTACCTTCAGCTGGACGCCGCCGCGTCCCCGCTGGTTCAGCACCACACAGCTGGCTCCGATGCGCTCCGACACCAGGATCAGGCTGCGGATGTAGTCCGACTGACTGCTGCCTGTGGAGCGGTGCACAGAAGACACGCTCAGAGAACGAACCAAACTAACTGTGGGGCAGCATACCGAAGGCACGCTCAGAGAACGGACGACCATGATTGTGGAGCAGCATACCGAAGATACGCTCAGAGAACGGGACACACTGACTCGCTGTCTGTGGAACAGCACACCGAAACACGCTCAGAGAACGGACCACAATGACTGTGGAACAGGATACCGAAGACACGCTCAGAGAACGGACCACACTGACTGTGGAGCAGCACACCGAAGACACGCTCAGAGAACGGACCACACTAACTGTGGAGCAGCACACCGCAGACAGGCTCAGAGAACGGGCCACAATGACCCACTGTCTGTGGGGCAGCATACCGAAAACACACTCAGAGAACGGACCACAATGACTGTGGAGCAGCACACCGAAGACACGCTCAGAGAACGGACCACAATGACTGTGGAACAGGATACCGAAGACACGCTCAGAGAACGGACCGCACTGACTGTGGAGCAGCACACCGAAGACACGCTCAGAGAACGGACCACACTAACTGTGGAGCAGCACACCGCAGACAGGCTCAGAGAACGGGCCACAATGACCCACTGTCTGTGGGGCAGCATACCGAAAACACACTCAGAGAACGGGCCACAATGACTGTGGAGCAGCACACCGAAGATACGCTCAGAGAATGGGCCACACCGACTCACCAACCGTGGAGTAGCATACCGACAGCATCCTCAGAACGAAACCAAGAACGAAACGACAGAACGACAGAACGAAACCAAGCCCGGCACCCTGACCGTTACCTGTCCAACAGCACACAAAAAGCGCACCCAGAGAGCAGGGCCACACTTGTCGGGCCTCTGTCAGAGGTCGGGGCCGGAATGCTCGATGGACAGGTGACAGAACAATTACCGCGACATGTGGCCCGTTCGGCCGGTGGGACGGAAGTGGCAGATGTCAGACACGGCACCGCACTGCAGCAGCGCCCGGCCCACACCGCCCGACCACCGGCCTCCCGCAGCCGGTCATCACACCGTCCCAATCCCCGTGGCCGGTCATCACACCGCCACACAGGTGGTCATCACACTGTCACACAGGCTGGTCATCACACTGCCACACAGGTGGTCATCACACTGCCCCACAGGTAGCCATCACACTGCCACACAGGTGGTCATCACACCGCCACACAGGCGGTCATCACAATGCCACACACGCCGGTCATCACACGGCCACACAGGCCTGTCATCACACTGCCACACAGTCCGGTCATCACACCGCCACACCGGCGGTCATCACACTGCCACACAGGCGGTCATCACACCGCCAAACAGGCGGTCATCACACCGCCACACAGGCGGTCACCACACCACCACACAGGCGGTCATCACACCGCCACACAGGCGGTCATCACACTGCCACACAGGCCGGTTATCACATCGCCACACAGCTGGTCATCACACCACCACACAGCTGGTCATCACACCACCACACAGCTGGTCATCACACCACCACACAGCTGGTCATCACACCACCACACAGGCTGGTCATCACACCGCCACACAGCTGGTCATCACACCGCCACACAGTCTGGTGATCATGCCGCCATACACGCCGGCCATCACACTGCCACACAGCTGGTCATCACACCGCCACACAGGCCGGTCATGACACCGCCGCACAGCTGATCATCACACCACCACACTGTCCACCTCGGACTGGGATCGCTCTTCACAAGAGACGCACCGGGCACGGTGGCCCGGCGGCAGACGAGCAACGCCCCCCGCCGCCATGACCGGGCCGCCCGCGGGCCGCTGCCGGCTCGCCCACCTGTCAGTCCAGGCACCAGCAGCACGATCGGGTGGGCGTCCCCGCGGCCCCGGGTCGCCCTGAAGGCGCTCCGGTGCCAGTCCAGCGCCACGACGCCGCCGTCCGGCAGGTCCACCAGCTCCCTGGCGGCGACGGCCGGCCGGTCAGCGAGAGGCCGGCGGCGGGAAGTGTTGGAAGAAGTCAGCAGCATCGTGGTCCGCGCGTGCATATAGGAGCATGGATGTCTTCACGTTGTACCAATGGTACGTGGTCACAAATAATAGGGAGATAATGGGCGTACAAGTTTTTTTTGCGTCGCTTTAGTTCTCACTGAAGATTGGTTGTCAGATGTCAATGTCCCAGACACATTCAGAACACACAGTTACCAAGTTTCGTGTCAGATCTGGCATACAAGCAATCGCGGACACTTATCGCAGACCCGTAAGCACAACTGTCCAGACATGTTGCTGCACACCAATTCTCGCAGTCCACAAAACTGTGAGTCCTGCACTGCTTAAAAACAAAAATGGGTGTCATCCACGCCAACTGGCTGCCACCTGCCAGCCCGGCGTCATTCCTGCCGGTGTACGTCGACCCCTTGCCGCGGTCTCCGGCCTCCGCGACCCCCCAAACGCTGCGTCCCAGGCCGCTCACCTCTCATAGTCGATGACCGGCAGCTGACTGCGGAACAGGCTGCCCAGGATGGTCTGCAGGCGCGCCTCCAGACACCAGGGCGTCGGCCAGTACTTCTCCTGCAGGATGGACAGGTGCGACTCCAGGAAGCGGCCGAACTTGCTGTCCGCCTTTACCGCCGTCACCGGCACCTGGGGCAGCGCAGAGGCCAGCTGACATGTAGGGCCAGGCTGCTGTGCAGGGCTCAGTGAGACACTGGACCCATGGGTGGATCTTAGAGCATGGGCTGCTTTGATGATTTTTGGGTATTCAGAATAAATTGTATCATGTGTTACATAAGTTGCAGGAATGTCGAGATACTAGTATACATATGCATGCATGCAACTGAAAAATATATACATACATGCATGCATGCAAATGCAAAATATATACATACATGCATGCATAATTCAATAGCTTTCAATGTCACATCCAATGAAATGATGGGAGTTGAACATGCAAATTTCCAATTATTACAAGACACATGAAGGTGCTAAATATCTATTGGTTTACTTCATGATGCATTTCATTCCTATTATCATCAGCACCACAACAATAAACCTCAACTATGGGAAGGAACTTAAGCACAGCTGGTAAAAAGCTTTGAATCTACTATTTTTACAACAATGGCTTATCATTCCGACGCAGAATGACTTGATCCTCACCAATAGACCATCAATGCCATATATATATATATATATATATATATATATATATATATATATATATATATATGTATATATCAGAAATATTAAATTCATTACATTAGATCAGCCCCAAATTACAAAATTTTCCTGCAACCCTTTAACCCTTACTGAGACCCATGCAGATAACACTGAAGTCCATGGCAGGCAGTTACCATTCTTGTGCAGTATGGATGATACTTCCTGTATTTCATACTACATTTGTAACCAATAATGCCCAAATCATTTACTGAAAAGTATTTTTATGAGCATTTATGCAATGTCTGCAGCCAGAAATCCATGGTCCCTGATCACCATTCTCACATTATCTTCTAGATTACATCAAAAGCACTGAATAATCCCTGAAAACCAATATCAAAACTTGTGAAAAACAGCACAATATAATTGTTTTCCAACCACCATACATTAAATAATTACTAGGCAGTCATGCCATTTGACTAGAACTGTTGCCTTGATATTGTTGTCTAAAACCAGCTAAGCACAGTTGCTGCTGTTTGCATGCATCTTTTTTAGGAGGATATGAACAATGATCTTCATCAATAAAGATCATCTTGGGGCAAAGCACCTTAAAAGAAAAGATATGCTTTCTCCAACAAAATGTTGGACTGTCAGCTACATCCGATGACACTGTGTACATTCTGTATTACAGTTTTTGCTCTTAGTTACAAATTGGTAATGATCACACGATACCTGAAAGCTGGATACTTCATAATTAGCTTAACACCATTGTACTTCATTGCTACTTATCAACACTTGTTTAACTGAATTTATCTGAGCAGGCTAAATTCCATGTTCATGCTCCTGGGACTATCGATCTCCATCAATATCATATACAACTGTAATCAGCAATGATCACCACATGACTCAACCAGGCAGGCAGCATGACTTGGTATAGAAAAGGTGTTGGGCCATGGATACCATCTGCCAGTAATCATATCAGCATACCACACATTCCAAGAGAATGTTGCATATTCTGGGGTGTATCTCTCTGCAAGTCATGGGCTCAAGCTATGCCTAAAAAAAAACTCTGAACACAGAACTGTAGCTTTTTTGCATGTGCAGTTTACTTAGCATATTTCCTAACACCATGAAGCACAATATGCTTTTAGAAAAATGATGCATGTGAACATACTCCCAACACTAATACATAGAAGGTATCAACACATGCCCTGGTGGCCAGTTGGATACCCTTCCTATGGGTGGGGGTCAATTTGACCTCCCTGAGATATCAGAAACTAAGTGAGCTAGAGACACCAAATTCACAGGGCGTGCTGACCTGTATGTGAACTCACTAGGTCAAAGTCTGAGGTTTCTTGGGCATGACCTTTGGGTCAAATAAGGTCAAACAAGGTCAAATTCCAGGCTGGTTCCCAAAGTGAATGCAAAACCTAGATAACTGTTTTAAGCAAAATTTAATATGCTCATTCAAGGTCAGTGACCTTGTTTGACCTTTTGATGGTTATGGTGACTAAAATCATACAAGACTGCTTTAAGTTTTGCATTTGATAAGTCACAAAGATTATGCTAGACAGTATGTTTCTAAAAACAAAGTGTTGACCTGAGTCCTTTTAGGTCATTGACCTATTCTGACCTCTAAAAAGTCCATGGAAGATTATAATGCAGTTCCTGGTATCAATAAATGCAAAATGAGTACCAGAAAATAGAGTATTGAAAGAGGTTGGTTTTGACCCTGATATGACATTCATACCTGATATTATGTTAATGCAATTTGCTCATTCCATCTTTCTGTTGTCTAAGCAAGCATCTCAGATATATGGCTTCATCTAATGCTCTACTGTTGCATCAGATTGAATGATTCCCTAGAAATTGCCTTGCTGAAACCATGGCCTTACTTTGACCTGCAATAGATCAGCAGCCTTACAAGGTACACCTAAAATTTTAACATCAAACAATCTGCTATTTAATTTTCTACAACTATGCAAAATTTGGCACAGCTATGCTGGCCCATTTGGAAACCATTCCTAAAAACCATCAAGGGGCAATTTGATGCCCCACCTGAGTGTGTGTTAAATTGTACCAAAATATAACATATTATCAAAATTGTCTGAATTGTGCACACTTGATTTAAGCCATAGCACTAAATTTCTGTTTTCTGCATACTAAACAACAAAAGAGCATGTTAAAACAACTTTGTGGATGTTCCATCCACAGCAGAAAAGACAATCAATAACAGAATTTGAGTAATTATGAATGAATGTTATGCAATGTCTTCAATGTAATGCCATCTTATTATGAAGAGTGATTCATCTAGCCCATGCATCCAGTTTTTTCTCATAATTCTGGATAGTGCTGCTATGAGGATTAATTGGGCTTTACAGCACAATCACTGCCCTAGTCATGCAGCACCCATTATTCTGCACCTGAGCAGTGCAAAAGCAAGTCTGAATGCCCAAATGTAAAAAATATCAGGAAACTGTGCCCTCCTTTGATCACTGGCATCAAGGAATAAAGTGCATTCACTATCATGTAAAAATCCAAAACATGCATGCTCAACCCTCATGCATGCATGTCACAGTCACAGGCTACCTTAGACTAACAATCTAGGGACAATTCAAAAGTCATGGTGCACACACAGTCCCGTGAGCATGCTTAGAGGCATCAGTGATTTACCTTCACACATTTGGAAAAATAGTAAGTGATAAATCCAGCAGCAGATAAAGCCACCCAAGCCCCACCAGGCACACCGAAAAAATAGAACATTGCTGAGGAATGCTAGCGAGGTTGGTGGCTTAGCGCTCAGACAGAAGAATAGCTGTGAATGCAGATAAAGGCTGGGAAGTAAATTATATCCCAAAACCAAAACTTCACTCCCACCCTACCCGCACAACGACCCCGGAGTACACGCCCCTGCGGAATGAACCACGATACGCTTGCCCAGAGTAATTAATGCTATGCTGGCATGACCGCACAAAAATCAATGTCACTATGGCGCTATATATGAATAAAACCTGTGCTCTTGTGGTCTGATCGCTCAGACGTACTTGCGTCACTATAAAAATTGTTGCCCAATGAAAACTGACAAGTAGGACCTGAGAACCAATGGAATGCTAGCTTTAGCTGCTTTTTATTACTATTAAACAGGTGACGTAAGTGTTTATTTTTTAATAGGAGCCTCATGCAAGATTTTATTGAAACGAGAATCGTGGTTGAATCGTGTTTGGTAGTTTTAAGTTGGTTATCATGCGTTAATGTTCGTGCTGTGATAGATGATTAAAAATTAATGCGCTTCAATGCTAGTGAAATTGAGCTGTTGCTGTGGACACAGGAATGCTGTATATTTGCACAGCTAGGTACCGCTGGATCGCAAACAGTAACCAATGCATTCTCAGCACGCCGACAAAGATCCTATTCAACTTTATTTTGAGAACTACCCAAGGCAGGATGTTATAAGCAAAGTGAGCTGATGTGGAATGAAGTGATTGATATTTCAGTACCTGGCAGGTAATGAAATATTTGTCCTGTCTGTCTGTAGGGCTTAGATTGTGTGAGTGCCTGCCTTCCAATCCACCCACCTGATGTCCTTATGGCTGTCCCTGTGGCTTAGATTGTGAGTGTCTTGCTTCAAATCCACCCTTCATTCACCCCACCCAGTCAGGGTGTACTTTCCTACCTCATATTACAAAAGAGCATTGTACATCAATCATTGTTTTTAAGGCAGAACATATTATAATTAATCATAAAACAGACCATCTGTACTCTTACCTTGGAACTTAACTAATTACAATACTGAACACCTGACCGCAGCAAACACACAGCAACCGTGACACTGGCTCCATTACTGTGTGCGGTCAACATTACTGCATATCAAGCAGCATCAAGAACCATAAAATGTAGGGGGCCAAGGTAACAAGAATCCATGAAATTTGATCCTTGACATCAACAGGACTGGCAGCTAAATAAAAGCTCACTATATGGTACCTATATATGGCATGGAACATGGATGCCAATGGGATGCTGGGTTGAGGGGGATATAGGATGGGGAGGATAGGTTAGGTTAGGTTAGGTTAGGTTAGGTTAGGTTAGGTTAGGTTAGGTTAGGTTAGGTTAGGTTAGGTTAGGTTAGGTTAGGTTAGGTTAGGTTAGGTTAGGTCAGGTCAGGTCAGGTCAGGTCAGGTCAGGTCAGGTCAGGTCAGGTCAGGTCAGGTCAGGTCAGGTCAGGTCAGAGGTCAGGTCAGGTCAGGTTAGGCTATGTTCTGGACTATTCTGGCTTGTGCATTTCATAAACGTACCTAAACGCAATAAGAAACGATTTTCATTGCATTGTTATTGTTACCTTGGTCCCATACATTTTTTATAGTTCTTGGTAAGGAGAAATATTGTAATTATGCAACGGCAATGCAGAAAACCTGTTTTGAGATTATTTATGATATGTTCCCATTAAACAAGATGAATGGTGTACAATTATTTTGTCTAACCTTAGGTAGGAAAGTACACCTACACCCCCCACCCACCCACACGTCATGTTAGCTTGGTCTGCGGCAGCCACACTAAAGATCAGGTCATGTTGAGCAGGATACACCATGCCAGGTATTCTTCAAGCTTTATTCACTTGCAGTGGAGATTTTTGTCCTTCTTAAAAAGGTGAAGTACTTGAAGAATATCTGTAGGGTTAAGTGCTCACACAACAAGAACTGCTTGAAGGGAATGTTACAAATCTGAAGATATTGCAGTACATAACAGATATGATAAAGCAAGCTCACTTATAGATATTCACATTTTTTGGTGGAAGAGTATGCTCTATACAACATAATTTCGGTGTTTAGTAAATATAGTTCTTGATGGGCCATTGTTTGATTAAGCTATCATACATTACATAATATTGATGGAGAGACAATTGATGACCATTATGTCTGGAAATGTGGCTCAGAATGCCAGATATGAATGACTCAACCATTGTGTCTTTGTTGGCCTTGATCATTGCATGGCTTATGAAATGGCAGGATTTCAATGACATTATTATGATGTCATAAATGCCAAAGCAACCTTAAAATACTCTCCCACAACTTTGTAGGCTGCAAGCTAAGAAACTAGAGGGTTTTAGGCCTTAAAAAGGGCATGGCTGCTAGTTGCATCAAATGGTCTTCAGTGTGGTTTTTCAGCTCAAAACCCCAATACGAATGTGGAACACTCTCTTTAGGGCGGGAGTCTTCTACAAGCTATCTAATATGAGCACTGATCCCATTACTCTATCCATTCAAAAGGTTCAGGCTCAGCCTTTGAAAAAGGTATTATAATTCAATTTAAGTGGTAAATGATCAGGCAGGATGTAGGCGCAACCCATTTTGGTGGCATGCATTAAAAGACAGAGCAATGAAAATCCCTCCTGTCTCGAGTTTCCAGACAGGTCAGCCAAAAACTATCCTGTATGTTATGATGACAAGCTCGCGTCGGCACACTGGGGTCGGCACCGCGTCCGAGCTGGCCGACGCGTCCTGCCGTCGGTCTCGTCCGCGCTGGACGTCCCGCGCTGGACGTCCAGCGCTGGACGTCCAGCTGGCCGACGCGCTGGACGTCTCGTCCGCGCTGGACGCCTGCGACCGTCACGAACACCGATCCGGAGTGTATCTGCCGACCCGTGCCTGCGGTCGCTCCCTGTCCCCTGTTCCTGTGTCAATCCTGCACACCTTGGGGGCGGAGGGCGGGGGAGTCTTCTGTCCCGCCTTCTAGCCTGCGCCTTCGGCGTTCTCAGCACGGCGCGCGGGCCCCCCGTCAGCGCGGTGATTGGTTGTTTGCACAGTTCACTTGGAAGTGTAGTTTGTTTACTTCCTGTTTGTTTACTTCCGAGTGGGGGAATTGAGGTGTAGCTATAATCGTACAGTCTCAGATGGAGTTACGAGCAAAGCTGATGTGCAGTCTCGGCCATGCGTATGCGTGGGGTGTGCGGCGGTCTGGAATATGCCCTAGCGACAGTGGGCTTGTTGAAGGACGAGGGTGGCAACGGAGCGTGACTGAACCCAGGAGTTGAAAATTCGCTTCCAATAAATTAACCCATACTTTCGGAATCTCATCATGCATGCCACGCCATTGGAATGCCGGGTCATGGTGGCCACGGGCCAAATGGGTTAGCGGGATCAGTTGAGGTGACCAGTCAAAAGTGCATAGTCAGTTGTCAGTTATTGTCAGCAGTCAAACATTCAATCTTTCATGTCTGTACACCTGTATTCGATTTCATTGCTACTTTATGTTAAATATTTTTTTTACTTTATTACGTTGTATATGATGACGTGGTGCGATTTCATTGCACTTCCTACTTTATTACTCGGTTTGTTATGTGATGACATACTGCAATACTTGTCGGTAATGCAGCGGTCTGCTGCCGCAGGTCGGGTCGCTGGTGGCCGGGTTGGATGGTGACGAGTTCCGCGATGCTGTCCTCCGGCTGCTGTTCCACCTGTTCCTGTCGCCTTTCGCCCTGCGCTGTCCGCCGCCTCCGAGATACCGCTTTCGCATCATCGGCGATATCATTAAAAAGGTGTCTGTGGCAGGAATGCACGGCAGATGTTGGACTAGGTGTATGAGTTCGGATATTTGTTGCTTTTGTTGTTTCATCGTTGGATATTATTCGAATGATTTGCTGGACTCGGAAGTGTGTCAAGGCCATACAATACTATGTTGAGGACACTGAGATGAAAAGCTAAGAGCTGTCATGATGTCTAACATAATGCGAGAGATGCTAGCTTTTTTTACTCGTCTACTAGGAAGGTTAGACGTGCAGTGCTTTGGTGAAGCCCGTAAGCCCGCACCGCCGTGTACCTTGTACCTTGGTCGTGATAGTGTGACACCTGCGAGAACATGTCGGCCGCTTGCGCTTGCAGCTGGAGGCCAGCGGCCGGGAGGTACCGGAGCTGGCGTACCACATCCACGGCCAGCTCAGCTCGGCGGCCGACGCCGACCGCACCGACGGCCACGTGGTGTATCAGCTGACCGAGACGGCGGTGGTGGCGCTCTGGGAGGACCGACGTCTGATGGCGGCCGACACTACGGGCCTGCGCACGTGGCAGGTGAGGGTGGCACCGGCCGACAGACCGGCGCCGCGGCCGACACTACGGGCCTGCGCACGTGGCAGGTGAGGGTGGCACCGGCCGACAGACCGGCGCCGCGGCCGACACTACAGGCCTGCGCACGTGGCAGGTGAGGGTGGCACCGGCCGACAGAGCGGCGCCGCGGCCGACACTACGGGTCTGCGCACGTGGCAGGTGAGGGTGGCAACCGGCCGGCAGAGCGGCGCCGCGGCCGACACTACGGGTCTGCGCACGTGGCAGGTGAGGGTGGCACCGGCCGGCAGAGCGGCGCCGCGGCCGACACTACAGGTCTGCGCACGTGGCAGGTGAGGGTGGCACCGGCCGGCAGAGCGGCGCCGCGGCCGACACTACAGGTCTGCGCACGTGGCAGGTGAGGGTGGCACCGGTCGGGCAGAGCGGCGCCGCGGCCGACACTACAGGTCTGCGCACGTGGCAGGTGAGGGTGGCACCGGCCGGCAGACCGGCGCCGCGGCCGACACTACAGGCCTGCGCACGTGGCAGGTGAGGGTGGCACGGGCCGACAGAGCGGCGCCGCGGCCGACACTACGGGCCTGCGCACGTGGCAGGTGAGGGTGGCACGGGCCGACAGAGCGGCGCCGCGGCCGACACTACAGGCCTGCGCACGTGGCAGGTGAGGGTGGCACCGGCCGGCAGAGCGGCGCCGCGGCCGACACTACGGGCCTGCGCACGTGGCAGGTGAGGGTGGCACGGACCGACAGAGCGGCGCCGCGGCCGACACTACAGGCCTGCGCACGTGGCAGGTGAGGGTGGCACCGGCCGGCAGAGCGGCGCCGCGGCCGACACTACAGGTCTGCGCACGTGGCAGGTGAGGGTGGTACGGGCCGACAGAGCGGCGCCGCGGCCAAACAGCCATCGGGACAGCGCGACCAGTGCTCGACGCTGTCGCAAGCAAGCTGTCGCCGGTGATTGCTTCAATAAGGCTCACATGTGTCTTATGTGTCGTGTTGTTAACTGGTTGGTGGTCAGTGAACTATCTCTTGGTATCATCGGCGACATGTTTAGCTTTTCTAACTGGCCACCAATTACCTGAGCCAAATGGCGCGCCCTCGGCTGCATCTCCACTTCCGGCTGGCCGGTGACGCCACTCCCGCACCGGCCGCGCCGTCATGACGCTCGGCGGCGTCCACAGGCGGGCAAAGCGCTGCTGGACTGGTACCTGCTGCGGCCGGAGGCGATCCAGGGCAGGCGGGTGCTCGAGCTGGGGGCCGGCCTCGGCCTGACCGGTCAGTGCCGGCGCCGCCGCGCGCCCGGGCACGCCGGCGCACCGCGCCGACGCGCGCGCTCGAGCACAGGGTTGCAGACGCTGACGCAGGCGTGCGATGTGCGCCGAGATACCAGAGCAGCGCACGTGTATGCTCGCAATTCAACACGTGTGTGCAGCCACGCACAAACGAACATGCATAGCAACGAGCAACGAGCATAGCAACGAGCATGCATAGCCACGCACAAACGAACAGTGATGCATGGGCACGAAGGTCGTGCTGTCGGCGGGAATCTGCGCGTCGGTAACCGGAATCAAGCGCTGGCAACTGCTGGACGACGTGATGTTCTTACTCATGCGTTCACCTGGTCGCTGTTCATGCTTGTGCACACGCACGCATCCCTGCAGTGGGGCGTGAGGGCGGCGCTAGCGGCGAGCGTGCCTGTCTCTCCCGACCACTGCCGCCACCTGACGCCCGCCGTCCGACCGTCGGCAGGTCTGGCGCTATGCAGGACGTGCTCTCCGGCCTCCTACCACGTGACGGACGGCCATCCTCTGGTAGTGGAGGTCAGTGGAGTGGCGCGGTCGCCGCAGGGGGCCAGGGTGGCACGCCTGGACACAGCGCCGACGCTTCCGGCGCTGCTACGTCCTGTACTGCACCAGCTGGATATTTATGAACTGCTTCCGGATACTGTCTCGATCACCACACCTGATCACCACACCTGATCACCACTCCTGATCACCAGTTATGGATCTATGGTACTGAGCTTAGGTTTCGGTTATTTGTTATCGTTCTCGTTATCGTTATCGTTGTCGATCTATGCCGAGGTCAACGCGTTATGCATGATACATCTGAAGTATCTGTATCTTTTGTCCTCGTGATTGGGATAATTAGACCCGCCTGCAGAAAGCATTCCTAACGATTGGATGATGGACTCCAGAACTTCCAACCATCTTTCGCGTTATCCTGGGGTGCATCGGCACCGAGGATCTTCGATTCCGAAGTCTTGCGCGGAGCATTTGCTAACATCCTGCATAGCTTATGGTGCATTCATCACTTCAGATGCTGAAATACAACGTCCTGAAAAATATCGAACTCGCGAAGGACGACTTGCCAGTTGTGGACGAGTCGGCGTGCGCGGCGTTTGTCTCCGACACGCCGGCCAGCGCGCCGCTAAAACCGCGCGGCGGTCCGGCCGACGGTGGCGCCACCTGCGTCGGTGATTTGCGTATGACCTTGGACGGCACGGAGCTGCGCGCCGGCACCCTGGACTGGTTTACCTTCACCGCCGAGGAGGCCGGCGGCCTAGACGTGGATCTGGTGCTCACTGCTGGTGGGTGGCACGGGAACCTGAACGGTCGTGACAACGCTGACGATTGCAGAGATTGTTCCTTACGACTGTTCATGTAAAAGGATCCAGCAACACTTGATATTAACATTGATGATGATGATGTCATTATTCCCCCACATTTTGTGCGGTGCCGACGTAACGCCCCCCCCCCCCTCAAAGTTGAGCGTCCTAGGCCAACAAGGAAGTGACCTACATCCTAGAGCTGCGCTGTCATGTCTCCACAGCACCGACTCCGCCTCACTGCTTCATATGTGACCTACAACCTGAAGCTGCGCCGTCATGTCTGCACAGCACTGACTCCATCTGACTGATTCAGATGTGACCTACAACCCGGAACTACACTGTCATGTCTCCACAGCACCGACTCCATCTGACTGCTTCAGATGTGACCTACAATCCGGAGCTGCACGAGCCGCTGGTTCGCACGCTGCGGCTGCTGCTGGATCACGTGCGGCCGCCGCCGGAGGTGCTGATGGCGCTGACCGACCGGAATGAGGGCACCACTGCCCGCCTGATGACTGAGCTGGGTCAGCGACGCGCCTGGCCGACTCGGCCGCCTGGTGCCGAAAATGGCCGCCGACCATAGGCAGCCGTGCTTGTGCTGTGGTGGCAATCTATTATATATATATATATATATGTATATATATATATATATATATATATATATATATATATATATATATATGATAATACATATTCAAGAAATGGAATTTATGTTAGTATTGTAGGGCTGGGGTCAAATGATAACTAATTAGACTATATCATATGTTATATGTACGAGGTATGCCATGTGTGCAAAAAAACAATGCGGCAAATGTTTTTATATGGAGAAAAAGTGGTTGTAAGACGGACGGTGGTGACCAACAATAAAGTATATCAGAACCTGTGTAAGAGCTGACCACTGCCATCCGGTCGTGCATCTCCAGATCAACGCCAGAATTGGGTGCCGAAGATTTAACGTGTCGCAATACTCGGCACGGTCCATCGGGCCCTCTGACGCCAGCTAACTTTCAGTGCGGTCACTGTCGTTCGTCGCGGGCCGTGCCTGTCAGGATCATTTAAACAAAGGCGGATGGGAATAGCTGCTTGTTTCGTTGTTTACTGTGTTGTGTTATTGTTACGGACAATTGTTGTTGCTACGCGTTATTGACGACCAGCTTTTGTCGCCACCAGCTGTTCAAGGCCTGAAGCCGCGGCTGCTGGCGACGCCAGCCAACAATCAGTCCAGCTTCCTCATGGACGAGGTCTCCAAGGTCAAGATCTTCCAGATCACCCGCATCCCGGAGCTGTCAACCGTCTGATGGACCGGACTGTTGGTCACCATCGTCTGACGGCCCGGGCTGTTTGCCACTACTGTCTGATGTACTTTATTGTTGGTCACCACAGTCTGACGGACCGGACTGTTGGTCACCACCGTTTGACGGACCGGACTGTTGGTCACCACGGTCTGACGGGCCGTACTGTTGGTCACTACCGTCTGACGAACCGTACTGTTGGTCACCACCGTCTGACAGACCGGACTGTTGGTCACCACCGTCTGACGGACCGGACTGTTTGTCGCCACTGTCTGATGTACTTTATTGTTGGTCACCAGCGTCTGACGGACCGGACTGTTGGTCAACACCATCTGATGGACTGGACTGTTGGTCACCACCATCTGACGAACCATACTGTTGGTGTTCACTGTCTGATGCACCGGATTGTTGGTCACCACCATCTGACAGACCGGGCTGTTGGTCACTACTGTCTGACGGACTGCACCGTTGGTCACCATCGTCTGACGCACCGCACTGTTGGTTACCACCGTCTGACGGACTGGACTGTTGGCACCACCGTCTGACGAACTGTGCTGTTGGTCGCCGCCATCTGATGGTTTGAACCGTTGGTCATCGCCGTCTGGCGGACCGTTCTGTCGGACAGCGTTGTTTGATGGACCGGGCTGTTGATATCACTGCCTGGCACGCTAGACTGGCGGTCATTGCCACCCGATGCGGTAGGCTGTATGTCAGCGCCTGTGCCCCCGGTTCTTTCCAGCTGCTTTGTATGGCCACGTGTTGGCCAGATGCCTAGCTGGGCACGCGTTTGCTCAATGCTGATGTTTTTATCGTCTTGACTAGCGCAACAATGGTGCGACAGGCTCTTGGCCATGGCATCTCTCAAAGCTGGTGATGTAACCCTTCTCCCCGTCTTCCACAAACAAGGATGCTCTTTCTGATATGTATCAGAAACCTGCGGCTAAAACAGTCTTCCCACGATGCGGGCTTTAGTCCCTACAGCGATGTGTTACGTGGTGCGATGCGTTAGGTAATTTCCCACTCACTTGTGTGAATGCTATTGAGCATTGGTGGCGTGTTTGCAATGTATTGCATATTGCCGCTGCTAAGATAATGAAAGACATCACGTGCGTGCATCTGGATTTTTCATCCTGTGTTGCCCAATAATGAAAGAACTGCATATCAAACAGTTTTTCCGCAACCCGTTGTTTTCATTGCGGTATTTCCACAATATTGGCCTGCCCCCGAAGGAGAGAAGCATGCATGCCAATACAGTTGAGTGACCCTAGATGATGTTGAAATATTGGCTATTGCACCGGCCACAATTGTCTGCTGGGAGATGCTTCACTTCATGCTGACATACTCATAAGCATACGTATTATACACAGGCGATTAGTTACATAAAGTTATCATATACATATCTTTTTCGTTATTTGTAAATATTATTATTACACGTGCACCAGCGACAAAGGCGTCCCGTCAGATAGTTAACCTCATAGTCATACTCATACAAACATCATACTCCCAAACACTTAACCTCATCGGGCGCTGGGCCGCCAGAACGGCGCAGCGGACAACAGTCGCCTGCTCAAACTATTCCGCTGCGCAGACGGCTACGCATGCGTCACTGGAGCGGTACGCCGAGAACATTCGCTTGACTGAGCACGTGCCGTTGCAGTGGCGCTGGCTTTAGCGCCACTGGGACGGCGCAGCGAACGGTCGCTTGTCTGAGCGCGTCTTACTACAGAACAAATGGAGAACCCGCCGTCGTGAGTCGAGGAAGAAACATGTTTGCATCGGCATACTCTAAAAGCGTAAGCTTACCAGGCTGATAGGACGTGGAAAGACGTGGGATGGTGTGGAGTTGGGTAGATGGCATAAGTAGGCCGAACAAGGGGTGGAACCCTCCTGGCGTTTGGGGAAGTTCGGCACTGGGCCCCGAGTGCCTACAATCAAACATGGTGCCTATGAAGGCTGTGTGGAAGCGATTCACATTGTCATAGCGTGCCCGTCAATTATCTCGCGCATTCTTCTCTTGGGCGGGCGATTTGAACATGACTGCGTTTAAGCCATTTTGTGGGGATTGAGAGCGTCTGTGAGCACTCGCCCAGAGGAGGGCAGCTCTGTTTTGCTGGCAGCTTTCAAAAAGTTGGGGATGGACCATTTTCAGTTGTTACATAGACAGCCCTGCTGTCACAGCAGAGCGTGGTAAGCGGGCACGAATTTCAAAAGTCGCACAGTTGAGATGGTCGGACACGATTAACGACGGATGGTTACAGTGCAACATTTTATTCACAGGCGTAAGGTGTCGTAGGGATTGATAGCTTTCGCAGCCTGGCAATATTTAGCGTGAATATTGTTCGATGAAAGGCGATGCATTCTGTTCGATGAGCCACTCGCATCATGCAGATATCATTTTGAGGCCGCAGCGTTTTAGTACGTGTCCTGAGCTCTGCGTCGTTGGTTGTCATGGAAATAAATGTTATGTAACTAGCGCGCAAGAAATGTATCGTTTCAGAAACTGTCCTCAGCAAGGCTAACGGCATCCTCAGTCCGGTCTTCAGTCAGCAACTTTTGTCAGTGGTCGTTGATACAGCAGGTTATTTATCATCTGATTCGCTGTTGTATTCTGGAACTTACTCAATTCTCAATGGATAGCGGCTGAGGACGTGCAGGCCCGCGCTGAAGTCGGTTTCGTAAAGTTGAATGTGGATGGAAATCGAAAGAGAAGGGCGGGATTTTCAAATGCAGGTTGTTCTATTGTTTGTTATGGCCATGGATTTGCAGTTTTGCTGCTCTTCTGCCTAATTGCATAACATTTGGACATTGGCTTAGATCATTTTTTGTGGAAATTAAGTTCTCTCATTCATGCTGTTATTAATGATAATTAGTTCCAGTAATTTATGTTGTTCCAGGATCTTCCAGTCTCATTGCAGGATTAGGGTCTTAAAGATCTTCTTGCCTAAAAACTTTCATTGGAGGCAGTATCTGAGACAGTGATGTTTTTTTGTTTTTTTTAATTGGTTTCATGTACTACAAAACTGCTTTCAGTACCTCCTTGTATATTGAAAGTTGTAAACTCAACATAGCTTGAACTCTGTCAAAAGTCAGGAGCTGAAGATGTTTCCTTATAAAAATATGTGCATTATGCACCAGACTTTGGGCATTCAGTGCACATACATATGTGCATGTACATTGAAATTGTTGCTGTGACATCAGGTGTTATGCCTTACATGCTCTGCATAACATGTATTTTTACAGCCTGGTTGGAAAGCCACAGGTACTGTTTAATGATCTGATAATATCCAAGGTGGGTTGTTTCATATTGGCCCATCCTGATGGCTAAATTGGTAAGAATGTCTGCCTTCCAATCCGCCCAACTATATGGTGGGTGCTTTAACCCACACAAGTATCCTTGTCTTTCTTGTCCTAGCTATGATACCCAAAGATGAAATGTTTTTACTTTTGATGTAATAGTAGGTCCTGGTTAACTGTCATTGTCAAGCAAACATTAGCTATATTGAAAAAACAAGTTTTCTGGTTTTTTTTTGGTCCATGTTAGATTTTGTCTCAAAACATGCTGGACTCTTTGAGATCCTCTCCTCTGTTCCCACATCTGGTGAAGTTTGAAAGCTGTTAAGTAGTTTAAGGTAGTTGGTTAGTGGTCCAGGTTGATAAGTTTGATTTGTTTAAAAATTAGAATTGGTGGTAACTGAAGCTTAAATGTTAACATTTTTAGGCTTTTGACCTAAATGTGATGATGCATGTAACAATCAAAATGCCTGTTATCTGTGTATCTCTTCTAAAAATTTATCCTGCACCAAATTTTAGGTCAACAATCTGTCCATCATTTGCTCAATTTACTGTTTTTTGTATGCTTTATGACCACACCATGACATGATATTTTCCAGATTTATATCTTTCATTGTAAGTGATCCTGTTATGATGTAGTCATGGCAGAGAAGAAGATCAGAAAGAGAGGTGGGTAATGTGGAGGAGTCTTTTGTCTGCCATTCACCGTGAATCCAAGCAATTACTAGTATTTGCTTTCCAATGATCGAATAGTCAGAATGTTGGTGCTGTTGTATTGGCAAGTGGCTTGTGTCGTTCGACCATGCTCAGTATCACCTGGTTTCATTACCTGTTTAAGTTTCTCACATTAAAACGTAGTCAACCAAGCAGCGTTTTCCGCACAATGGTGTGGTGTGTTTTATATTTTTTGGAAGCATTGGCAAATCTGTCATTGGCACCTACCATACCAGTGACACCAATCCAGTCATGCCTTCACATGTGACAATGCACATAATGATTGATGGAATACTTGACTGCTGAAATCAAGTAACACCAGGCTTGGGTAATTGCAAATGCTCATCCCTTTACTGCCTTTCCCAAAACAGTTGTGGTAGATAAGCATAGAGAAGGAATGTGATATGACTATTACATACCTTCCCTTTGGAGTGATGTCTGGAAATATAGGAACTAGCCACCTATGTCAGCAATCATCAGGCACAGACCATGTTACATTTTCTATGGTTGAAATATCATAATTATCCATGTCCAGTTTCGTTGCCCAGTTTTCGTTGCCTATGCTGATCTTCAGGGATACTGTATATTGCTCCTCTGGTCGTAATAATATTAAGAGATCCCAGTTACGAAACACGGCGCTGACACTCGTGCGTGCCTGCTAAGATTGCGTCAAGCTCTCCAATAAGATCATCGAACGCTGCGAGTTGCCGATCCCCCGCGTCACTAGCATCGATGGCATCCGCTCCAACTTGTTCACCAGCCTGCTGCAGGTGCTCTACCATCGGGTACCCGAAGGTGAGGCCCACAACCCGCATGACGCCTTGTTTGCAGGCCGCTCGGCTATCTCGAGTCATGGCTCCTATGCTCATGTGTACGGGATGTTCTACATTCTCTTGCGTGATCCGAAGGACGCACGCTGTTAATAGGGCGGTTGAGTAAGGAAAGCTAAGGTCTTTGCCAACACACTCACGTCAGTATTCGTAGCAGCTGTCTGTGCTTAGTAGCTGAAGTGAAACGCCATGCCACTCTGGTGCGGGCATGCATGGTCGGTACGCATGCAGGTGTGCATGATACATCGCTCGGTCTTCTAATAGTGAGCGCTAGCGGGTACGAACGGGGTTTTAATGCATCGGGATGTTCCACCTCAGGTGCATCACTGCTCGCCGCCACTGCCATCTAGCGGTGACAGGTGTGATTGGCCCGTCGACCGTGGCGCCATCTGCTGCCAGCAAGCGGGACTGCTGACGTAATCACGTCGATGCGTGTTTGCCGTGCGCCGTCCGACCGTGCTGACCGCGTCCCTGTCCCGCCAGGCATCATCGAGACGCCGACCAACACCGAGGAGGAGGTGGCCAACGTGCAGGCGATCATCAACCACCTGGCGCTCGACCTGATCCACATCGATCTCTCGCACATCTCGGGCGCCGACGTCATCGCTGGCGATCCGCGCGCCATCTATAACCTGCTGGAGATCTTCTGCGGCTTGCACAAGTACCTCAGCTCCACGTCCATTGGTGGGTGGCGGCGAGTCGTACCGGACCCTGTCCTTATGTGGGGAAACAGACGACTAGTCAGACATTGTCCTTCGGTGAAGTTGCGGTGGGCTGTTTTGTTTTTATTTGGCCAGGTAAGTGTGTGTGGTGATTTGGTTGGCTCTTGTAAGCTCTTATAAGGTTAGCTAAGCGCATGTAGGTGCTTGCTTTAGCAAAGCAAGTGTTAGCTCCAGCAAGGTACCTGTATGCATCTGACATGGCGTTCTTAAGGCCGTGACATGCCAGCTGAGCTCATTTCCCAGAAAACTCAATTGGTAGAATACCGGACTCGGACTGAGAAGACCCTGGCTTGAACCCGAGCAGTTCCAGGGGGATTGTTGGGATTGCGACGCATGACTGAAAGCCAAACAACATCCAGTCTTTTAAGGGCTCTGTGACACACGGCGATAGCCGGAGAGGCAACTGACCGAAACGTTGTGAACATACCGACAGGCCAGACGAGGACAATAGTCAGAACATGCAATACATCCGTGATATTAATGCCTCGTCTTAATACTTCCATAAAGCTGTAACGCTGTTGTCTCACGCACTGGCATGCATCAGCTTGTTTTTTAAGGCAGCTTTGACTGGCGCTGTCCTAAGTCCTTGCCAACTGGCTGTGGGAGATCCCTACAGGAGCTTGCCGATGTTCACCTCCATGGACATGACGTCTTGTCGGTGAAATGCCGGGGTACATTAACGGGATCAGTCGTCTGCGTGCTGATATCCCCGGGGAACAATTATGCTGGGAGGCTTCACGTCTCACCGACTGCGAGAACCATTTCGAGACGGATGCCTTTTTTACCGCCGTATTCCGCATTACGCGGAACGCGCAAGTGACGTGGCAGGGGCTCGGACCGAAGACGACGAGAGGGCCTGGGCCGAGCATCTTAACGACTTTTTGACAATATTTTATCCGAAGTCTTTCAGTGGATGGATTTCTGGGATCAAAGCTCAAGCTGAACAGGCTGGTATGGGCCCTGGCTCCCGCCATCCGACCGCGAGATTCCAGGTCAAGGACAGAATTGGGTGGCGAAAGTTTAACCTTCCGCAATGCTCGGCATGGTGCGTCCTGCCCTTGGACGTCAACTGACCTTTAGCACGAGCGCTGCTACCGACCGCGGGCCGTTTCTGTCGGGGTCAAATAGCGAACACCGAAAACGACCCAACCCAACCCGCCCCGCCACTGGTGGGTAGATCGGAAGGCAGGCACTCTAGCTACGTGAGCCATCGAAACGAACGCTATACCGCAACAGCCCTGTGGTACTTGTAGGCACTTTATTTAGCTAACTAAGCGCTAGCTAGGGGGGTACCTTCTCTGCTCTTAGCTCCTGCAGTGCCAAGGTAGAGGTCTTATGTAATAATTTCACTGCTCTCTTCCTCTTCGAGAAAGCGATCCATGAGTTAGAGATCAGCGATCAGATGCGCCAGTGAAGGGTCGGCGGCCCAGTATCGCTGACTGGTGCCGCGCGCTGTTGTCGCCCAGGACAATGGAACCTGGAGGAGACGCTGACGGAGACGGACAACGAGCTGAGCAGTGCGCCCTCCTCCGACGAGGTGACTACCGACGCCGGCCAGGAGGAGCTCTCAGAGCTGGAGGAGCCATCAGAGCAGGTCAGTCGGAGCTGGAGGAGCCATCAGAGCGGGCCAGTCAGAACTGGAGCAGCCATCAGAGCAGGTCAGGGAGAGAGGGAGAAAGGGACTGACTGATTTAATCAGGTTCCACGCCGGCTACACCTGGTCTGTGTAAGCGCTCTGGCATGTAATGGTATGTCTGGCATACAGGCGCTCCTCCACGTCCAGCCCACGTGCGGAACGGAGGACGGTGAGCGAGTTGTCCTGATGACGTAACGGCACTACCCTCTCGTATGACCTTTTTGTGGTCTGCCACTGCTGCTAGCATTGTCACATTCTTGTCAGTGAACGGATGTCCCTGGTGCGAAGCCGGCTTTGGTCCACTCGCAAGAGACACTCTTTAGTGCTATGCTTAGGTTGTGCTGCTTGGACGTTTTTAGATTTATTTTGTTCGTCGCAAGATACCTGTAGTGCCCTCTCCGTTATCAAACTACGCACTCTGCTGAACGTAGCCGCGAAGCAAGTCGAGAAAATGCAGGCAATAATGATGTGCTTTTGGTGGTGGAATGTAACAGCGAAGGCTAGTACGTGAAGTTACTTTGCCAAGCTCACACATTCAAAGCGGCTCTTAAGCCACTGCCGGCAAGCCTGGGCTGACGGGTGCCCTTTGTGTTGCAGGAGAGTGAGGACCAGCCGCCTCCCTCTGAGGACGGTCTGCCTCCCTCTGAGGACGATCCTCCTCCCTCTGAGGACGCTCCTCCTGCTGGGGAGGACGCCGCGGATCTGGCCGGACTTGATGAAGAGGAGGAGGGCGAGGAGCCAGTCGTGTCACTGTAAGCGTGCGGTGGTTTCGGGTGGGGCGGGGAGGGGTCGGGCCAAGGGGAGGGGGCGGCGCGTGACCTGACCGCAGCCCATGCGGTGAGAGGGAGCCTGACTTCCTCCGCCGTCCCTCAGCTCAATCGAGCGTTCAGCGCACTTCAGGCTTCTCACAATCGCATACGGCAACTATGTAACGATGTGCGGATCGGTTATGCACTACGCAGGTTAGCTGGTTGGTATCGGGCTCGTGGACCAAGGTGTGATGGGATGATCTCAGTAGTCAGGTAATGCTGTGGGGTAGGTGGAAGGGTCGGGCATGCGGGGAATCAGGCTCATCGAAATGCAAGTTATCAGTACCTGCCTCTGTGTAGGTTGTGCTTTTCCCGCCAGCCTTTCGGTGACATCAGTCATCTTCAAGCTACTCTGGTGGGTTAAGCTGAAGTGGTGCAGTGTGCAGGGAGTTGCCAGGGGAAGGGGAGGACATGGATTGTTGACTATGAACCTTGGTCCAGGTTCCTCGTAGGTGTCACGGACTGCAGGGCCATGGAATTCATGAGCAGAGAGGTTTACACTAGATCTGGGGACTATTGCGGGAACTCTGTCCAAACTCGTCAGTGTTCGGAGAAAATTTACCCTCCCGGGAGGAAAGTTGTAGCTTTTTGCCTGTTAGTGCGAAAATTTGTGATAGCAGCCTCGACGGGGAAGCTACGGTACTTTGGACGAAGTTCTTACAAAAGTCGTTCATTTTTTGTTCACCTGCTGCCAGTCCCGACCGCCTATGGTCGCGAGGTGCGGTCCGATCCCGGCCGTCTCTTGTGGTGAGATGCGGTCCTACCCCGGCCATCTCCAGTGGCCAGGTGCGGCCGCGACTACCGTTATGAATGACTTTTCTGGAACCGATGACTGGGACTTGCGGTCGTTCAGAATGATTCAAATCTATTCAAATCTTGGGAACTCTCAAGTCTTAAGACCGACGATTGGAACCCTGAACAGCAAGATTCGAATCCTGAAACGTGCACGAACTCCTGAAAACCCCCATTTGGGTATACAGGCAAATACAGTAAGTATAACCCGGGCTGCAATGTTGAAAGGTCAGTTAAACACACCTTGTAGATAGCGGTGCCGCATCGGGCTGAACAGCCCGAATTAAAAGTAGGAGTTTTAGTAGGAGTGGTGGGTTATATTTATTCGAATTTCGAATTAGAATTCGAATCCATATCCATGGACCGCACTATTGGAGTCGCAAAAGGCTGCGAATACTCGGCTCTAAGTGTCGGCATTGGGGTTAAGCCGCCACCAGTATTGCGATTTGTTGGGGGTAACCTGGACACACCGCCCTTAGATCACATCTTACAAGCGTATAAGTGAGAATAGCTTTATTTCATAGAGAGTTTGATGCTTTATTGTCGCTGAATATGACGAACCTGTGAAAGCAAGCATAATCGTGCATATTTCGATTATTGTATCACCGCTGCATACGAAGAGTCGGTGAAAGCAAGGAGCACTGGTGAGTGCTACCGCGCAAGTTAAGAAGACCCACGTTGTGGTCTCGCTCTATGGAGCTGGTCCCTGGTAGCAGGGCGGGCGCGGTGACAGTTGCCGCCGCCGCTGGGCCTGCCGTCGCCCCTGCCGAGGCTGCCGGGGCAGGCCTGCCGTCTGCGCGCCCTGACTGCGCCCCTGCCGAGGCTGCCGGCGCGGGCCTGCCGCCGGCACGCCCTGACTGCGCCCCTGCCGAGGGTGCCGGGGCAGGCCTGCCGCCGGCGCGCCCTGACTGCGCCCCTGCCGGGGGCAGAGCGGCCGGCCGGTTGCCCGGGGCCAAGTTCGAGTTCCACCGCCGCTCAGTCGGCCCCGACCGGTATGAGCTGCCGGGCCGGAGCGGGCCCCGGTGTTGGACCCGGCCGCCGGGCGCTATCGGCCTGGCCCCGCACGCCGAACTGGCAAAAGCACCGCACCGACTTGTCCTGGCTCGTATTTGTATGATAGCTGACACAGAGCGGGTGTCGTTCGTCGGCGAATGGTTAGTGCGGCAGCCCGCAGGCAGTGTCCGTCGAAGTGGAGCTGGCTAGTGGACAGAGTGGTGACCGTGGCCGCCGGCGGGGCGCGCACCTGCGCGCGGTCGGAGCCAGGACGGCCGGAGCCGGGACGGCCGGGACCGGGACGGCTGGAGCCGGGACGGACGGAGCTGGGACGGCCGGAGCGGGACGGCCGGAGCCGGGACGGACGGAGCTGGGACGGCCGGAGCCGGGACGGCCGCAGCCGGGACGGCCGGAGGAGCCGCAACAGCCGGAGCTGGTACGGTCGGAGCTGGTACGGTCGGAGCTGGGACGGCCGGAGCGGGGACGGCCGGAGCGGGGACGGCCGGAGCTGGGACGGCCGGAGCTGGGACGGCCGGGGCTGGGTCGGCCGGGGCTGGGACGGCCGGGGCCGGGACGGCCAGAGCTGAGACGGCCGGGACCGGAACGGCCGGAGCCGGGACGGCCGGAGCCAGGACGGCCGGAGCCGGGACGGCCAGAGCTGGGACGGCCAGAGCTGGGACGGCCAGAGCTGGGACGGCCGGGCCGGGACGGCCAGAGCCGGGACGGCCGGAGCCGGGACGGCCGGAGCTGGGACGGCCGGAGCCGGGACGGCCAGAGCTGGGACGGCCGGAGCCAGGACGGCCGGAGCTGGGACGGCCGGAGCCGGGACGGCCAGAGCTGGGACGGCCGGAGCCTGGCATGGGTTCCTGTCGGGAGGGCAGGGCCTGCTCACAATCGGCCTCGGAAGTCGCCGTGTCAGTTTTGTGCCACTACGTCATGTAAGTAGGAGAAGCTAGTGCTAATTGACAAAGACGTTCAACAATATCGTAATGTAAGCATTAGTCATTCCCCAGGTACTCTGAATGTAATTTAATGATCAAATGTACCTCTTGTGTCTAAAGACTTCTATACAAGTTTACTGGGTGTTTATAACCGTGCCGTTCCACCGTTCAGTAGAAAGTTTCCACATCTGCTCAGAGGCGGTAACGGCCCTGCCGACATGGCCCTGTCGGTGGACGAGGAGTCCGATGTTTGACCTATCACTGTCTGAACCCAGATGTATTTGACCAATCGTGATAACATGTCTGTGTAGATGTTATCCCGGTGGTGAGCGGGAGTCAGGGAACGGCAGCTGGATAGCACAAGGTGAGCATTTGTTATCTCGCGACTAAGCAGCGCCTTGACTCAAATCTGACATGTTAACCGCTGCGCGTCTAGGAAACCAGAGGAAACCAGAGTTCGACTCCCCGCGGTGCCCGCCCTTCCTGCCAGGGTGAGAGGCAGGCGACGCCATATAGCCTCAGCACTCAGTGCGTCGTAAAACCCCAATGACACACACAGATCTGACACGGTTTCTTATTCACGACTGAAAAACCAACAGCGCTTGCAGCGCTGTCATCAGCGTCTTCCCTGTGCCGCCAGATCCCGTCAGCTGTCAGCGGCGGCCCGTGCGTCGGGCAGCGGCGCCGGCGTGCGCGCCTCGACCAGCGCCTCGGCGGCCGGCGCCGTCCCGTCCGACGGCGCCGGTGTGGCGCGCGTGCGCTCCAGCGCCGCCTCGCTGGGCGGCGCGCCCGCCGCCGCCAGCTCCGGCGTCGTGAAGGTGCCCTCTTCCGGATCGGCGGCGGGAGTGCCTTCCAGTGGATCGGTGCCAAGAGTGCCATCCAGTGGATCGGCGGCGAGAGTGCCTTCCAGTGGATCAGCAGCGAGAGTGCCTTCCAGCGCATCAGCGGGAAGAGTGCCATCCAGCGACGCGGGAGTGGACAGAGTACCTTCCAGCGGCTCGGCAGCAAGAGTTCCGTCCAGTGGATCAGGGGTGGAGAGAATACCATCTGTTAGCTCTGGAGCGGTTAAAGTACCTTCCAGTGGATCAGCCGCCAGAGTGCCTTCGAGTGGATCCGGAGTGGACAAAGTTCCGTCCAGCGGTTCGGCTGCGAGAATGCCTTCTAGCGGATCAGGGGTGACTAGAGTGCCCTCCAGCGGGTCAGCAGCAGCGAGGGTCCCCTCCAGTGGCTCTGGAGTGGCCAGGGTGCCCTCAAGCGGCTCTGGAGTGGGCAGGGTGCCCTCCAGCGGCTCGGGCGTGGGCAGGGTTCCCTCCAGCGGCTCGGGAGTGGGCAGGGTTCCTTCCAGCGGCTCGGGAGTGGGTAGGGTGCCCTCCAGCGGCTCGGGCGTGGGCAGGGTTCCTTCCAGCGGCTCTGGAGTGGGCAGGGTGCCCTCAAGCGGCTCGGGAGTGGGCAGGGTGCCCTCCAGCGGATCGGGCGTGGGCAGGGTTCCCTCCAGCGGCTCGGGGGTGGGCAGGGTTCCCTCCATCGGCTCTGGAGTGGGCAGGGTGCCCTCAAGCGGCTCTGGAGTGGGCAGGGTGCCCTCCAGCGGCTCGGGAGTGGGCAGGGTGCCCTCCAGTGGCTCGGGAGTGGGCAGGGTGCCTTCCAGCGGCTCGGGAGTGGGCAGGGTGCCCTCCAGCGGCTCGGGGGTGGGCAGGGTGCCCTCCAGCGGCTCGGGAGTGGGCAAGGTCGGCTCGGCTGGCGCGGCCTCCTTGAAGCAGACGTCGAGCGGCTCCGGTCCGATGCCGGCCAGCTCGGCCACCTCGGCCGGCGCCGAGGCTGAGGCGTCCCTGCTGCCCAGTAGCGAGTCGGGCCCGGCCGCCGCCGCGCGTTCCTCCAGCGGGCGGGTGGGCGCCGCCGGCGCCGCCGGCAGCAGCGGCTCGGGCGCCGTGCGCGCCGGCTCCAGCCACGCCAGCGCCAAGGCCTCCCGTTCCGGGGACGTCGGCGCGGACAGTAAGTGCAGCCGGCCGACGACAGCCAGCGAGAGGCTATCTGCTGCTCGACTGGAGGCTTGAGCTGCGACGGGGCTCTTTTGGTCGCGGATTCCAATCACTTTCGGGTTTGGGACGTTGCTGCTTTGTAAAGGTGTTCTGTATTTGTGGTTTGGCTGCCACTTATGGGGCAGAATCCGTAATCGAGGCACGCGCCTGAACTGCGGATTGTGTGCTGTTGTTTTATCTTTTACAAACTATGTGATAGCTCGTTGCCTTCCCTACTGCACGTAGAGTTGCTGCACGTAGTTAACGTACACTGTAACCTCTCAGGCCCATTGACTTAGATGACGCGTTACGGAGCGGGATCGGGGTGGCGATAGCGTAGTGATTAACGCGTCTGCATTAACCACCGCGCGTCTGAGCAGCCAGAGGTACGGGGTTCGATACCCTGAGTTGTCCGCCCTTCCCGCCAGGGTAAGAGGCAGGCAAGGTCATGTAGCCTCAGCAGCTGAGTACGTCTGAAAGCCCCATTAACGACGGATCGCGGCACGCGTAGCTCCAGATTTCCGAGCGCAGAGGCCTGTTCTCTGCCGGCACTGGGACGACCGGTGTCGACGGGTGTGTGATCCCCGCAGTGGCCGAGTCGGAGTCGTCGGGGGCCGTCGGCTCGCCGCTGCGCGCGCCGTCTGGCCCCGGTGGCGAGTTCGCCAACCTGGGGCGCGCCTCAGCCGCACGGCCCAGCCTGGTGGCGGCGCGGCCCAGCGCCAGCGGTGGCGGCGTCCGCGTCACCGGCAGCATCGACCACCACCACTACCACCACTACGAGGACGGCGGCGAGGGCGAGGACGAGTACGAGTATGAGGACGAGTACGAGGACGAGGGTGAACTGGAGGACGACGACGAGGGCACGGAGGTACGGCGGCGCCTGTTGGAAAGCTATGGCAATGGCTGTTGGTTCTGGCTGGGGTAGGTATGAGTCACGGGCTCTGTGGTGATGGTAGTGGTGGTGGCGGCGGCCGTACATCACTGCACGATGAAGGTAGGATAAGTGGCAGTTCGCGCTGGGTATCCGTGCGTGCATAGCGTCGGCTTTGGGTGCTGGTGTGACTGTCTTACCGGGCTGTCCGAACGTCATCATGGTGACGGCGGGATGGCTTTCGCATGTCGGTTGCAGCTGTTTACCAGGTGGGAAGCAAAGCTCCACCCTGTTGCACGTGTGGCGTCGGGCACCGGCTTCATTGTCAGTTCACACCGGTGGTGGTAATCGCTTCCTCGACCGTAGACAGCCGCCCAGCGTGGGACGGGGTCGGGGCGCAACGTCTGCCGGCGCGGCGGCCGCCCGGCCGGTCCGGCGCCGCGGCGGACGGGAGGCGGTGCTGGAGGCGGGTCCTGAGGCGGGACGCGTCCCCAGATGACGGACGAGCCGCCCGCCGCCGGCGGACGCTACTACGGGGACGAGCACGAGGACGAGCAGGATGAGCAGGAGACGAGCGAGCAGACGACACAGGAGGAGGTCGGTCGGCTCGCCTGCCGCCCAGGCCCGCGTCCGCCGCCGGACGGACGCCCGTGGAAAGCTCGGTCTGCCCGCGAACTCTGCTTAGTTGATGGCAGACTTCGTGGGAGTTTATCTCTGCACAGAGGGAAAGAAACTGCCCGTCATTATGATCACCCTTTGTCCGTCCTGATAATCTGTGGCCCACTAGTCAAATATTTGTGAATTCAAATGCATCCCGCAATGTTCCTCGCCATGTCCCGATCCTGGCAGGGAAGCGGGGAGCCGTGTTGCCTTCGCTACCGCCTGTCTCTCATCCCCTGCTCGCCGGCCGCGTCTCACGATCGTCACCCTTAACCCCCGCTGTGCCGGGTGCCGGCTGCCGGTGGGACGGGCGGCGTAGCGTGCCGGGACAGGTTGGCCAGAGACCGGGCGGTGGCGGCCGACAGACGATGCAGAGCCTGACGGCCGAGGAGGACGCGGCCACCGGCAGCCTGGCTGACACCGAACACGAGGACGAGGACACCGGCCAGGAGGACCTGAGTCGGGAGGACTACCGGGGCGACGAGGACAGCCAGGAGTGCGAGTCGGACGAGGAGGAGGAGGAGGATGAGGACGACGAGGAGGAGGAGGACGCCGGGGTGGACATCAGCCGTCAGCTGAGTGAAGAGCTGCAGCAAGCGCGCGAGTCGGCTGGCGTTCTTTCGCCGGTGGCTAGCGGCGCCAAGGTGGGACGCGCCGGCGGCCAGAGGCGCGCGGCGCTCGGCCCTGCCGCGGCGGGGAGCTGAGCGGCGGCACTCGCCTGCCGCCTGACAGCCGTCCGCACATGATGTCCACCGACAGGCGGTGCCAGTATGTGCGCCGCTCCCGTGGTGTTGTGGCCAACGTCGTGGCCATGAGATTTAAATGTTGTAGCGATAGATCTTCTCGTCAGAGTTATTTATTTAGGAACGGTTATAGCATAGATTCGAGTAATGGTTCAAATGGCAAATTGCTTGGTACGACGCACGAACAAATAGAACAGTTAATTCACCGTACAAGTGCGAATGCGTTTGCTACGTTACTTGATTGATGGCTGTCCGCAGGTAATGTTGCGCATTTTAGCTTTGATGACCTTTGCCAGTCTCTCCTGGTTACTCTATGGCCGCGCATAGCAAAACCCCTCCCCAAGCTACGCTGTGTGAAGAGGAGGTCCATTCGGTCCGTAATGAAGCTAAAAATGCGAAACTAATCACGCGCGTGTTGTAGCGTAAGACGAAAAGAAGGCATTTGGTTTTGAGGTTTGGAATTAAAAAGGAAGATCTTTGCCCGGTCTGTACTCACGCCCGAGGCAATGTTCGCTGTCCAGCCTCTCTCCTCCTCACTGCTCTGCCTCAGCTTAGCTCCTCCCCCTCGCGCCTCTAAATGCAACGTAACCTACTTGACGACCCCTGGTACATCTATGGCCTTATAAGGTGTTTTGCTGCTTAACTGATCAGTTGCGGAACTGGTGCGAAGGCTTAAGCGCGGCCCGCTTTCAGAAGTGCTGTCGTCCTTACTGTGCTGTAAGGCCTTGTAACGTTATGGAATGTGCGTTTGTGTGGAGCTAAACGGGGGAGGATCGTAGACGCTTGTGGACGGCGTCCAGGGTTACAAACCTGGCCCTCTAGACTTCGTAGAACACAGAACATTCGGGCCGTTAGTATAAGTAAGAAAGGCCTTTAGCTCCTCTTTTCAGCATTATGAATTCATATTTCCCATGCTGACTTATCAGCCTCCCATAAGGTATCAAGAGGCACTGATTAAATGAATTCACTAATTATGGTGTCTTAAAGGTCGACAACTCGGCTTAAAAATTCTGAACGTATAGCACTCGGGCGCGGTCGGGTTGGTTACAATTGTTGGCCGCAGCTGACCGTTCGTACATTATCGATCCCATGTACATATCAATCCCGTTCGTACATATTGATCGATCCCATTATCGTAAGTTGTTCAGTGCATTTGCAGGGAACGTGCACATAAATGAGACGGTAGTAATAACCTGTTCTGCCGAGAAACGCGGCTATATGTCCATTCTCCTGGTTTTCCTTCGAGGAATAAGGTTATTGGTACTGTCTGATCCCCTGGTCGGATGGATCCGCGATGAAAAACGCACGTAAACGGGCACTTTATTTCTAGAAAAATTTTTGCCTCATTGACCCAGCTTAAGATTCACGGGAGGTTTCACTTGGGAGTGGTGTGGGTGGATCCGCTTCGTTGGGAATTATTTTTTGGTGCAGCCACGGCACCTGGGAGGAGGCTGTTTGTCCACAAACCTGGGAGGAGGCTGTTTGTCCTGTATCATTGGGAGGCCTGTCGCTTTTTCGCGAGGGTTCTTCGGCTGACGTTGCTGCGTTCCTGTCAGTTCATTGTGTGTGCCTGTCCTTTCATGCTGATGTGAGTATCCAACTGCTGAGGTGGTGAGCAAGTCAATCGCATGCTTAAGCAACATTTCTGCGTCGCTAGTACATCACCATGACATTGGTCCTAGGTGTTATAGCCGTCTGCTTGGTATCGGCTCGGAGAACGTGCTGTGCAGCCCTTGCTCAACTTTTCACGGTATACTAACGTACCTCCGTTAGGGAGGGATATACGTACACGATGTCGCGTGTGGGACGCTCATTTTCTTCAGCCTTTTGCGTTTTTACGTGTTTGCTACTCTATCTGTTCCTTATGCTCTTTTGTTGTGTTCCACTTTCCTGCCTTTTTGCATTAGTTGAAAGAAAATCGCTATCGTAATAATACAAATTAATTATCTTTCAATTGTAATTAATCTCATCAATATCCTTTGTGACACGACTGTTTGGTAAGTTGTGCGTGTGCCGAAATGAGGTTTCTTTAGATGCAAAGTAAATGTGAAACCAGTGCTTTTGTGTACGCAAGCAGTGATGTATGTGATGACCTCGTGACCGAAAACCTTTTCCCTCTCAATCCAGATGAGCCGTCCCAGCGCCACTAAGAGAGAAAGCTTTTTATCGAGACAGTTGGATTCAACGGTATGTGTCCCGACGTAGTGTCATGGCCAGACATAGTCCGGCTATGTATGGCGAAGGAAATTTATGAATGTGTTTCGGAATAAGTGGCATGGCCAGACGTGGCCCCGCCATGTGATTTAGAGAAAGGATGCAACTTGACTCAGTTTGAGGTTGGACTGTCCACGCCGGTGTTCCAAAGCCCGAACTGTCCAGATAGCGAATATATTCCTGTAGATAAAAATGCCACCCGTGGAGAAAATCTGTTACAAAGCTATCAAACTACAGTTTTCGCCGAGCGTGAACTGCTAGACGCGCGAGATATAAGCAGACAGCATACGCCGCAGCGGCTGCGCGACGGGGTTGCCTCGTAGTGGTAATAGGTCTTGTCAACCCCAAGCTCGAGAAGCAACTATGCTTGGCAAGGTGAGCGAATGGTTCATACTACATGGTCATACTATGTTGTATGGTCATTGGTATGGACATGGTCATAAGTCCGTATAAGTGCACGGCTCTGGTCAGATTGCCACCACCGGACCCGCACACCGAGTCGGAGTTTAAGTGTTCACCGGAATGGAGGGCCGGAATGAACACAAAAGTGTTCATTCCGGCCTATCACGGCCTTCGCACTGATCGTAATGAGTAATGACGAGAATAGACACACAGCAGGTGTAGAGACACAGCACGTGGCGCGGAGACGCCGCACGTGGCGACTCCTAAATGACTCGTGAAAAGCAAGCCCGCAATGAGCAGGGATGTCGTTTAGCAACACGAGTTGGGTAGGGTGGGCTGACCAGTGAGAAATGACCACACCTACGCTCTAAATAAGCGAGAGATGAATGTATCCATGGCTCTAGCTCACCTCTCAGATTTCGGGAGCTGGAGCTGGAATTGGGAAGGGGGGGGGGGGCTGACCCCAATGCCCCCGTCCTCCCATCCTCTGTTCTTTATGTTTACCATCGGGTGCAGTATGTGCTGCCGCCATGTTAAATGTTGTCCAGATGTGCGGGTGGTTACTGTTTTCTGCTCCATTCTCCCACCGCCCGCTCCCCCGGGTCATTTCATGCCCTGCAAGGCAATGCACTGTCCTGCCCTACCCCAAACCCAGCCCCAGCCCCAGCCCCAGGCCTAGCCATAGACTCAGCCCTAGCCGCAGCCCTAGACCTAGCCTGTCCCTAACCCTAGCCCTAGCCGCAGCCCTGGCTCTAGCCCTAGTCGCAGCCCTAGCCCTAGCCCTAGCCCTAGCCCTAGCCCTAGCCCTAGCCCTAGCCCTAGCCTAGCCCAGCCTAGCCTAGCCTAGCCTAGCCCAGCCCAGCCCAGCCCAGCCCTGCCCAGCCCTGTAGTTGTGTACTACCTAATACCTAGGCGCTGATCACATTACGTATGCGACCGACAGTGGTGTAGCCAGGGGGATTTGTGGATGCTGCTTCCGCCCCCCCCCCCCCTCTCTCTGAAGATGACATGGGTTTCCTTGGGCCGAAGGTCGCGCTACTTTTTTAAATGAGAACGCCAGCAAGGTTTTTAAAACATTAAACACTGCTCCTGCCCGTATCAAAATGGGATACCAAGGCTGGAAGGTTTCCGTATCCAAAACAGCGCTGCTACCAGGGGCGACGCAATGGGGGAGTAGAGGGGGCAGTTGCCACCCCCCCCCCCCCCACTTACTTGCTGGCAGGGGGCAATAGTATGTTTGTGGCCCCTCAAAATTTTTAGGAGACCCCTTTTCCCCAACCAAAGGTAAGGTAGCTTCCCGTGGGTAATCAAAAGGAGGTTCAAGGAGGTCCCTTTAACTGAGCCAGATAATAATAAATCGAACTTAGATCATTTCTTACACCGCGAGACCGTTTGTCTGGACCATAAGGCCACCTTTGTGTATAAAGCGCACCATACTCTAGATTAGAAGGTTCTACGCTATGCCAAGGAAGCCTTTTCGCTGGGTCGGGAGGCCCCGCTACGACCTAGGAATCCCCTGTTCTATGTTAGGGGTACCCTTTATGTTCAGGAAGCCGTACTTCCGGAGCTCACTGAAACTTGAAATGCCATGTTAGGCCGCATTTCCCTCTATATTCCCGTTTGACCCTTCCAGTCTTGGTTTGCTCCCCGCAATATCAGGGATGCAGTTACACCTATGACCAAGAAAGACAAGGCTCCCCCAAAAGCTGTTGACGTACACATGCTGCGCAAAATCGACTGACGTTTGTTTCATGGCACTCTGACTCGTTTGGCTCTGCTCCCCTTTACTGATGTCTTCAGCACTCACATGCAACAGTTAACATGCAATGCTGCTTCTGTGTTTAATATGGACGTGTTTATTATGTGCGCCAACCCCGTGTTTACAACAATAGCTGACTAGATCACATGGAAAACTATTCGAATTTGGAAGCTTTAAAGCACGTGATCCCTGGAGTGGCGTTTTTAAGTTTACAGGAATATAAACGCACCCTGAGCTATGGCTGAGGAGACTAACTGCTTTTTGTGGCCGGCTATAGTTCGCGATGTTCTTGCCGTTACGGATAGGCGGCTGGACGTGACCTTGGCCCCAGCCCCTTGTGCGGTGCCGCCTCCTCATGCCTCGTGCCAGTATCGTCCGCTGTGGGTCGGGTCGGACAAGGTCATAGTCAAGGGGATCGGTGGCTGGGATGGCCCTGAGCCTGACGTTCTCCGCACATGCCGTCCAACCTGACCTGCGCCAGCCTGGGCGCTCCCGGACCGTGACCTGTTGTGACCCCGTGACCGGACTGATTTAGCCCGGTTTGACCCTGAGCTGACCCGACCGTGACCTCTGCCGCCTCTACCTCACCTGACCCTGACTGGGCTCGTCTCTGACCTGGCCCAACGGTGACCTGACCCAGCTCCATCCCGACCCGCGCCGCACCATGACCTGACGGTGACGCCCGCTGGCCGGCAGCACTCGGGCGCATCATCCTCGATGGCGCGTGACGAGCGGCGAGACGACGCCGGCCGGCGCCGCAGCACGTGGGAGGCGGCGGTGGCGCGCGGCAGCCGGCGCGACCTGAGCGCGCCCGGCCGCCGGCCGTCGCGGTGCCGCTCCGCCAGCGAGCGCAGCACCACCAGCGAGCCGGCGATCGGCCGGCGCGGGGTGTCGCGCGTGCCGCCGCGCAACATCGAGACCATCGCCGAGGTCGGTCCAGGCAGCGGTCCGTGCCGTTGTGGTCCGTGGTCTGTCTGTGTCTGTGATTGTCGTGGTCCGTGTGGGCAGCGGTCTGTGCCGGTGTGGTCGGTCCGGGCAGCACTCTATGCCAGGGTGGTCTGTGGTCTGTCTGTGTCTGTGCAGCGGCGGAGGCTGGGCTCGGGCGCCGAGTGTTGAGCAGGACACAGTCCAGGAGGGCAAGTTACCACAAATATCGGCGACTTCGAAGACTCGCTAAACTGTTGCATAGCTGTTGCCTGATGGGACCTAGCGCGCGCCCGGGTGACCGGCTGACTGCCATATGCTCGGTGGCGGGTCAGTTTGACCTCCGAGTTTTTAAAAGCGAAGAGACTTGATGCACCAAATTCACTGGGTGGGTTGGCCTGTATGGGAACTTATCTGTGTCAACATTTGAGGTTCCTAGGTCATGACCTTCGGATGAAATAATGTTAGAGAAGGGCAAACTTCAGATTGGTGTTCAAAATGGATGCATATAAACGCTTAGGTGGTTAGGCGCCTGCGAACTCCAAACGTAGGTGCTTGCTTGAAGCAAAAGGCCATTTGGTTGGCCATCGGTTCTCATTCTAGGTGAGTGACCTGTTGGACCTTAAGGTCATGGTGGCCGGATACATAGGAGATTGTTTAATTTTGTTTAATTTGAATAAGCGTCAAACATTACGGTCGGCATCAAAGATGACGCTGAACTGGGCCATGTCAGGTCAGTGACCTACTCTGACCTGAGGAAGACTATGGATTATGCCTGCCTGTTTAACACGACTGTGCCGCGCCTTTGGGAAAGTACTCTGGAAAAATATTGGGGGTCGAATTGACCCCACCACCACCCAAGCGCGTGCTACGACTTTAACAAAGCATGTCGAAGGGCTGTAGGGGAAGGTACTGGAAGTGCCGCGGCTCTGACTAAACGCGCCGATCTGTCGTCAACCCCCGAAAAGCCGGGGAAGGAAGGACTCGGCCGAGTCTTGAGAGCCGCACTCCGCGGCCGGGAACAGATTAAACGGGGGACGGCGACGTGCGCTCGGAAGCGGGCGATAACCGGCCGCGACCCGAGTCTGTGTAACCGACGCTCCGCCGCCGCCCGGTCAGATCCGGGAAACGGGCGAGGAGCGGGCGATCGTGGAGACGACGCGGGAGGAGGCCGGCGACCAGCTGCAGAAGGAGACGGTGCGCCGCGAGGTGCGCAGGAAGGTCTGCAGCGCGCCCCACCCCCGACAGAGTGAGTGAGGCGGAGGAGGGTCTGCAGCGCGCCCCACCCCCGACAGAGTGAGTGAGGCGGAGGAGGGTCTGCGGCGCGCTCCACCCCCGACAGAGTGAGTGAGGCGGAGGAGAGTCTGCAGCGCGCCCCACCCCCGACAGAGTGAGTCAGGCGGAGGAGGGTCTGCAGCGCGCCCCACCCCCGACAGAGTGAGTCAGGCGGGGGAGGGTCTGCAGCGCGCCCCACCCCCGACAGAGGGAGTGAGGCGGAGGAGGGTCTGCAGCGCGCCCCACCCCCGACAGAGTGAGTCAGGCGGAGGAGGGTCAGGCGGAGGAAGGTCTGCAGCGCGCCCCACCCCCGACAGAGTGAGTCAGGCGGGGGAGGGTCTGCAGCGCGCCCCACCCCCGACAGAGTGAGTGAGGCGGAGGAGGGTCTGCAGCGCGCCCCACCCCCGACAGAGGGAGGGATGCGGAGGAGGGTCTGCAGCGCGCCCCACCCCCGACAGAGTGAGTGAGGCGGAGGAGGATCTGCAGCGCGCCCCACCCCCGACAGAGTGAGTGAGGCGGAGGAGGGTCTGCAGCGCGCCACACCCCCGACAGAGTGAGTCAGGCGGAGGAGGGTCTGCAGCGCGCCCCACCCCCGACAGAGTGAGTCAGGCGGAGGAAGGTCTGCAGCGCGCCCCACCCCCGACAGAGTGAGTCAGGCGGAGGAGGGTCTGCAGCGCGCCCTACCTCCGACAGAGTGAGTGAGGCGGAGGGCGGTCTGCAGCGCGCCCTACCTCCGACAGAGTGAGTGAGGCGGAGTGCCGGCCGCTGCCATGTGTTGCAGTCGGCGCCTCCACGGCGGCCGTTGCAGCCGCGCCGCCATGGCCGCCCCCCTGACCGTCCGCCGGCGTTTTTTTCACGTTTCAGTGTCGTACACCAAGCAGAAGTCGCGCCGGTCCGTGTGCAGTGATGGCGTCACCGACTGGCTCGAGTCAGGGGCCGACGACACGTACCTCAAGGTCGAGGGCAAAGGTCAGCCGAACTGCCCCCGCCGGTAGCGAATGTGTCGACGATGAGTGTCCCTTGTGGAACTTTGTAAGCCGTCAGAAGTTTCTTGTTCTTTCTGCAATTGAATGACTTTCCATGAGTGTGCGGAGCAGAATGTAGTGGCACCTTACACCGGCGCTGAACATCTCATTTGGTCTGAAATCTAAAACCTGACGCGGTCTATGTCAACCGGTGATGGTGGCCTGCGGCCGGTTGGGCGGCGGTACAGCTCATGACGCGTCGAACTGACCCGGCACGGCTGACCCGGCCGGCCGTGTCGTCCAACAGAGGCGGACGTGTTCGACTACCTGCGCCGCGAGTTCCCCTACGTGCATCTGTCGGCCGAGACCAAGCGTCGCCTGATGACGCAGTACCGGCACCAGATGAAGTACATTATGAGCCTGGTGGAGCCCGTCGAGTCGAGGAAGATCAAAATACGGGTGGGTGCCTCCGCCGCCGCTCTGCAGGCCGACGTGGTCGCCGCGGCCACCCCATAGGTGTAGTGGTGGTGGTTGCGAGTGGCTTGTGACACCTGTCGGTGGCTTGTGATAGGCGTTGGCAGGCGTCAGTAGCCCCAAATCCCAAGTTATCATCAGATACGTGTTGGTGGTTGGGAATGACTTGGGTGCGCTTCCGCTTTCGACAAAACGACCGCTTCCGTGGACCTCGCGTCGGCTCGTTTAAAAGGCTCGCCTGGTTCAATGTTAACGTGCTTTTCTTCGAGGCTTCGTTTCTGGCGTAACACCATGGAATACACTCGCCATGTGGTGACGTGTAAGTCGGTCGTCTGCACTGCGCCGGCACGGATCCTGTCTCAGTGTCGGCCCCAGGCCCTGCGGTCTGCACGTGCGCGTGCCGGGCGGTCCGGGCCGCCTGCGCGTGACAGCGCCGACTGACAGCGCGCCCGGCCGACAGCGTAAGGACGTGCTGAAGCGGCAGGCGCTGCTCACCGACATCATGCACCAGCACAAGGCGCACGACCAGCGCTTCCAGCAGATGGCCAACTGCAAACGGCGCGAGGCCAAGATCCGGTGAGCGCCAGGGCGGCGGTGGCCCGGATCGGCACGGCATAGTGCCCAGCAACTACACATATGAGCTCTGTACCGCCGTTTGATCTGATGACGGTTTTTGTCCATGGTGGATAGACGTCATTAGCCCCACCCCTCAGCTCGTTCGGTGCTCTGCCTCCGAAGACTGCGGCTGACTGGCCTCCGAGCGCCCTTCCGGTGCAAATCGTCAGCTGGCGGGCGTGCAGCGCCGCCATGGCGCCCGCCGTCAACGTTACGCCGTCAGTCTTCATGTTGCCTGGCTTGACGGCGCCGGTCCGCACCGCCGTGCCCAGCTGAGCCGCGTGCGTGCGCCGCCGGCAGGAACATGCCGCGGGACAGCAAGATCTCGTGTCTGCGGGCGCAGCGGTACGTCAGCTCGTTCCAGCAGCAGTTCCAGTCGCGCTCGGCATTCAACAAGAGCAAGGAGGAGCTGGTGAGGCGGCAGTCGGGCCGGTGCTGGAAGTGCCCGCCTCGGGAAGGGTGTGGTCGGGAACCGTCACGCCCTTCCACGAACTCCTTGAGGAGACTGGCAGATTGTGCACGGCTGAGACGATGAACTGCCTTCTGGCTATGCCGTAGAGAGCTGCTTGACGGGCAGGTGTATGCAATCCTGGCGAGTGTAGGCTGTTACGAACTTGTGGAGTAGCCTGGGTCCGTCTGTCTCGCAACTGCCCGAGCTGGTGGCCTGGGCCGTGCTGTCTGAATGCCTTTGGTGATATTTACTCCGTCCCCACTCGTCCGCAACTGTTGTGAGCCATGGTAGACGGACTGGGGTCCGGCGCTGTCGGCCGCACACGCCGTGTCTCACCTTGTCTCTCGCCGTGTTTCACGTTGTCTCCGTGTTGGCAGCTGTTACGTGCCGTGTTCGAGGAGATGCTGGAGATCCAGCGCTGCCGGTTGCGCTCCGTGCGCAAGCTGGAGAAGCAGGCCATCCAGAAGTTCTACGACGCTGACGGCTACACGAGCGACCTGAACCGCATGCATCAGTACTACGAGGCCAACTTCCGGGACCTGGCGGCGCTGCTAGCGCGCGAGCGGGCCGACCTGATGCTGGCCGAGAAGCAGCAGACGCGCCTCAACGACCGCATACGGCGCGAGTTCCGAGACTACATGGAGGCGGACGTGCGCAGCCTCAACGACAAGATTGTCAACAGTTGGCAGCCGCAGTTCAGGTGAGCTGGGCGGGGCCGGGCGGGAGGGAGGTGGTGGTACTCTCCGGGAGGTGGTGCTGTGAGTGCAGGTCGCTGGAGTGTTGTGGTGCTCGTGTCGCTGTCCGGACCGCTGAGCCGGCGCCCCCGCTCTGCCGTTTCAGGGAGCTGGACGCGGACCGGGTGCGCAGTGATCTGTACCAGGCCAACTGGAAGTTCTGCGTCACGTAACCGAGCCGGTCGCCGCCGTCGTCCGAGCCGACCCGACCCGCCGGCGGCGGCGGGCCCGGGCCGTCCGCCGGGTCGCCACCGCCGCCGCCGGCCCTGCCGTCCAAATCACCGTCCGTGTCGCTGTCGGGCGCCGCCGGCCACCGCGGGCGGTGCCCGATGTCTGTGTGGGTCCCGGGTGGGCCGCGAGATACGTGTGAACGCGTCAGGAAACGTGGGAGCTAGCTTTCGAGTCAAATGGCGCCGGGTGGTGTGTTAGGGAGACCAACTGTTTTATACCAGAGTAGTTCTACAGGGGATGCAGCCAGGCGCGCGCGTGGTTGTAGAGGATGCCCAGATGTACCGTTATTGGTTTGAAGTATTTTAATGTTTCGTTACGTACAATAAATTGTTTCCTGATGCAAGGCTGGTTTTAGCTGTACCCATCCAAACCTGTGTTGGCCTGTGCTGCAGACCTTGTCTCAGTGCAGGGAGTGGGCCGAGACGTCTTCGGGCGGGTGAGTTAGAGGAAGGCCGGGCGGTAAGGTCTCGTTTGTTACACGGTGAATATGAAAAGGTGGATCTCGCAGGTTTTTTAATTGTATTATTCTTCTGTCTACAAGAATCATCTATTTGCCTATTCAAATAACGCAAGTTGTTAAGTCTTCATATTCTTTATATTGAAATAACGTGAATGAGAATGCTTCCGGAGAGCAACCGCCTATCTAAAAAAGAAGAAAAAAAGACGCTCAGAACAGACGCGAGGGGAAATGGCTGTTTATTTGCGAGCCGATTTCAAACCCGTCGAAGCCCTGTGGTCGAGTGGTAAATGCGAATCACCCACACCGCAGGACGTGACCAACAGGCAGTGCCTGGACCAACCACTTAACGTTATAACGGCGTGCAGTTGATGACAGTATCGCGAACATCTAAGTTATGAATTGTCTAGACGACTGGTTCAATTTGGGTGTTTGGTCGAAAGTCCGTCAGCCGTCGGGCCACAGCCAGATAGATCTTACTGAAAGCAAGCGACGCATCCGTATTGAAGCCACTGCTATTTGAAATTATGGCGTTGCAGCGAGGTACGCGCTTGTTCGCAATATGACTTGAATTGTTGCGTGCAATTTCGCAACATTTTCGTTATGGCTTTTTAGGAGACTCGGGTCTTGCAAAGGGGATGGAGGTGGTCCTGGAGCTCTGTCACCCTTCGTTTTGTCGTAAATAACTCCTGCACCCTTCTGCAACTTTTTGCAATGAATTGGAAAATTCGCCTGTGCGGTCATGTATGCCTAGCGGGGGCACTAAATGTGGTTTTATGACACTATCTTGGTTTGTTAAGCGGTAAACTGGGTTTTCAATATTCTGCAGCTTTTGCAACATTTTCCAGGATCCTTTGATATGAGCTCTGGTGCCTCGGAACACCACTGAAGACAATTTCAGAACGCACAATTCCTTTGTTATGTTCATACCCCCTTAATTTGATGCTAGAAATGTTCATATGTTCAGGCAGTCTGGCCGCCTTGCAAAGAAATCTGCACTCAGTAACGTGCCACACCCCGCGATCCTTCCAAACTACGTACAAGTGTGGGGCTGGCCAATGCCGTGTAAGACATATAAGTACTTCAGTGCCCGGAATGGAGGGTGCGGTTGAGGTTAGGGACAATGATATCGAGAGGAGTCCGCGGAATGATTCTCCCCCTGCTAGACTCGTTTGAAAGGACTTGGGCTACAAACGCCCTGCCGGGTATCTCGCCTACTCACCCGTCTTCGATTTCAACATTAGATTATTTTAAATGCAATTTCAATTCGTCTATCCGTACCCTTGGCTGAGTTGCCGTTGCTTCCACTGGTCCTTATAAACTGCCAGCTTTCAGGCAGTGACATGCATTCGACCCCCCCCCCCCCCCCCGTCATCACCATACGCTGCGTTCGTTCGTCGCATCACTAATCAATTTCGGCCCCACAATTCTACCCTATCAGCCCTCTGCAGTGGCACGCAGGATCGGGGGAAAGTACTGCTGCCTAGTACACTGCCAAAGCTAGGGTTAAGGAGCCTTAACGCACGTTTGCGATGTTCACCCCTCCTCATCTGGGCACGTCGGGCTCTTCCACGCGAAGCGTTCGGGTTCATTCGGGTGAAGGGCAAAAGCGTATAACCAAAGGTTTCTCCCGCCAATACAGGAGGCTCTCATTCTTAGAGTCGCCAAGGCAGCGTCCTTGCACTTAAGGAGGGCCTGTCATTGACACAGGCTCTTCATCCGTCGTATCGCCCAGGCGTCCTGCTAGTTTCTGACGTACGTAGTATATAAAGCGCACCGTCGGTGACTATGTATGCTCATGTGCTCTCCGGACTTGGAGACGCAAGAATGCTGTTGGCTGCGCACATGGACATAGTGGCGGGATTGTTCGCGAGTGCAAGTTTCTGAAAACAGAAGCTGCTGACTGACAAGATTTTGCTTTCTCTGACTGGCGAGAAAGCCTAGTGAGTTCTACACTCATCTATCACGCCAGCAGCAAATCTGCTACGAGTGGGCATCTCTAACCTGACACCTGCCGCCTGGGATACAGTGATGCACACGGCATCACGTGCGTTTACTTGTTTCACCGGTTTGTACTGCAGCCAACACATTTCAAAGGCGTGGGCTTCCGTTTTTGCAGTCATCGCACGCCGGGAATACCCGATGGGCTGTGCCAGAGGCTGAGGTTGCGGGAGGTGCAGCTGGCACCTCTTACGTGTGGTGGGTCTGAAGCCGTCTGGAGCACGGGGACACCCCAAGGCTGAAGCACGGGAACACGCCAAGGCCGGCACCGGGCGAGCACGGCCTGTGCGAGAGGCTGCCGTGTAGTTCCCCTGATACAGACGCATCTGTACACTTGTATATTCGTCATTTGATTTAGACTCGGACCGTCCAGCTCCATCCTACTAAACACGGCGCCCTGCTAACCCTGCCGAGCAGGACGCACATCCTGGTGCTCGCTACATCGGAAAACGAAGACGGCAACGCGGTGCTCGACAAGGACAAGACTACACGGAATTTCATCACGTGCTTTAACAAACGAGCAGCGTCACAGTCTCAACAGCGGCTTAGGAGGGGATAACCTTTTACAACTTATTCTTTATCTGCATGCGGTAGGAGCGCAGCGGAAGAAGCGCAAAATCTCCTCGATACTGTCAATCGGCGCCATGATTACTCGATCAGTCCGAGCGTCACCCGATAATCGAGCAACACAAAAACGACATCTTCTTAGCACCGGCATGTTCGAGCGGTGCCCGTCCACCCGCTGCCGCAGCACGTGCCAGCGAGCGTCTCTCGACTAGATCTGAAGGAGCAAAGCCACCCCGGCGAGGATCCACTTGCTGGCCTTCTCTTTGGTCTTCAGGTTGAACGTCCAGACGAAGGTGGGACCGCGCATGCGCGTCTTGTAGACGGGACACTCGTAGATGTTCCTCGTGTCCTGTTTATCCTGGGTCATCGCCTGGTAGACAAAAGACCTCGGTCAATGTCCATTGTAAGTTCTGATAACGGTTGCAACCTGACCGCAAACAACAAGTGCTGTGAAAGCGTCCAAAAACAGGACTGTATGGAATAATCGAGAATCGCACATTTATCACCGTGCAACCCCACAGGGATTGAAATCGCGGGCATTTGAGAACCTGGCCATCCAGCATGACTATCCCTGAGACAAACATCGAGTAAATGTCACCGGTATTTCCGCACAGCGAGTGAGTGCGGTACGAGCCGCCATTCGACTGCTTAAAGCGCGCTATGCTCGCGCGGCGGTGCGTCACATACTTTGATGAAGATAACTGGCATAACAGGGTAGAGCTCCTTGAGCTTGGAGTCCATGATGGAGTTGGCGCCGGTGTCCCAGCGGGCGCCCTCCATGAACAGGCCGTGGACGTAGGCGCCCTCGCGCGGCGCCGAGCTGTGGCAGTGTGGCGGTCCACTCAGTCGGCCGCCGGCCCGGCTCGGCGCGGCCCGCACCGGCGCTGGCCCCACCGGCCGTATGAGCCGACTGGCCCCGTGGCCTGGTCGTGATGACGTCCGTAACTACAGGCACAGCTTTCCAAAAGAGTATCGGTCCGCAGCTCAGCCAAGCTAGTGAGTCAGCCCGCAAGGCCCGCCTAGGTACCGATCACGCCTGCAAAAGCTCGCCATGTTATAATGCTGATCCACCTTTAACCTTTGAGTATACATTTAATTCAATATGCACTTTTATCACCTCATTCTAATTACAGACGTATACATTACGTTGTGGATAAAATGGCGTATAACTGTCATCTAACACATAACATTGTTTTCCTTTACCAGCGATGTTACTCAGAGGGCAGGAATCAAAGTACATGCGCAATAAATTGATCCTGCACCAAATTAGATCCGAGACACTGTGATAACAATTTTCAGCTATACGTGAAAAGGAAGAGGGTGGAAATTGCATTGAAAGCGCCATGCAGTGGTGGTCGTAAATTGCGTCTTCTGCGGACATAAACTAACAAAATATGCTACTACTTTTTTCAGCTTCGACGACTGCTGCACATTTGATACGTCAGTAACTGCTGGCTGGACTTAATAAACATAAACATATTTTTATGATTGTTTTGTGTCTGTCAGCGCACTTTAGTTTTGGGATGATTTTGAGACTTACGGAATAACAAAAAATACATGATTTTTGCCAGATTTTTTTAGCCGAAAAGCTCGCGACGTCTGACCCATAACAAAGCCAAAATCAAAAGTCAGAAATTGGCAGGTAGGCGAGCTGAAAAACTGCGTCAATGGATGACAAGAAAGCGTTTCTGTAGTTGCGTCTCTGCGTTCTGAAAACCTGTGGTCCACAACCAACAGATATCACCTGGCTCAGACTCATGCTTTGTACGCGTAGCTTTTGATAGAAGTCGCAGCTAAAGAAAATGTTCGGCCTCATCATGGATGACCTCCGAGGCACAAATCGCCAGCCGTCAGTCAGCGCCCCAACACCCGGCCGGACACGTCGCAGACCAGAGAGCTGGCAGGCAGTCGGAGCCGACGGCTTACGAGAAGTCCTCCTTGTTTTTCTTGGTGACGTCACACTGCAGGCACATCCGGTCGAGCGGCCACTCATTCTTGCGGGCCGTGCTCTGCATGATGGCCGTGAGGAACGACTGAGGGTTGAAGAAGCCGGCCAGCCACACGGACGCCGGCAGCTGCCGAGACGTGGAGACACGGCACGGTCAGGCGGGAGCCGAGACATGGTCAGACGGGAGCCGAGACACGGTCAGACGGGAGCCGAGACACGGTCAGACGGGAGTTGAGACACGGTCAGACAGGAGCCGAGACACGGTCAGGCGGGAGCCGAAACACGGTCAGACGGGAGCTGAGACACGGTCAGGCGGGAGCCGAGACACGGTCAGGCGGGAGCCGAAACACGGTCAGACGGGAGCTGAGACACGGTCAGGCGGGAGCCGAGACACGGTCAGGCGAGAACCGAGACACAGTCAGACAGGAACCGAGACACGGTCAGGCGGGAACCGAGACACGGCCAAGCGGGAGCCGAGACACGGCCAGACGGGAGCAGAGACACGGCGAGACGGGAGCCGAGAAACGGTCAGACAGGAGCCGAGACACGGCCAGACGGGGGCCGAGACACAGTCAGACGGGAGCTGAGACACGGTCAGACGGGAGCCGAGACAAGCGAGCCGTTCCTCCTGACCGCATGCATATATGGATTACCCCAGTCACCCAACCGTCGGTACAAAAACACTGATGTGGGGCTCACATACCTCCGTGGCGTTGTACAGACGGGCACACAGCACGCATTGCAATAGCAATCGCACCACTGGCAGTGGGCGCCGCTGCCGGTTGATAAAGATGAGGCGATAAAGCGACTGGGTTCTACACTTCAGGGGGGGGGGGGGGTCAAGTCTCCAGCTGCTGGAAACTCACCGCGGTTTAATATGAAAAGCTCCAGTATGACGCCTGGACACCGGAGCACAGAGCACGGTTTGTGCGCGCGTGGCTGTGAAGGGCCATTTCGTGAAAGCGCCACGCGAAACCTCCACCCCTGTGTACCGCGCCCCGGGCGAGCCGCACCTGGAAGTCGGAGGTCCAGCTCTCCAGCTCGCGCACGCGCAGCAGCAGGTCCGAGTACCAGACGGTGAGGCCCAGCATGGAGGCGTACGCCCGCTTGGTCCACGAGGCCGGCACGGCGTCCATGAACAGCGAGTTGCCCAGGTCCTCCATCTCGGCCGTGATCGTCAGCTCGCCCTGTGGCAGCGCCCAGCCCGCTCAGTCCGGCGGTCAGGGCGGCGCCGAACGGGAGACAGCAGACTCCTCCCGGCACGGCCGCGGGGACGTAGAGGCACACTGAGCGCGCCTGGAGACGCACAAACGCCGCCGCAGGCAAGTGCAGTTGGCTCGGTGAGCATGGCAGAAGCGGGTATTGGCCGGAAGCGGAATCGAGACTGTTTTCCAATGCGCGTTAACCCCGAAGGAACTGGGCGCAAAATGACCATTGCAGTCGACGCGCCCGAAAACACCAATAAATAATAACAACTGCGAAGGAACCGTCAGTACGCATCGGAAATATCATGATCTGGATCTACGGACCCACTCACACAACAGTACATGTTACGGGGTAAGTCCGCCGCGGCTGTCTAGGCGGACGGTCGAGGGTCCCACGCCCGGCACATCCCGGCGCGTGCCTACCTTCAGACCCAGGTCCAGCTCCTTCAGCGACCTCCGGATCTCACCCGTCAGCATGTTCATGCGCTCGCACTCCTGAAACGGCCGCCGTCGCTGACTCAGCACGCGCACCCCAGCACACATAGACCACTGCTGGGTTACGAGTTGGTTACTACGAGCTGAGTTGGTTGCTCGGTAGGTGTCAGCACCGTCGACCACCGCGACAAATCCATCCTCCGAGCAGCGGCGCACGACGGTACTGTCGTCCAAATGTAAGCCCCATGTGTTGATTTGTGGGCATTTTGCGTTTTTTATGTCATCTGATTCGTCTACTTATGCTGAATTCGGTTATTTAAACCATCAGTTGAAATTTTTCCAAACCGTCATCCCTTTTTCAGCTAAAAGTTTGTGAAAATTTCCACTACCGGTTTGAATATCACAATTCAGCGCGAGAAGACGAATCAACTGACACAAAAAACGCAAAATGGCCAGAAGTGAACATACGGGGTTCTACCTTTGGACGACAGAGTGGCGAGGATGCCGGTAGTGTAGTGGTTACCGCGTCTGCGTTAACCACTGCGCGTCTGGGAAACCAGAGGTACGGGGTTCGATTCCCCGCGGTGGCCGCCCTTCCTGCCGGGGTGAGAGGCAGGCGACGCCATATAGCCTCAGCAGATGAGTGCGTCGTAAAAGCCCCAATGACACACACACACACACACACACAGAGTGGCCATCATTTGGCGGAGCTGCGCGTGGCCAGGTCCGACAGCACCGTACCTGGAACGCCACCACCACATACGGCGTGCGCTCCTCCACCTTGCCCATGATCTCTGACATGTTGAATTCGTCCGGCAGCTTGTCCACGATGTCGTCCAGGATCTGCTTGACCTGGTGACCGGACGTCGAGGTCAGGACGGAGGCGCCGGGCCGCGCAAGGCAAGGCGGGGGCTGGAGCTCACCCGCAGTGGTACGCGGACGTTACACGGAATGGGCAAACATTAAAACGAATTACGGTTATCACATACACACGGCACCTTAACAGTATACGGCAACTATCGAAGCATCAACGCATCCAAGAGCACTTCCGAACAGGTCGCGCTCGCCGTATCCGGCCAGGCGCCACTCAGCTCCCTTCCCCCGAATCAGGGAGTCCCATCCCCCGAGTCACTGACTCACCTTCTCCTCTCGGGTGGTGGTGACGCCACCGCCTCCGCCCGAGTCGCGCGGCTGCAGCTCGAACACGATGCGGAACAGGTTGTCGGAGGTGGCCGTCAGAAACCCTGGCGGAGACGAGAGCGAGGCGCCAGGGCCGTCAGCCGTGGCTGCCGCAGGGCAGCGCTCGCCGCACTGGCGGCCAGCGCTGCCCGCACCGGCTTTTCACAGTGTGAGTGAGGAGTGTGCGTGTGAGTCAGCTTGAGCACAGGACGCAGAAGTAGGACGGCCGAGAGAGCCGTCCGTAGGGCGGCCGCAGCTCTGCACTTGCTGGTATTGCACCGCTGGAAGGATTGTCGTCTTGCGCGTCGCGGGCTCACGTCCGACGGTGGAAACTATCACACTGCACGCATCTCCCCAGCGTGTGAATATCAAAACGCAAACCCGGCAACCCGCCGAATCGCGTCATGAGTCTGGAGCTCTGGCGACCGGACATGTGTCTCGGCCTGCCGGTGCGGGGCAAGCAGCCACCCAGCCAGCCACGGGGCCGATCCTGCGGCCCCTGCCGGCGCCACTCACCGATCTCAGCGTTGGGATGGAGGCCGTACAGGTAGGGCGACTCTGGCGGCAGCATCTCGTCCACGTACGCGTGGTAGCCCTTGTAGTCGGAGTTGGGCGGGCTGGCGAAGCCCGGCGCGAAGAACAGGTCGCCCTCCAGCTGAGGACCGGCGGCGGCGCGGTCAGCAACGCGCCGGCCGGGAACACGGCCTCAGCCAGAGCGGGCCGAGCAGTGCTGCGCCGGTCAGCGGCGCGTCAGCCGGGAGCACCGCCTCCCCGGAGCGGGCAGACCAGTGCTGCGCTGGTCAGCAACGCGCTGGCCAGGAGCACAGTCTCCCCGGAGCGGGCAAACCAGTGCTGCGCTGGTCAGCAACGCACTGGCCAGGAGCACAGCCTCCCCGGAGCGGGCAGACCAGTGCTGCGCTGGTCAGCAACGCACTGGCCAGGAGCACAGCCTCCCCGGAGCGGGCAGACCAGTGCTGCGCTGGTCAGCAGTGCTGCTGACACCTCGGCACAACACGGTATCACCCGAGACGCCGCGACACATACGCCACCTCCTCTGCTAAAATGCATTAGAGTGGGGGTCAAGTTCAGCCCCCAGGGTTTTTCCAGACTAATTTACGAAAGGCGCGGTGCAGTCGAGCCAACATTGTGTAGCTGCAGGCAGTTGAAAAGCGGATCTTTGATATATAAATTAGATGCACCTTGCAATATCGCTGACGTATGACCGGTCAGTTAGGCCATAGCTGTCAGCGAAGGCGATTTCTAGTGAATAGTTCGATCTGGTACGACAACGGAGTGCTATGCACAGCCATGCATCTCTAATAGTTTTGTAGACAAGTAGAACACTATATTTAGGATAACGGAAAATTTCATTGACCTTGGATGAGGTATGAAGGTTAGCCGAGGTGAAAACCAGCCTGCCTTTTTTGGAGCGCGCTTTTTTGGTTAGTTTCTGATGCTTATTTCGAATTTCCCCATAACAGAGACCGCAGCAGACATCATCCATGGATTTCTTGACGGACAGAGTAGGTCGTTGACCTAAACGAACCCAGACCAACATTTTGTGCTCAGGAATATACCGCTTATCGTAATCCTTGGCGCTTATTCAAATTCGAAAATAAAAAACGATTGCGTAAGTTTTAAGTACCCATCAGCTTAAGGCCAACAAGGCCACTGACCTGAAATAAACACCACTGACATTTTGCTTAGAAAAGGTATCCAGATTTCAGGCGGTTGCGCGAGGATGTCTGGGAGCACTTGTAAAAAAATCTGGATTTTCACATTGTTGGACCTAATCTGACCTAGAATTCATCGTCCAGAATCCCTAAGTTCCAACACTAGTAATTTCCACTTCTCATTCCAGAGGGTGAAGTGATCACTCTCTCGCGATTTCGTGGCTTTCTGCAGCCCACGTGCCTGCATAAACACCCAACAAACCCGCTGCCCCGAGCCCGGCGTACGCCACTCCGGCGCAGACGCCTCAGCAGCGAGCGGCCGCCGGCCTGCCGGCATCGGGGTGACGTCTCCAGTGTCACGCCGCCCCGCCGAACCAGCGCTCCGACCACACCGCCGCCGGCGGCCGCTGGAGACGCGGCGCGGCCGCCGGCGCGCACCCACCTGGTCCGGGTGCATGTAAACCTCGAGGTAGGTGCGGCAGAGCCGGCGGTCCCAGTCGTCGGTGATATGGCCGCCGTACATGATCTCGCCGAACAGGTAGCGCAGGTCCTCCCACGGTACCTTGCTGTTGGCCTCCAGGTAGTTGAAGAGCACGTTGACGCTGATGGTCAGGTCGCCTGCGGCGGGCCGGGGGGGCGCGTCAGACGCAGACCACGACTGCCGCTGTACCGGCCATCGCCATACGTACCATCCCGTCATAAAGGCGTTGCAATGCCGTTGAGCTGATACAAAAGGTAATGGTGCGACCGAGCTGATGTAGAAAAGAAGTTGTACTAACATAAATTAATTGTCGCGCAGACAAGCGGATACCATCGTGAAAACGCCTAGACATCGTTAGAATGGTTCGGCCAGTTTCCCCTCATGGTTGTCACCGGCTCGCACCATATTCCATACCAAATGAAGCAAAGTGATTGATCAGGTGAGCCGTTTTGGTAGCACCGGCACATACCGTGTACGGTAGCAGTGACCGTGGCGGTGTGAAATGGCCACGACTCCGTCGTCGGGAGCTGACACTCCCAGCTGACCCTCCCCCCTCGCCGTCATCCCACGGACAGCCCACCCTGCCGCTCCGGCCGTACCGACGTTGAAGGGGTAGGGCCGGTTCCAGCCCTGCGGCCCGAACTTCCTACGCTCAGCCACCACCGCGTGGAAGTAGCAGAGCGAGAACAGGATCGACTTGAACTCGGCCTCCTTGGTGCACATCTCCAGCGTGTCCTGCAGCGGAGTGCGGCACGGTTAATGGCCCTGCATGGCGCCACCGGTTCGGTGAATATCGGCACTCGCATCGGTGAAAGCTGCTACTAGCATCGGTGAATGTCGGCACTCGCATTGTTGAAAGTCGGCACTCGCATCGGTGAGTGTCGGCACTCGCATCGTTGAAAGTCGGCACTCGCATCGGTGAAAGTCGGTTCTCGCATCGGCAAAAGATGCAGCGGCGGCCAACATCGCGTCACAATGATTCACTTTACGGCAGTAATCTCATTTAAAGTCATAACCACGGTGGCGCTACCACTATTAGCTCCTGAAACCGTGTAATGTGCGGCGATGTATTCTTCAAAGGCGCATCGAGCAGCACAACTCCAGCGTCCGGCTTTTCCGACGGAAGACGGGCTGCGCTGACCTGCGTGAAGTTGTCCAGCGCCTTGTGCAGGTTTGCGAACATCCCCGTAGGAGGCTCGTTCGTTATCTTAATCGCCGACTCGAGGATTCCCTGCGAGGAGCGAGTTGTCACACTTCGGTGGTGGAAAGAGCACGTCAGCTGAGTTCTCTCCGCATAATTCCAGACTCCCCCGCCCCCCCCCCCCTTCCCCTGACGGTGAGTCGAGCCAAGGCGAAGTCGTCCAGCACACGAAGTACCGCTTCAAAAGCACATCCAAAATGCTAGCATATCAAATGCTACTTGCTGATCGTTGTCGTGAATTAGAGAAAAGAGTAATGTGCATCAAGAACTCAATAAATGACGTGGCCGCTTAGCTCATCAAACTGGGTTTGGTCACCGCGGCGTACTCCAAGAGGCCAAAACACAATCTTCAGCACAAAATCCCTCGCTAAATAAATGCTCTGTCGCCCTGGACTGTTAGACTGTGCCGCGTTACTACCAAGTAATGCGGGTTGGCCGCGGTGAGGTTCCGAACCGCAGAGGCAGCGGCGCGCCAGCTGGTCTTCGCCTGCGGCGCGAGCCGTGGCCACCAGCACTGGCCAGGTACCCGACTCACCTGCGGTATGATGTGCGCGTCCGGCGTGGGCGCCGGCTCTGCCGACATGAACACGCGGTACTTCTTGTGCCCCGACTGGCTGTTGGTCTCCAGCCGCTTCTCCAGTCGCGGCAGCCAGTTCTTCACCAGGTGGATGTTCTGAGGGGACGACGGGCGACGGTCACACGTTCCCCGCCTTTCCAACATCGGCACGGTGAGCGGCAATAACAGGTGTGGTCTCCCACCCGGCGGGGCACCAGCATGGCAGCTAAGCACGGTGATGTCTCAGGCTTTACTGAAAATCAATGCTCGGGCTCATCAGACGTGCAAAATCCACCTGACACACTAGCAGGTCCATCTGGCGTATGGGTCACGAGAATGCCTCGAGGTGATTTCCTAGTTGGATTTGACATCAGAGGGCTCATGTGTCGTGGCACCCATTATGAAAGAGGAAATATCATCAACGTAGACATTTTCGAGGTCACAAAGATTCGTGCCACGGAACTGAAACACAAAATCCGCCCGTCCGTAGGAAAATGTAACCTCGTGACCCTAGCCAAAAGTCATCGTTTAACCTTCGTATCATGTCCGTTCTCTACTTTGTATTCAGCAAAATGAGACACTTCGCGTGCTGTCTTTCCTTGCAAGGCAAAACAAGTTTCCGCAGGTACAAGTGTCTAAACAGCATTCCCATGGCCCAAAACATGGTCCTCCTCACTTCTCTCGAAGTCGTCAAATCGACACGTTAGTCTACCGTCATCTTTTGCATTGGCCATCGTTCAGATTTATTTGCAGCTGCGTACCATGGGCTATTTGACGCGTTGAGTCCACCTAGCAGAATACCCGCTCTATCCGACACACGGGTCACGATATGGATACATCCTTTAGCTATTTGCAGAGCTTATGTGACGTTGATATACATTTGACGTCCTAGCGCCAACAAAAACACAGGAAAAACTACTCCGCATTAAATTTTCGACTGTAAAACATATGAAATACTAGCACCAAGTGATAATGCAAATGCATGTAAATTAACCCAACAGGCCAGAACTAAGGGTCACCACATTTTGACATAGATTGACCAGTGGCAAAAACGTACAAATACAAACCACATAAGGTTTACCCAAGGCCCGTCGATGACCGATGGACATCTGTAAAAATGGTGACAACTTCACCTCTTCTTAGGTGTTTTAAGCCTGGTCGCTGTTTTGTCTGAATCCTCCGAACAACTCGCCCATCTGCACAGGACAGCTGATGCACGGTCATTGGTCACCTGCCCTGGTTCAGGCGGAGCAAACCGGCTGGTGTTTTTGAGTGTCTGAAGTTATCTTGACTGTAGCGAATGGCGCAGCGAGCTTCTCAGCCTCAACTGCGACTTCCGATTATTTGATGATAAAGAACCAGATACTGACAGTCAATTTCTGTACGGAATTCGTCCATGGTCCCCTGAGAAAATGTGACCCGTAGCAGTACCGGTTCCTCTCTCGAGCTACGGCTCGCCTCACGGTCCTCTCAATGCCGTCACAGGCTGTTCTGCCGCGAGACGTACCAATAAATTCAACTCATCGACCGTTCCAAAATATGTGTAATGGTAAGCGAGGTCAAAATGCACTCGAGCGTGTGTGTGTGTGTGTGTGTGTGTGTGTGTGTGTGTGTGTGTGTGTGTGTGTGTGTGTGTGTGTGTGTGTGTGTGTGTGTGTGTGTGTGTGTGTGTGTGTGTGTGTGTGTGTGTGTGTGTGTGTGTGTGCGTGCGTGCGTGCGTGCGTGCGTGCGTGCGTGCGTGCGTGCGTGCGTGCGTGCGTGCGTGCATGTGTGTGTGTGTGTGTGTGTGCGTGCGTGCGTGCGTGCGTGCGTGCGTGTGTGCGTGCGTGCGTGCGTGCGTGCGTGCGTGCGTGCGTGCGTGCGTGCGTGCGTGCGTGTGTGTGTGTGTGTGGGTGGGGGGGGGGAGCTTAAGGCTCCCCGGAGGATTTTCCACAAGAATTTCCACACGGCATGGTGTGGTCGCACCAAGCGTCGTACAGCTGTAAACAACTGAATAATTGATCCCTTGATATAACAAATAAATGCACCTTGTAAGTTCACTGACTTTGAGAAGGTTCAAGCCTGGCCATTGTTGTTAGCGATGCCAATGCCCAAGGAATCTTTCAATATGATGCGACAACGGCGTGCAGGACAAAGCCATAAAGCTTTGTGTCGGTTTCTTAAACTAGGTAATTGCAGTAAAAACTACGACAAATCCCATTGACCTGGGTCGGGCAGGATGGTCCTATCAGGGTCAGAAGTAAAATATCTTGATTACCGAACACCTTACCTTATGGAGTTTTGGACGTTCATTTCGAAATTCTGGATCACAAGGACACAAACAGGCTAATCTAGTTTTTTTAAATCATGGAGGTCATGGAGGTCATTTACCTAAAACAACTCCGATCAACCATATATTTTGAAGAGTATGCTCAGTAACGTAGTACTTATCGCCAAATGTACATAAATGCAATGCCCATGGTTTCTGGTCACCTATACTTTCCTAAGGTCAAATAAGGTCAGTGGCCTAGCATAGACACCAGTGAAACTTTGCTTGTGGAAAGCATCTAGGTTAAATATGGTTGTGTGAGGAGGTCTGAGACCGAGGCTTGGAGGGCTGAAGAGGTCTGGGTATCAAACTGGCCTGTCACTTGGGCGCATCGCCAGGTAATTATTGGCCAGAGAATATGTGCGTTGACAATATTCTTGTCATTATTATTGGTGTTACGGTGTCTAGAACATACTAATGTCAACCCCGCTATAAAAACACCTCGATGCTTGTCTTGTAACCCATAGGTTGGAAGGAACTGATACTATGCCAGACGGCTTCTACGCACCAGATAGCCGCTGGCACCAATATTCAGTCCCAGCTGTGACAAGACCGTGCCGGTGGTGCTGCGCTGGGTGGGAGGTTACACCAACACACGTCCAGATACTGCCAAGACCAGTATCTATCACGCACTTGCTGTGATGCGCAGCACAGGCCGGCAGGTCGGCAGTCGCGTCTCCCTCCCTTCGAGGCTACCGCGCCTGTCGTGCGTAACGCTGGCGAGCACGCACGGCACGACGCCACAAACCGGCGCCGCTTCTGAATACAACTGTACGGCGCCATACAGCGTCCCCTGCGCCCTAGCCCGGCGGCGGCCAGCGCGCGCCGCCTGGCTTTGGCGTGGCTGGGGCCGCTTCAGAATACAACTGTACGGCGCCATACGGCATCCCCTGCGCCCCAGCCAGACGGCGGCCGGCGCGCGCCGCCTGGCTTAGGCGCGGCCGGCGCCACCCACCTGCAAGATGACCCAGTGGCCGTGCTTGGCGGCCACCTCCAGCGCGTTCTCGGCCACCACCTCCTGGCCCTGGCCCAGCGACACGCTGTGGAAGTTCTTGTGGTCGAACGTGAAGCGCAGCTTGCGGCCCAGCTTCTCCACATCCTGCGATGGCGGCCAGAGTCAGCGACAGACGCGGACACGCCGTGCCCTCCGGTCCGCGAACGGCTCAGACAGGCGATGTTCAGCAAGATATGACACAAAGTATCTACCCCTCTCTCGGAAACGACTGTAACCGGAACGTCACGGGGCAATACAGTTCATCCGTGTGTTTAACCACAGCGGGCGTCAGAAATAAATAGCCATGACTATCCCAAAAAGCTAGCTACAAATTTTGGGCATTCAGTCCGGTTCAGATGAGCACATTTCATGTAAGTGCATGCTCTGGCGTACTTTCAATGGGTCCACGCCAGGTGATAAGATGAAGAAGATGGGCGTGGACGGACCCGACTCTTCGAACGACTTCGAGAACTCCACACTTCGGCCCTCGATGTACTTAAATCCAAGCCTTTCTTCGATGAAAGCTCTGTAATCAAAGACGTGCCACACGAACGGTCACCACCATCGCTACGAAGCGCCGCAAAAATGCGCAGGGGCATTTTTGACCTCTAGCTAGCACACCGCTAGCGTAGTGATTCAGCTACGCATCTGAAAAAACAGGCGTGCAGGGCCTGATTCTCCGTAGTGTCCGCTCCTTCGGCCACAGTGAAGGGCGCTCGACGTAATATAAACTCAGCGGCCTGTTACGCCACATAGCCCCAATAACACGCATACACATACATACATAACGGCGCGTATCGCCGTCCCAATTATATAGCGCACAGGCTAACGGCGCGCGTATCGCCGTCCCAATTATACGCTCATGCAAGGATATAAAAGACAGCGGACACCACGCTTGACTTATTCATCATGCACCTGGCAACTAACATTTCAAAACCCAATGGGCAGGTTTTGATCGTCGACACTTACGGTACGAGATGGATAACACGATTTTCTTCCAGCTCGCCGTTTGACAATACCACCTGAGCGGCTTGTCGCAGAGGCGGCCGTCTCAGCACTGGTGCCGGACCTCCGGTTGTGTGCTCCTCCCCTCCCCCGCGGCCGTGGCCACCACTCACCGGACGGCGTAGGTCATGCGGTCCGGCCGCAGGGCGCGCATCATGCACAGTCGCTGCAGCGCCGACTTGTTCTTCCACTCCTGCGGGAACTTCTCCTTCTCCGGACACTCCGACTCGCAGAACTTCTTCCAGCGCTTGGCCGAGCCCTCGATGTCGCGGTCCAGGTTCCTGCGGCGGCGCCGGGCGCGGCCCGTTACAACGGACGGGCGCCGCATCGGCAGTAAGCTGGCCAACATTTTCCGTGACGTCTCTTGAGCCAAAACGCACACAACAGGCGCAGGTGTCGTGCATGATAAACCCTATACAGAGAGTGGCTGTGCACAAAGAATGCATTGTTTCTAGGCCTACAAACCATATCGGAAGCCAGTGAGCGAGAAACGGCGGTGACGGTGACTGCTTACCCTGCATGATGCGCACTGCGCACATCCCAGCCCAGCCCGCAGCACGGTCAAACCAGACCGCCCCAGCAGTGAGCTATCGGCACGTGAGAGACACCAGGCGCAGCGACTCACTTGAACTCCTCCAGGGAGCTGAGGGACTTGATGGCGCCCCAGTATGTGTTGGTGAGGAAGTCCACCGGGGACGTGACGTTCGGGGTGATTGGGAAGCGCAGCAGGAAGTCCAGCTCGTAGTAATGAATCTCCTTGCTCTCCAACAGTATCTGCACCAGCAGTGGATCACTCAAAAGCAGCCCGCAAGCAGCGCAGTTGGCGAACTCTCAGTCTGAGGTGCGGATGTCTTTGAGATAAGCCCAACGCAGCAGCAAACTAGCTAGTCTGTCACTAACACATCATCAACTGAGTTTCTCCGTCTCCTACTCTGCGCCGATCAAGTGCCATTGTGACGGTAGGATATCAATGCACGCCTTCAGCGCTGCCGACTGAGAATGTTAGAACACTGAGCGTTCGCAATCACCGACTGAACCAGACGGATAACATGAGCAGGCTCAATCGATTTACGCGCCCGCCTCAGCCGTTGACGGGGTCACTCGCCTGGAACGCCATCTGAGCGGTGAAGATGAGCTTGTCGCATTCGAACAGACCACGTGTGGTGTACATGAAGACCGAGTAGGTGACGCTGTCAATCAGGTTCTCCACGCGGTCCTTCACCTCCTCCGCCGGCTCCGCCTTGCTCATGGCCTTGTGGAACACCACGCTGAACGCCTGCCGCGGGAGAGGTGGGCTCCGTGAGGACGCGGCGGCGTCCACACTTGAGGCGGCCACCCATCCCACTCCAAGACAGGGCCGCGACGTCTCAGACAGCAGACACCGCTCCGACGCGGTGCTGTCTGACAGCGCAACCGAGCAGCTCACTCCAAACGATACCAGCCAGGGCCGACCGAACGCCCAAATCGCATCATTAAGAGATCAACACCCGTTTGTTCCTCACAGGCTGAGTCGGCACCAAGCCAACGTGACCATCGCTGTGCTGCCGAACAGGTTCCTGGTGAGCCAATCCGCCCAGAGAGCCGACTTACGAGCACCCGCGAGACGCTGCGCGAGAAGCGTCACCGCGTCCACACATTCCACCTGGCAGATGATGCCGGTGTACGGCGGACGGATCGGCACGGCCAGTCCCAGACAGCGGCGCGGCGCCGGCGGTAGCGTGGGCTAGCCGGTCGACGCCGGCCACGACCACGAGGCTCCATCTGTCGCCATCCGCGAGCCACTCTCGCCGTCACCAGCTGCCGTCACGACACGCCCCAGAGGAGGCGTGAGTGATGGAGCCGGCTGGGCTCGCGCCGGCCACCGGCCACCGGCACCGCACGCCTGGCTAACGCCGCAGGCCGGCACCAGCGTCTGCTGCGCGACACGAGCGTCGCTCGGGCACGGACCGGCACCGGGGGTCCGCCACACCACTGGCGGGCAGGGCCGACACCGGCGACGGCCCTGCACCGGGGCCAGCCAGCTCCGCAGCACCGGAGCCAGCTCGGCGCCCACCTTGAGCGAGAACTGGTAGATGGGGTTGATCTTGTGCAGGTCGTTGAGGATGAAATAGAGCAGTGAGGCGCGCGCGGCGGCCGGCCGGTACAGCTCGCGGGCCTCGTCGATCTGGATGGACGTCTCGCGGCCCTCGATCACCTGCGGCAGCGCCGGCGACGTCACCTCCCGTCACCGCTGACTGCACCGGCCGACACGCCGCTCCACAGCCCAGTCGGCCACCGCACCACGCCGCTCGGCCGGCGCCCTGGCCCTGGTCTACCGGCCACCCGCTCCGGCTACAGCATCAGCCGCACTATTTATTCATATAGCAGCCAAAAGGCGTTCGACCTTAATATTAAAGGGTTGGACCTACTAACAGACCATATAATTTTATTTTCCTGAAGTAAGGGTGGCATTTTGCATTACAAAAACAGCTTTCCAACCGACCAAACCACTGGAAATATCACCACCACATCCCTTGCATTCAGTCGTAACGCAGTGACTGAGACGCTGCATCAGAGCTCGGGCGATAAAACTCCTGGTAAACAAGACAGGCGCGAAATTAACGTGGGGAGTAAGCCACATCTTTCTACGCATCAACTCGCTTTTCTATTCGTAGACGCAATCCATTTCAACTGTTCAACAAACTTAAAAAAGGCTTTGCAAGTCAAGTGACGCCAACTGCTCGCGCAACGCCCGGTTTGAGCTACGTCAAACCTTCTTAATACGCAAAGCAGGCAGTAAAAAGGCACTGTTGGGCAAAAATGTGACACAGTCCCACGTCTGCGGCACTATTTGTAATGCCCTTAAGAAGCAGCACCTCTTCTCTCACGCCAAGAAATCTCGCCGTGTCTGGACTGACCTTGTCTTGGACCTCAGCAGCTGTGGCCTTGGTATACTCGAGATTCTCCACCAGCTCTGTGTCTCCCAGGAAGTTGCCGCCGGCAGAAGACAGACGCGACAGCAGATTATCCTCCAACTTCTTCAGCAGAATCTTGAATTCGTTCTGCTGCTTCGTTAGGTTGTACTGCACGCAGAGTGGAGAGGATTCGATTATAAAGTTGATATAAGTAAGGCCAATTATGCATAAGTCAAGTTTATACTAATTCCCATACATTCTAAGCCTTAAAGTGGCTTCAATTTTGAAATCACCTAGGGTTCTCAGCAAATATGGTGAAAGCCTTGTAGCATTTGGCAGCGCACAGCATTTCGCTGCAGTGAAGCTTTACGGAAATCCGCCGTGCGCACAAACTATCGATGGAGCGAGTGCGCAGCGCCAAAAAAAGTTTCAGCATTCCAGAATTTCGTGGGGACGCCCTGTTCTGAGCTTTTGACGAATCATGGTTAGACAGGCATATTCAACGTGCCCGTCTCATTATTTGTCAATCGAAGTTTCGTTTTTCTTCCATAAGTTCAAAATAAATCAGTAAGGCATTAATAAGATAGCGGAGTTAGCCGCCAATACATCTGCAACTTTCTTATATTCCGCTCAAGCTGGCAACGCATCTGAAGTCAACGTAAGTCTGAGCAGGCATTAAAGATAACATAGGGCTCACCAATATTTTTATTTTGACCACGCATAACCATTTGCCAACGCTATGAGCTAGACCATCTTACAGAAAACAATAGTTATGTTATCTTCTTAGACTAGTTATGGACTTGTAAATCGATCACAGCAGAATTTTCAACTCAGATAATTGAACTACGGCACGAAGCGAAGCTAAATATCACTTTCTCTTCTTACGGAAGTGACGCCACACCCGTCCCACATTCCTTGGTTTCGCACGAATGATCATAGAACATTTTTATGACGATGAACATGATGACCGCGGCACACAGCGCACACACTAATGTCCGCATTATCTTATTCACCAGCAAAGTATGTGATCAGTGATGATTCTTGCAGCCCCCGAAAGACCAGAAATCAAGTACACCACTTGCCAGCACTCCGATACGTTGCTTGGGACCGGAGAACGGATCTTTCCCAACAAATGGTTTGTCTCGTATCGTTCCAGACACGCACGCCACCGGCCCGGCCGCGGCCGCGTAACGTCTAGGGTATACCAGTGTACGTAACCTCTGCTCTTCGAGCTTGGATCACCGGGCCTTCACCACCTCGGCCATCAGTCGGCGTCCCGGAGCGAGCGTGACCTTACCTTCTGCTCCTCGAGGTCGGGCCTCGGGCATTCACCACCTCGGCCAGCAGCTGGTGTCCCGGAGCGAGCGTGACCTTACCTTCTGCTCCTCGAGGTCGGGCCGCTCGGCCTTCACTACCTCGGCCAGCAGGTGGTGTCCCGGAGCGAGCGTGGCCTTACCTTCTGCTCCTCGGGGTCGGGCCGCTCGGCCTTCACCGCCTCGGCCAGCAGCTAGTATCCCGGGGTGGGCGTGACCTTACCTTCTGCTCCTCGAGGTCGGGCCGCTCGGCCTTCACCACCTCGGCCATCAGCTGGTGTCCGGGAGCGAGCGTGACCTTACCTTCTGTTCCTCGAGGTCGGGCCGCTCGGCCTTCACCACCTCGGCCAGCAGCTGGTGTCCGGGAGCGAGCGTGACCTTACCTTCTGCTCCTCGAGGTCGGGCCGCTCGGCTTTCACCATCTCGGCCATCAGCCGGCGTCCCGGAGCGAGCGTGACCTTACCTTCTGCTCCTCGAGGTCGGGCCGCTCGGCCTTCACCACCTCGGCCAGCAGCTGGTCCTCCAGGCCGTCCTTGGTGACGGTGAAGTTGATGAGCGTGGTCTGCGCCTGCATCTCGGGCTTGTAGTGCGGGTTGGCGAGCTTGGTGTGCAGGATCAGCCGGAACTCCGGGTTGTACTCCACCTCCTTGTCGCCCAGCTTGATGGCGCTAGCGGACAGTGCGCACGTAAGTCTGCGGCGCCGCACCACGTCAGCAGTAGCACACATGGACCCGGGTCCGTGGCATGTCACTACACGGATAAACCGAGTTTGTAGTTGTTGAGAACTGGCGTCCAAATCGTGTAGTCCGCTTAGACCCAGCATGGCACCAATGAAATATATCGTTGAGAGTTGTCAGCACTACGGAAGGCTATGACCACGTCAAGCAAGCTCGCTTCTCCTTGGCTAGCGCAGCTTGGCCAGGCCATTAAGACACTCTGCCTGCTCCTGCTGAAACTCCAACCTATCACTGGACCAGATCCGGGCACCTGGCCGGCCGGCGTCAGGTTCGTCTGCTCTTACAGACGCGTGATGCACGTCACCCCGCAGCCCTGCATCCGGCCCAGCGACGGCCGCGTTCCTATCGGTCATCGGTCGCATCCACAGCAGAGAATCGAACCTACGCTTCCCCCCGGCAGCCGGCCGCTCCGCCACCGGCGTTGGCCGGGGCGGCCGGGGCGGCCGACGTACCTGCCCTTGCGGATGAGGTTGCGCGCCAGCAGCGGGTCGAGCACGGGATCGACCGACTCGCCGATGTTCTCCACCAGCACGACGGAGCCGGCGCTGATGGCCTGCTCCACCACGTCCATGTAGCCGCGCTGGCCCAGCCGAATCACCTTCAGCTCGGCGCCGTACCTGGTCTTGATCCACTTGATGCCTTGCAGCTGGCGGAGCGGGCGGCGCGCGTGACGGCCGCGTCGTGCTCGCGTTAACGCCCTCGAGCACAGTTCGTTCGAAACGGCGATAGTACAGCACGACTTAAGACAGCACGATGACCGCGCATGAGCCTGTACCTACACAACACCACAAAACAACGCCGTGATATTCGACGTCTGCGCATGCGCCGAGCCCACCGCACTGACAGCGAGTGGCACTGGTTTCGTGTGGCTCCTCGCCCACGCGTGCCATCTACACTGGCTGGCTCGTGGAGAGCCGGTGGACGGGTTCAGCGCGTCGGCGGCCGCACCTGAGGATCAATCATGAGCGGCCAGCGCTCCGACTTGGTGAGGATGGTGGCGTTCTCCGCCGACATGCGGTCGTTGGGCAGACCCTCGTTGTTCCAGGTGGCGATCTGCGCCTCGTCCGTCAGCAGCGAGAGCGGGTCCAGCTCGGGCGTGGTCGGCACCTGGCGGCCGGCGGCCGGGCGTGACACGGGCGCGGCGGCGGCGGCGGCGGCGCAGTCGTGCGCGCACGGACCTGGCGCACGCGGCGGCGAACACAGTAGCTCACGCGCGGACCTGGCGCACGCGGCGGCGGCGGCACATTGGTGCGCACGGACCTTGCACACGCGGTGTTGGCTGAACAGTTGCGTGCGCACGGACCTGGCACACGCGGTGTTGGCTGAACAGTTGCGTGCGCACGGACCTGGCGCACGCGACGTCACCGCCGAGCTCGGACAGACCCAGCGCGCGCGGCTCTGACACCAGACGGCAGCGCCGCTGAAGCCATGATGCGCACTGACATCGCCCCGGACAAGACAGGACATTCAAACAGGGGACAGAGGCAGCGACTTTGCAAGTCCGTATATCGACATCGATCTTATCATGCAGCGGATGTGTTATCGTTCTTGTGCATTACCAACAAAAAAAATCCATCCACGCCGAGATTCTGTCCTTTTGACCACACACAGGTATAAACAGCGGGCCGTTCACTCTCGCAGTTGATCGAGGGCGACACCACTCGCGGTGTCGCCCCCGATTAACACCGCTGCTCCGGCGTCACCACTCGCGACGACGCACGACACCGCCGCCGCCGACAACAGCCGGCCAGTGGCTGCGTCATATGGTGGTACTCGTCCGCCGGGCTGGGTTACAACGCGCCACCACTGGAGCGCGACACTGCCGGCGCGCTGTCTACGTACAGCCGCGTCGCAACCCCAATTCTGTATGCGTGAGCGTACATCCTCGTAACATGTGTGAAACACGTCCTGATTGCTACTCCTCGGGAGCGATCGCTTACCTCCAGCTTGGTGATCTGCGGGAACCACTGTTTGTCGAGCAGCTCCGTCCTGTACTGCTTGGTGAAGCAGCCCACGTACGAGATGAAGGCGGTGACCAGCAGCACGTCCCCCGGTATGGTGGTCTCCTGCTCTTTGTACCTGTCACGGCGACCGCAAAATGGCAGCTCTCCATCTCACGTGTCGGACGCTTATTACATAAAATGTGGCTGCCGAAAGCCATGGCTTTCACTCCGTCGCATGCTCGCTGGTCGGAGCAGGCGAGCCTGAGCATAACCCCAGGAATGGTTATGCGTAGCAAACATCAAGTTTGAGTCACGCATGTTGAAAACAAGACCGCCACTAAACGGACAAGTCCGACCTAAACGCAAACGACGAAATCTCAAACACCTGATCAATCCACACGCAACGCCTGTACAGACACATTTTCATTTCACGGGGCAGTTTGGCCGATCGGGCTCCGAGACAGCCGCCTATAACTCCCCGCCCCTGAGCTGGCGGCCCGACCGGCCGGCAGCAGCAGCAGCCACAGCAGCAGCCGCAGCAGCTGCAGCAGCATCAACGGCGGCGGCGGCGGGTGCAAACCTGGCGACACTCTCTCCCCAGCGGACGTTCTCGGAGGCCAGACCGCCCACCAGCCGGTTGGCCAGGTCGATGACGTAAGCCGTGGCGTCCGCCTCCTTCTGGCACTTGACCTTGGCCGCCGTGGCCTCCTCGAAGTCGGCCGTCAGCTTTCCCAGCGTCTCCTCCAGTACCTGGCCGGGCGCGTGGGCGCGTCAGTTGGACCCGCTCACTTTGAGGGGCGGGGGGGGGGGGGTAAGACGGGCACTGTCACTATCAGCTGGGAGAGCGGCCCCCACAGCTCCCGTCGCTCCGGGTCCCGTCACATTTGCCGGGTCGGTTCGAGGGTAGAGCCAGCCTTAAGCCAGCAGGGGCAGGTGACGGGCTTTCGTCACACAGATATATTTGCAAATATGGCAGGGAAATGGGAGACAGCCAGATGTTGACAGATAATGCACGTTATTTAACACAGGGACCACGGCAATGCAGACCATCCCAACCCGCTTCTCAGAACCGACAGCCAGCTGTGCACGGGGCCCACACAGGAGTCAACAACTGCAGTGCTGCGAGGACGACCGTCCGCCATGACCGGGCCGACGTAACACAAGTCCACTCCAGTCCTCTAAGCAAGCCGCTGGTCCGTATCGAGCCCTGTTCCCAGGCCCCGACCGGTGGGCGTTGACCGCCCCGTCGGGCCCCGCCGCCACATTACTGAGTGATCCCGGCGGACGCCTGTGAGACCGGCTTCCCGCCGTGCAGCGGAGCACCGCGGCACAGTCTACCTCCGCCGGCCGCCTGGTAGACGCGGGAGCCTGAACGCCGAGTAGGACCGCAGCACCAGCCGATGCCAGTCCACATCCCTAGCACGGCAGACCCCCGCACGCGCCGCGCCAGCTCTCCCACCCACTAGCAGAAGACTCTGCCACATGCGACAGACGCCACACGCCGCAGAACACCACAGCGTGGCCGCGGCACCGGTAATCCGGGTGCTGATCCACAGCAGGATCCGGATCCACAGCACCCACCCACGGCTCGCGCCAGCCACTCACCACGACGCGCTCCTTGATCTCGGCCAGCTTGTCCTGGGCGGCGGCCAGCTCGGCGTTGGCCGCCTCCAGCGCCAGGCGCTTGGGCTCCACCTCGCAGTACACCTCGTAGAACTTGACGATGTTCAGCACCCAGGCGCACAGACCTGCGGCGTCGGCCGGCCAGCGGCTCCGTTAAGGCGAGCGCGAAGCCAGCGCTCCGTAGCAGACTGCTTCGGCAAACAATCGATCGTGAAGGCCGTCGAGTGGTGGGCGGAACAACACTGGATACAGACACAGCTCTCTGGTCTTTTAATCAACGAATGCATGGCGCACGGCAAGGGCCCACCGCTCGTCTCGGCGACGGCTGGGCTCTGTCGGCGCGCGTCACCGCCCCGGTCCCGTGTAACCTCCTGCCTGACCTGCCGCCGCCAGCGACTTGGAGCGGATAAACTCGGCGTTGAACTGCGGGTCGGCCAGGTACGGCTTGATGGCCTTGAGGCAATCCGGGTGGATGTGCTCCTTGTCGTAGTTGCGCAGCTCGTCCAGGAAGCCGTCCACCTTAGCCATCATCACCTGCCGCGGCGCGTCGGCGGCGGGCGTCAGATGACACAGCGCGCACACAGCAGGCTCACGCTCCACCAACACAACACACGAGCACGCGCCAACTATTGCCAGGACGTGCAGCGGTGAAGCCAGCCTGCTCAGCCCCCCCCCCCCCCCCTTCTCCCCGGCACCACGAGCGGGAAGCACCGCACATCTGACCCTGAAGAGCAGACCTTCCAGGAGCTGTCCGAACATGTCACCGGAGTCCGTCCCTCGTGCCTCGGCACCCCACGCCGGGACAGCGCCCGGCCGACCGGCCGCCCGGCTCGGAGCGTCACGCCGTACCTTGCACGCCTTCCAGGAGCGGTCGCGGGCCACCTTGCCGCCCGGCGCGAGCAGCACCATGACCGCGGCTGTGACGTTCACCACGGCCGGCGGCGGCGTGCCGAACGACTTCAGCTCAGTCAGGTTGTTCTGCGGCACACACGCTGTGCGTCGGCTGCGGTCACGCAACACAGCCACACGCGCATGCGCACACACGCACACACACGCACATACACACGAACACACACACACACACATACACATACACGCACGCACGCACGCACGCACGCACGCACGCACGCACGCACGCACACACACACACACACACACACACACACACACACACACACACACACACACACACACACACACACACACACACACACACACACACACACACACACACACACACACACACACACATACTGCTGCAATCAGGCAGCATTCTTTACCTTCAGGAAACAGTAAAAATATTAAGGACATGTGTTTATAAACAATTGAGCTTAAAACATCTCTTCGGTAAATCCTACATCACAAGTGCGAGAAAAAGCTCCACCACAGTTGAGACGCCTTCTCAGGGCCGCTGCAACACCGTTTTGGCGTGGTGGTGGCAAACGAGCCGCCGTGCCGTCCCGCTCGCTCCGTCCCCCAACGCGTCCGGAGCGGTACCCACTCCCGCCCACCTTGTTGAGCGTGTCGAGGGCGTCCTTGGCGGCGATGAGCGCCGGCTGAGCCTTGGCCAGGTCCGCCTCGCATTCGCGCTGCTTCTTACCCACCTCCACGGTGATGACGCCCACCTTCTTCTCCTCGGAGTCGGCTGGCGACAGGCCCCGGCGAAGGTCAGGCGGTCGGCACCGCCGACGGTCAGAACATGAGTCGACGGTCAGGACATGTGCCGAGGGTCAGGACATGTGCCGACGGTCAGACGGGTATGAACCGACAGTCAAATGGACACGAGCCAACAGTCAGACGGAAATGAGCCAACAGTCAGGACATGTGCTGATGGTCAAACGGACACGTACCAAAGGTAAGACGGACATGAGCTGACGTTTAGGACACGTGCCGACGGTCAGGACATGTGCTGACGGTCAGGCGGACATGTGCCGACTGCAAAATGGACGTATACCGACGGCTAGGACATGAGCCGACGGTCAGGATATGTGGCGACGGTCAGACGGACATGAGCCAACAGACAGGACATGGCCCGACGGTCAGAATATGTGGCGGCGGTCAGAACATGTGCCGCCGGTCAGACGGACATGAGCCGACGGTTAGACGGACATGAGTCGATGGTCAGGACATAAGCCAACGGTCAGGATATGTGCCGGCGGTCAGAACATGTGCTGCCGGTCAGACGGACATGAGCCGACGGTCAGATAGACATGTGCCGACGGTCAGGACATAGGCAAACGGTCAGGATATGTGCCGACGGTCAGACAGACACGTGCAGTCGATCACACGGACATGAGCCGACGGTTAGACGGACATGTGCCGGCGGTCAGACGGACATGAGCCGACGGTTAGACGGACATGAGCCGACGGTCAGAACATGTGCCGGCGGTCAGACGGGCATGAGGCGACGGTCAGACGGACATGTGCCGGCGGTCGGGACATGTGCCGGCGGTCAGACGGACATGTGCCGGCGGTCGGGACATGTGCCGGCGGTCAGACGGACATGTGCCGGCGGTCAGACGGACATGTGCCGACGGTCAGGACATGTGCCGACAGTCGGACGGACATGTGCCGAGGGTCAGAACATGTGCCGAGGGTCAGGACATGTGCCGATGGTCAGGATATGTACCGATGGTCAAACAGACATGTGCCGGCGGTCGGGACATATGCCGACGGTCAAACAGACATATGCCGATGGCTTGCTGGACGTGACTCATGCAAGCCGCAATATTGGAGATGACACGCTGCTGGACAGCGTCCACAACTAAGCCAGCGACACAGCCCAGCCCCGACGGTTACCTATGTTCTTCTCTCTGGTGACCGTCTCCGTCTCCTTGCCGACGATCTGAATCAACCTGTCCGCGTCCTCGTTCTTTATCTTCAGCTCCACCTCCTGCGACGCCAGCTTGGCCTTCAGATCGTCCACCTGGCGGTCGACAGCCGCATTAGCACCCTCAGATCATAAAACCACGGACCAGCACAGGCTGGGAGAGATTCCGGACAGCACGAGTCCGACAGCTCAGCGATGACTGGTCGATGCCAGTCAGCAGAGTGCAGGGTCCGTCACGGCCGAAGGAAGAAGACAACAGTTGTATTCATATTGACATTCAAGATAAAGTTAATGATAATTTACGTCTTAAATGTTTGCACCTAGTGGGATGCCCATCTCTAACCACCATGTTCCAGTTCTCTCCAGAGATATACATGGCTGCTGATCGTCTAAGGATGGCTGCTGCACCGCTTCCGATCTCCGCGCTCCTGAGATAAAGACTAGAAATGGTACATTTGTCTCCCCCTAGCCGGAGAAATCATGGACCTATGTCTAAGGTACAATTGCCGTCACACCCGTGCCAAATGAGAGCCATCAGTTCGGATGTAAGACCTCTACGCTATTCCGAGAACTTGGTCCCACGTCGTCACTACAGCGCACCAGCGGCCCCTTCGCATGCCGCAACATAACAACCACAGAATCCTTTCGGCCACACAGAAGTACGCGGTACTGGGGTTCCGCGCCGAGGGTGGGACAGCACGCACCTGGGAGCTGGTGTTCCTCAGTTTCTCCAGCCCATTCTCCAGACGATTAATCTTGGACGTCAGGTCCTCCACGTTAAACCGCAGCAGTTTACTGTAGAGGGCGATCTGCTCCAGGAAGGACTTGGGCGTCGTGTAGTTGTAGCGTTTGTCGTTAGCGAGGTACACCTTGGACATCTCGTTGACCGAAACGTGCACGAAAGACATGAACTGTGCAGACTTCGCAGTCAAGGGCTCCTGAAAACGAACAGAAGATCAGTGAAAACACCGTCATGCAGGTTTGCTATAATTGGATATAATTATTGGTAAAAGTGGCAGGGAACGGAGTGAGCATAAGCTTCCTATTTGTGACGCGTAAGTCTTCGATTTCTTGGCATTGGCCGTGTGAACAGCATATGCATACATATGTTCATGTTCATGTTCATAGATTCCGTAACTTTCCACAAGATCTGGTGGCTTTTTCAAAGTTACACGTAATCATTGATAATTAACATACATAAAATACATGATTACATAAAAATTCACACAATTAACACATATACATGCATGCACATTATATATAAATATATAGCTAGTTATATAGTTGTATGTGTATATAGACATATAATGCATAGAATTGTATATATATATATATATATATATATATACATTTATGCACACATATATATATATATAGATATATAGATATAGATATATATATATATATATATATATACATTTATGCACACATATATAGATATAGATATAGATAGATATATATATATATATATATATATATATATATATATATATATATATATAAGTGGCAACGACACGGGGCTAGCAACACGCTGTGATTGCTGTCCTAGACGGCTCGACGCGGTCGGCCTTACCGGCAACTCTCGGACTTCACTGAGGAAACGCTGCGACACCGACACCAGCGCCTCTTCCGGCCACTCGTGGAACCAGTCAATGTTCGTGCAGTTGATCAGTGCCGGGAACTTGCGAGCTCTATGAATGGATGACATTGCTGTATCTGTCTTGGTACCCAGGCGCACAACGCAATTGAATGGAGAACATCGCCGGTAATTACTTCACATGTGAGTGCAGAAATTAAATAATATGTCTAACTCAAAACATTATCACAAACACTAAGCATAAAACGAAAGAAGTTTTTGATCAAGCACATCACAATCATCTAAAGCGCACATGCACCCGTTCAGAAGGCCAACTCTCGCATGGACAACTAAGCCCAGCACCGGATAGTTATATGATTGCGTGTCTCTCGAAATACATGACAACGGGGGACAAGTGAACAAGACCAGCATTGCTACCGCGAACACCCGAACCAACACGTTGGGCTCCGCGACTGTCTAACCGCTTCCAACGGCCAGGTTTGTTCCCAGTGTCATACCGGACTCGGAGCGTCGTGCCGACCGGGGAGAAGCAGAGCACAACTTTCAGCGTGCGGCGCACTTTGTCGATGAAGAAGCGCCAGCAGTTGTCGCGCGTGTCCTGCATTCCCGCTGCCTTGACCTGAGTAAACACGGAGACGCAGCCGGCGGTCAGAAGGTGGGCACTGGTAGAGCGGGAATAATCGACATGTTGGTGTTTAGTCGCTTCAACCCGCTTCATCGGCATGCAGGACCTGGCTTAATCATTAGCTAGCCTGCATCGTCTTCAAGCATGCTGTTTGGAGCCCGACTGAGGGACAGTCTGCCTTTCTCGGCATTCACATCACGACAAGCCACTCACTCTGAACCTGGTTCCACTCTGAACCCAGTCTGGAGGCTCGCAAGCGAGTGAACGCCCCGAGAGCGATGGTGTGTCGTAACAACCACCGATGCGCCGCGTCACGTGCCCATACCGACACGTGCTGACCCTACCGACTCCTCCGCGTCACATGCCATGTTACATGTCGCCTTGACATGGCCAGACTGATGTACCGCATGAAGGCATGTTGTCATGACTGCCACCGAACCGTGTCGTAAAACGTCGCTACGACCGTCATGCCGCAAGGCATGTAGCCATGATCACCGTTGTTCACGACTCATAACGTGACGTGCTGCTGTGACCACCAATATGTCATAGCGCAACGACAGCCTGCGTGCCGTGTCGCGGCAGCAGTTGCCACGACAGCCGTGGTGGTGTGACACAGCCCGTTCCTACGCAACAACCACAGCAGCGCCGTGTCAAAACACTCGGGCTTGTCATGGCCACGTCACTGTGAACCACGCCATTCAACTGCGTCCTGGCACCAGAGCCGCTCAGACCAGCTCACACGCCCGGACGCCCGGACTGACGCCCGGACGCCCGGACTGACCGCCGGTGGTGACGTCACCGCTCACGTCAGGCCGCCTCCCCCGATAGCAGCGGCGCCACTACCGACTGGCGACGGCTGAAGGCGGCGTCCGCCGTCGCTGCCAACGTCCGCCCGAACCCCCGCCGTCGGAGCCGGCCGCGCCGCCGTCCGCGCCGCACCTCGTTCCTGACGGCGGCGATGATGTTCTCCACCTCGTCGTCGGGGAAGAGGTCGGGGATCTCGCCGCTGGCCAGCAGGTCGTTGATGAGCACCAGGAACTTCTCCTCGGCCACCTGGCTGTCCGTCATCAGGAACACCATGCCGACGTTCTTCAGGCCCGACTTCTGATAGAGCGCCGCCAGGTCAGCCTGCGGCGCGACACGGCTACGTCAGCCGATGTCGGCGGTGTGGTCTGACTCAGCACGAGCCGCCTCCGCCCGCCGCGTGAGAGGTGCCGCCCTGTGCTCAGCACGATCCGCCTCCGCCCGTCACGACAGAGGTACCGCCCTGTGCTAAGCGAGAGACGTCTCCGCCCACGGCGTCAGAGGTACCGCCCTGAGCTCAGCACGAGCCGCCTCCGTCCGCCGTGTCAAAGGTACCGCCCTAGTGCCTACCGTCCTAAGGCCGAAGTCATAGGACCTACAATTTTCGATTGCCCGATCAGGGATTGACCCAGTTAATAAGCTTTCCTTGCAGGATGGCGTGGAAGTGACGCTGGTGCTTTCAGATCTTCGGCCAGGGCAAAAGCCGCAGCGCAAACTTTTCGCGTGGAAGGCGAGTAAATGGCGGCACTTCACTGGAAACAACGCATTTCTCAGCAGCTGCGAAAAACTGCATGTTGATCCTTGGGTTCAGTACATCCGGCCGTACACGCCAGCATGGACCGAAAAGACCTTCGCAGAGACAACGTGTACGTTGCCAGCCTCACGTGCAGTGCCCACCGCGCGGCGGCCTGCCCCAGCCGTGCCGCCAGCCGCCGGGCCGGCGGCGGCTCCCACCGGCCGACCGACCGGCGCCGCCCACCTTCAGGTCGGGGATGCCGTAGCCCTTCTTGAGCGTGACCTGGAACACCTCGAGGCCGGAGATGAAGGCCGCCAGCCTGGACAGCGACTGCTTGCCGCTGCCGCCCACGCCCACCAGCAGGGCGTTGCCGCGCGGCGACTCCAGGATCCGGTTGATGCTGCGGTGGAGGCAGCCCGCGCCGTCAGCCGGCATCGCACAACGCGGCATGACGCACAGTCGGCATCTTTGCAGTTTTCGTGTTACTGCGTATCAAATCAAACTGCAGCCTGCTTTAGCAAAAGTGTTATGAATCCTGACAAAGTCGCACCGGCCATCAGCCGGCACTAGTGCGACCCGGTGACCCCCGGTGACCTCCGGTGACCCCTCACCGACAGACGTGCATCATGGCGTCCTCGAACAGCACCAGGTTCATGGCGGCGTTGATCTCGTTGTAGGAGTCCATGGCCTCCTTCAGCAGGCGTGACAGGTCCGGCCAGCCGCCGATCTGTGGGCGGGGCGCGGGCGTCAGCGGCGCCAGAGAACACCACCGATTCAGCGGCCTCTGAGGACGGACTCTGCGGATCACCCGAATCATTGGACTCATAGAGAGCCTCAATCTGAAGAAAATGTCCGCCCACTACAGCAGTTATCGCAGCGACTTGCTACGCAAAGTGCTTGAAACAGTAAGCAGTTCGAGCGTCTAGTGGTGCCTTGAACGAATTTCACACACACCTGGTTGTACTTCGGATCTCCGATTCCCTTGGCGAAGTGGCACCAAATGTTGGGTTTCTGCATCACCACTGCGTCGTCCATCTCCTAAGTGCACACACATGTATGGGATGAGGACAGCGTAAAACTGACATTCAGTTCCAACAGTAAATCACCATAAAAATCAAGCGTGACATCATGTGCTAATCGGGTCCAGTCTCTACTGGTATGTTCCGTGAGATAAGCGCTCTCGTCCTGGAAAGTACCATATGACCGTTCCCATAACACGAAGAGTGTAGACCAGAATACATGGTGTAAAGACAGTTTAATGCACTTAGCGATATCTAACCTGTTCATAAACACGCAGTCAAGTGACTACAAAGACGATGAAAATGCGTTAATCTCATCGAAGTCGTCACTCAGCGTGAGGTGGGCGTCTCAACCTCGGTGCATAAAGCATCAGAATACTTGCGAGGCGCAAATATTCTGAAAGCGTGAGCAGTGGTGTATCCGCACAATAATACACATTCCATTTATCCCTTCGTGGAGCTGAACGCACGCATCATGCTTCAAACCATGCCGTCAAGGCAAGCTTCTTTCTCCTTTTACCATAACTGGCTGCAAACCACGCACCATCAGTCATTGAAGAGTTAATTTAACACGGTGTTATGACCAAGCACGTGAAGAAGCAGATTCATATCATACGCACCCCTGACAACACCCTCACGAGTATGTACAAGACGTACCTCTGCACGATAGCCGTCATGCATGTCTACCTTGTAGTTGTTAACAAGCGCTTTGTAACGCTGTCATATTCATCATTATCATTACCTAGACTAAAACACTATCAACACTATGCGTCGTACCCTAGGCTATTATCCACTGACGCCTGCCGCCCCTCCCATGCCAAAAAAGCTTCGGTTCACAGTGGTCGAACATATTTCGGCCTAGCTTTGAGCCGTTCGGTAACCCAAGCGTCTTTGAAACTGGATGAGGTTTTTTACCCTTTTCACCTTTTAGACAATACATGATTGGAAAATGTACGTTTTTCAAACGTATATCTTCAGAACTTCGGGCAGAGCGTCTTCCACATTCTCCGGCACATACCATACACATCCACATGCACGCGCCCGCAAGCACACGAACGCACATACACACACGCACGCGCCTGCCCACATGCACACATCATCTCCCGGGTACGGGCTCACAAGCGTGTCAGTGGGTCCAAGCGTGCGGAACTGCACTCAAAGCCGGGACATGCGTCGTGCGATCCCCCGTCAAACGCGCGGCGAGCCGCTGGCGCTGGCGCTGGCGCCGGCGACCGGGCCGGCCGGCCGGCGCGGCTACTTGCAGTGGCGGTCGCCGCGGGCCGTGGGGAGCGCGGGGAGGGCGGCAGAAGCAGCTCGGTGCCGTCCGGCGGCCCGCCCGGCTCGGTCAGCCGTGCAAGCTGCAGGGGCAGCGGCAGAGGCGGCTACAGCGAGGCGGCGCCGCGTCCCACACGGGCGCCGCCCGACGCCGGGCGCAGCGGGCCGGCTCAGCGGGCGGCCCGCCCCGGCAGACAAACGGCCACAGGTACACGCGGGCGGTCTGTATCGGCACCAGCCGAGCATGTCCACATTCATACCGGGCCGGTCCTCGGCAGCTCTGCTGGGGTACATCCACATCCACACGCGGAGCTGTGCCAACATTTAGCGGTACACATTCACACGTTTATCTGCGTTTTGTTTATGACAGCTTATCTATACGGCAGGTTGGCAGAAATCGTCTCGGAGAGCGGGACGCACTGACGTTTCGGTTGTCAGTTGGGCCACTCGACGCATTAGCATAAGCACATGCGCGTTTTGACCGGGAGGTGAGGGGGTGGACAAGCATGTCCTGTGCACTTCTCAAGTAACTGTTTACTGTAGAGTTGCACGCTTTCATCCAACAAGGGTTCATCAAAGGTTGTCTTAACCCGCTGACACTTTCGGCGACAACTCAAACTGTGGCCGGCACCTTCAAAGTTGCCGTGGTGTCAGCATTGACACAAGCACGGAAAGGTATGGGAGACGGAGTGGGGTGAGAGGGGGACGATGGCAGTAGTTCAGCCCGTGTCTCTCGGGGGCCGCGGCCAAACACGCGCTGACCGTTGGGGCCAGTCGTGTCGTGCAGGCTCTGCGACAACCAGACATTTGCCATTTAACACAGCACGGCGCGGACGGCTGTGCAGAAGCCGCGGTCGCGGACATACAGCCATCTTAGCGGCGGCGTTTACAGCCGACGCTGGCGGCTAGTCTAGTCTGGTTTAGATGGGGGCAGTTAAGTCTAAGTTAGAGTGTATGTTTGACATTTGACATTTAACGCAGCACAGCGCGGACGGCTGTGCAGAAGCCGCGGATGTGGGGAGCCATCTTAGCGGCGTCTTTTACAGCCGGTGCTGGCGGCTACTCTAGTCTGGTTTACATGGGAGCAGTTAATCTTTAGTTAGTGCCCGTCGAGCCCTATCTCACGAGATGGTCTCCGGCTGAATCCTGAAACGATGCAGACGGACGTGATGGAGAACCCGCCGTTCAACACGAGACCTTGACGGACACCATGACATCAGCTTCGATCACCGCCGTCGCGCGCCTCATAGACGCAACAGCGGAGTGTAAGATCCTGCAAGCACTACGCGCGCCAAGCGGGCACTGCGGTGCGGAGCGGCCGGCTCAGACCGCGACCGGCTACGACCGTGGAGACATCGTACGAGAGAGAAAAGACATGACCGGTTGAAAGTTACCCCTGTTTACCTTCAATGCAGCCAGAGGAAAAAGGAAGACATGGCCTAGGCGTCGCTAAAAAACATACATTCGACAGGCTGGACTATAGCGCATATATATACATATATATATATATATATATATATATATATATATATGCTTATATATTATCGTAGCCTACAATTTTCTGCTAGGATAGGCTCGGTTGATGATCCCTTAAGTCACATCTCTCACTGAAAAGCATTTAAGACCTATGTCTTAGCCTAGTACTCCCAAGCATCACGAACATGGCCCTTGGTAATCATTGGTAGCACATGCGAGGAAGGAGAGATCAAGATCGACTACAGATACACAGCCACCTGTGCTGATAGATACCGCAGCAGCAACACTGTTGGCTCTGACGGCATGCCCCAGCGCATGGTGCAGACGTTCAAACACGAGCACCATGATCATCGGGAGCAGGCACCAGTCGCCAAGACCGCTCAATATCAATATAATCGGAAAAGGGTACGTGACAAAACCTACGCATTCGCCGACGACAAGGTACACTGACATGAAAATAACGAAAGTGGGTCAACCTACTGCACAGTCGAATCACGGAAGTCAACGCCACCCTGTGGTACGATTCCCGCAGGCTCAGCATAAGGCCTGATCGCTCTCCCGTCGGGTGCTCGACCACGGCAGACCGTACCTCGAAGCCTTTCTTGACCATGTCGACGAGGATCTTGCCAAAGGAGGTGCCGTCCTCCTCGTCGACCAGCTTGTCGCCGTAGACCCGGTCCGCCTCGTGCAGCCAGACCCGCACCAGGTCGATCGGCATCTTGATCGAGTCTTTGTCGCAGAACAGCAGACCCTATCGCGCGGCACAACATAGCTATGGCATAGCAGCAGATCTGTCACGCGGCACAACATAGCTATGGTATAATAGCAGACCCGTCACGCGGCACAACATAGCTATGGCATAGCAGCAGATCCGTCACGCGGCACAACATAGCTACTGTATAAAAGCAGACCCGTCACGCGGCACAATATAGCTATGATACAATAGCAGACCCGTCACGCGGCACAACATAACTATGACATAGCAGCAGATCTGTCAAGCGACTCAACATGGCTGTGGCATAATAGCGGATCTGTCACGCGGCACAACATAACTATGGTATAATAGCGGACCCGTCACGCCGCACAACATAGCTATGGCATAACAGCAGACCCGTCACGCGGCATAACATAGCTATGGCATAACAGCAGACCCGTCACGCGGCATAACATAGCCATGGCATAGCAGCAGACCCGTCACGCGGCATAACATAGCTATGGCATAACAGCAGACCCGTCACGCGGCATAACATAGCTATGGCATAACAGCAGACCCGTCACGCGGCATAACATAGCCATGGCAGAACAACAGACCCGTCACGCGGCACAGCAAAGCTACCCACGACCAACTGCAGACCCCGTCACGCGATTCCACCGCACACAGACCCTGTCACTCGGCTCAGCACAATCTGCGGCAGTCGGCCGGTCCCGCCACCCTCACTACAGCCACTCGAAGGTGACACGGACTGCGCCCACCAGGGTACCGCGGCCTCTCCTGACCGGTGGGATGCGCTGCAGTGCGCTGGTTCCAAGTAAAGCGCCAACCTCGCTGATGGCGTTACATGACGACTTAGTTTGCGTTTTACAAAGTTTGTCGTGAAGGGATGAACGATGTGCCCCAGCGACTATTTTTTAAATACCAGCCAAATTACGACTGTTCCCAAACGGTGCAAAGCGGGCCCTCATAGAAGTTATTCAAATGAAGGGACCATGACCTTTTGCCGAATAATTATGAAAGTGACAAAGGACAAGTCAAGGAAATTATAAAACCACAGCAACAGGACTGCGGCACCCGCCCGCCCGGCGGGACACGGTCGGGCGTTTGTCGCGAGCCCTGTCCGGTAAGACCCCCCACCTGGAAGATGTTGCTCAGGTCGCGCAGGTTGAAGACGTAGTGGAACTTGATGGCGGTGGGCAGGAAGGTCTGCGACACCTTCTGGTGCAGGGCGAACGCCGACTGCACGATGCCGGGGGACGTCTTGACCAGCGGGTGCGGGAACTTGTTCAGCGGGTTACTCAGATGCTGGTGCAGAATTGAATTGTAGATGGTGTGCAGCGACTCGGCTCCGGGGAAGCTGAAAATTGAAACACAGGCATGGTCATTTGTACTCCTGATGGTGACCACGCCGGATAGTCCATTTGAAATCACCACGCACAAGCTCGATAGGCTTGAAGCAAGACTGCTGGCCTCCCCTCCAATCACCGGGTTGCAGCGCATCTCGTTGTCCTGGCTTCTTGTGCAGAGAATGCTGAGTGCTTAGGATGTACCAGCAATTCCAACACAGTGCAATGCAACCAAGTAAATGCAACGCAACAGCGTTATACTGCACAACAGGATTATCCTGCAATGCAATACGTCCAGAACAATCAACCCAATTGCAAGCCAATTAATGCGCTTTATAAGGAAACAGGTTAAATGCATGGCGTTCACTGGCTCGATAAAGCACCATCCAATCGTCGTGCCGGTCATAACCTGCCCATCAGCTGCAGCAGCAAGTCGTCAGTTGTGTGCTGCTTTGAACATTGGATTGTCATATCTCAAGTGCAGTTCGGAACGACAAAATCATAGAAATGAATGTCAACGAAACGAAAACGACGAGACAAATGAAACACGAGGGCAACAAAACGATAGCAAACGAAGCTCGAGCGGTCTTTTCCGTTCACTGTGTTTTGTTGCCGGTGTCTTTATGCCCTGCAGGCTTCGCCTAGCCTATTTTATACCACCAGTTGAGCCTGGCGTGCTAGACTGAACAGTCTCCTGCCGCATATCCTTAGCCCGGCCGCACCCTTGCCCATGTTTCTCACATCATATTCACATTCATGTTCCCGGCATGTCCACGTCATCACTACCGCCGTTTTGAGAGCCATGCGTTGACGCTCCGGCTAATCAACGCAACACGGCACAACACAACATGGCACAGCACAAAACGGCTGCAGTCGCTGCAGGCTGCCGCGGACGCCGGCCGGGCCCGTCCGTCCAAGCCCGCCTGGGGCCGCGCCGGCGTCCGCCAGCAGACCCACCTGGTGGCGAACACGGCGAAGTGACGCTGCAGGCGCGGGTTGATGGTGAAGCTGCCAGCCGTCGGGTTCATCGACGCCACGTACTGCACGTTGTGGATCTCCTTGAGCGACAGCTTGGTGCGGTCGTACCAGTGGTTGTAGTCGAGGTGCTGGCGCAGCATGGTGTGTGGCTGCACCGTGTCGTACAGGTCCACCTGGGGCGACCGGGCTCAGGTCAGCCGCCGGACGACCGGGCTCAGGTCAGCCGCCGGCCGACCGGGCTCAGGTCAGCCGCCGGCCGACCGGGCTCAGGTCAGCCGCCGGACGGCCGAGCTCAGGTCAGCCGCCGGACGACCGGGCTCAGATCAGCCGCCGGACGACCGAGCCCAGGTCAGTCGCCGGACGACCGAGCTCAGGTCAGCCGCCGGACGACCGAGCTCAGGTCAGTCGCCGGCCGATCAAGGCCAGGTCAGCCGCCGGACGACCGAGCTCGGGTCAGTCGCCGGCCGAGCGTCGCACCTCAGCGGCAGCGGTGGCGGCGGAGACGTGCGCACGAGAACGTCATCAGATGCGGGCTGCACTCTGGTAACAGCGGCGCCCGAACTAGACGGCAAACACCGCTCACACGCACGCAGTCGAAATATAAGCATGCGCCTGCCAAGAAAGCGATGGTCCTCCGTCGTGTTGGTTGCGTTCAACGTCGGCCCCCGTGTGGGCGTGCTTGTGTGGTAAGGAGGGGGGGGGGGGGGGGGGGGGGGGGGGGGGCGGAAAGCAAGAGTGTCAGCTTGACTGGGGTTACTTGTTTTGCAGCTGGATGTTCGGAAGACGCGTGATGGAGGCGCGCTGTGCCACTTACCGGCAGCAGCCGCGGTAGTAAGCGGTCGGTCAGCATCGCCTTACCTCGGGCATGTTCATGTCATCCACGAAGTATACCATCTTCTTGCTGCCGGGAGGGCCGTAGTTGCGGCCGGCCTTCTTCTCCAGCGGCCTCTCCAGCACACGCTGCAGCATCTCTGCAACAGGCCAGCGGTCAACGGGCATACTCGGGCCACGCAACGACGCTGGAATGTATGGTCTCACCTGATCTCAATCAGTCAGTCGTTGCTGATAAGTGACTTGCTCTAGACCTGCTTTCCATTGCACTCTCAGTTGTGCATGAAAAGACCAGCATGAACGCCCGACACAAATTTGGGCTATAGAAGCTGTAAAAATGGAAACAAACAGCTCTCGGCTGGTAAGCCAAGCTTCTCAGGCAAACTCTGCGGCGTTTATTAGCAAGTCCCTGGACAAGTGTGCCGGAGCTTGCGCGTGCTCTCGGTCCGCGGAGCCCCCTCGCCGGGCGCGCGGGCGGCCTTTCCCCGCGGCCCCGCCAGCTGGGCACTGACCGGACGTGGTGTAGAAGTTGAAGGGCACCCTGGTCACCATGTAGTCCTCCGAGAGCTGGCCCAGCTTGTCGTTGATGAGCACCGTCTTGCCGGAGCCGGGCGGCCCGACCAGCATGACTGGGTGCCGGTTCTCCATGAGCTTGTCCATGAAGAAGCGCAGCCGGGTGGTCTCTGGCGTCGGTACTTGCACCGCCTGCCGGGCCAGGCGGCGTCAGCCGGCACACCGGCACCAGCCGCACCACGCAACTCCACAACGGCGTGCCCATACTAGCAGCCGTTCCAGCAGCCGCTGTCGCTGGGCTCCAAACAGCGGCTCTGCACAACCTGCTCCACGTCGGCCGTCCGCGTTTTGTCGGCGCGCACTATCTTTATCCCGGGAACGGACGGAATCCCGGGAACGGAATTCATTTCTGTCCCGTGCGTATCTCCCTACAGTCGAAGTCAGAAGCCCCCCAGACGACAAGCTTTTGAACCTCTCACCTGCAGGGGCATGTCCGGGTCGAGCTCGAAGGACGGCACGTTGGAGGACCAGGGCACGAACTTCTGCGAGTCCTTGTCGATGTAGTAGTCGAACACGGTGCCCTGAGCAGGGAACTTGACCGACTTGAACTCGTTGACCCACCAGCGGGAGAACTCCACACGGTAGTCGGTCATCTGAGGCCCGAGCCGGGCCCAGTCAGCCCGAGCTGGGCACAGTCAGCCCAATCCGGGCACGGTCAGCCCGAGCCGGGCACAGTCAGCCCGAGCCGGACACAGTCGATCAGAGCCGGGCAGTCCGCCCGAGCCGGGCACAGTCAGCCCGATCCGGGCACGGCCAGCCCGAGCCGGGCACAGTCAGCCCGAGCCGAGCACAGTCAGCCCGAGCCGGGCACAGTCAGTCCGAGCCGGGCACAGTCAGCCCGAGCCGGGCACAGTCAGCCCGAGTCGGGCACAGTCAGCCAGAGCCGGGCACAGCCAGCCTGAGCCGGGCACAGCCAGCCCGAGCTGGGCACAGTCAGTGCTGATGTCCGGCGGCGGCACGTTCGCTGCTTGATAACTACAGCAACATCGGACACAGATCCAACGCGTAACTCGGACGTACTTCATGAATGTCCGCTACTTTATCGCCAGTCAAGCAGATTGACAGAACTCCCTTCCATCCGTACCCACCAACCGTAACTCACGGCATACTACGGTGTCTAACCCAGAACGTGATCACATTAGCTGACTTCTAGTCATATAACTGCAAATTTATCACCCAACCCAATGCGGAATGCCCCATTTCAACCGCACCCATATCGCATGTGATCATCTGACCATCGTCGTCAGCGGTGGACGCCCCACCTGGTCCTGGAACATGCTGGCGCCGAAGGCGGACACGCAGCAGAAGCAGAAGTACAGCTCGTACAGCTCCTTAGGGGAGTCGGGCGGCACGGCGTCTGGGGTCAGCATGCAGTCTGCCCACACAGAAAACAGCTATATAAGCAACGGTTGCCAATGTGTGTCGCTGGAATGTTTGTAGTGGGGGGATAAAACTCCACGCTAAAGATTAGTACAAGTAAGTTATAGCATTTCCAATGACGCGACTTTATGTCGGATACGTTAAAAGAAGGAAGATGAAAACCTTGGTAAGCTGGCATTATACGCAACGTAACTATACACCCGGAACATCTTAGCACACTGAGCCGACAACAGCTGCACTTTTTACATTAAAGGTTTACAGCGCAACATGTTTGAGAACCTCTAGAGGTATGTCGAAGTTAATTATGGCGATATTTCCATTAGCCTTTTTCATGCCGTTCTATCTTAGCATGGACATTTTTCCAAGCCCCTAGCTGTGAGGTCTTTGCGGATAGAGATAAAACAAAACTCCGCTCACTAAAGCAGCCACTGACGGTCGCACGCGCCCAAAAAATCATCGGAAGCACTGCCGCCGACCGGCACTGACCGAGGAGATTACAGAGCATCTGGATCTGGGAGATCTCTGCGATGGGCGTGATCTTCTTGAGCCGGGTGCGCATGACCTCCAGACAGCCGGGCACGTACTTGTCGAACAGGATCATCAGATTGGCTTTCTCCGACTGGATCTCGCGCGTCTCAATCCAGCTGTTCACGAACCTGGCCAGCCCGACGGCGCGCTGTCACGACGGCTGAGCCATTCACTGGCGTGTCGCTTGTCGCCTGCGTCACTGACGTGAGCCTCATTAATGAACACGTCATTACTGAACTGTACCAGGTCTACACACAGTATGACTAATCACCAAGCCTTACATGCACGGAGCACACACTTTTTCATTGTCCCACGATCCCCCCTGAACGGCATTCCCGGACCCTATCAGAAAGATGTGTCCATCCCCTCTCTACACTGCCGCGCCCGAGTCGCCAGCCGGGGGCCGGCCGGGCTCGTGCGCCGGCGGCCGGCGGGCCGGCTCACGCACGGGTTCCAGCCGAGGTCCTGCGGGTTCAGGTAGAGGATGCCGGCGCGCGACACGGTGGCCGGCGTGGCGTGCTTCAGCGTGGCGATCTCGAACAGCAGCCGCATGCTGGGCGTCAGCGCGATTCGCTCGTTGGAAGCCAGCGTCAGCACCTGCGCGCGCGCCGCGGCACGGCGTCAGCGCGCGCCTCTGTACGTGCCCGCTGGCGCGCCCGCCTCACCAGAACCGTGTGGCGGATACGCATGAGATTTACCCGCACGTTCGTGAGTGGCCAAGTCGGGCAAGGTGGATAGTACCATTCGAAATGGGAGACACTTGGGCGAGTTTATTTGCGAGCCTTCAGGCAAGTCCTTCCGTACAATTATGAGCCCATTGCCAGCATTGACTATCGAGTGAACACCGAGAACAAGGGAGAGCACTTTGACAAGTGCCAGAACTCCCGACGTCATCTCCGTCAGCGCCACAAACACCAGCCGACACCCGCCCGCAGCCGCGGCGAGCCCGCAGCCGCGGCGGGCCCACCGCCCACCTTGTTGTCGTCCATGACCGTGTTGAGCGACTCGATCCACATGGGGTCGATGTCGCCGTCGAGCACGATCCAGCGCGGCCCGTCCGTGGTCAGGTTGGCCATGTCTCGCATCAGCGTCGACAGCAGGCCTGCGCCGCAGCGACCGCGGCGGCACATTAGCCGTTATCGCGAGCAAAAGCGCCGCGGGCGGGGGCGGCCACTGGCTCCGGCGTATAAGGAAACGGCCGCGGTGCTCTCGTGACACGTGGAAACTTCGTTTCACTGCTGACGCGCTAGCACAACCACCAATAATGCAGCCGTTGAGCCGCCCACCATGCTCCATGCTAACGCAAAACCGTCCGCGGGCAACACTGGCTGTGGGCTTCAGAACGGGGAAGACGTAACAACAATAAGCGTTGGACCACTCCACCACACCTGTAACCCCTAGGCAGGAAGCAAATACATAGGACATTCCCTGCCTCGGTGTAAAGAACCTTGAGATGTCCAAGCCTTGCCCGGTGTATGTAGAGCACCCGTGGCATCAGACGTGGGCGAACGGTGACAGGGGCCGCGCCGGGACAGCGTCGGTGCATGGCCACCGCTTCCCGCCGCTGGCACCGCCCACTCACCGTCCTTCCACTCCCGCGTCGACGGGTTGATGATGCCGAACAGTTCGTCGTTGGTGACAGCCTTGGGGTTCAGGTCATTGAAGTAGGGCCTGTGCTTCAAGTTCTGGTGCGTCCTGAACAGGGTCTTCCACACCTGCGTCTTGCCGGTGCCGGCGTTGCCGATGATGAACACGGAGTGTCGCACGTCCAGCAACTCCTGAAGCTGGACCACCTGCAGCACCGGATCAGAGCTCAAAAACGGTACAGGGCTAAAACAAGTTGGTGAAGTATGTCTTGCAACAAAATATTTCGTCAAGGTTTACCATGAGCAAGGAATGCACGTGCCGCTGCAACACAAATGTCGCCACAAAGGGTGACACTGTTTCCTCTCTGGTGCCGTGGAAAAAACGAATGACACTGCCACGACTTTCGGTATAGTTAGCGATCCACTTACCGAGCAGGTACTGTAAAGACAACATGCTGGCAGGCCCATTCAGGCCACTTGATCATTATGCCACTTTTGACGGCTTGCAAGGCAGGTATTACGACACAATTTTATGACAAAAACCTTTCGGTGGCAGCATGCATCAACTTCCAAGACAAAATCTGCATGTAATTGGGTATACAATAAAAGAAAAGCCTTCCAGAAAAGAGTAACTATGAATTGGTCAATAACGTTCTCGGGAGGCAACCATATTAATACGCAGCGATGACCTTATTCAGTCTGATGTCGGTTCGAAACAACTTGTTTTGCACTGAACGCGATTCAAAGCCAGCTAACACTTTTCTGCACAGAAAAGTGTCGTTTTGTGTTCGTGCAGTGATCATTTGACCGTTTGGTCCCGATTTTTGGCCTTACTAGGCAATACACGACCAAAGGGTGCCTTTCACACACAACCTCAGCAGGTTAAAATAGCTCACGCTTGAGAGGGATGCCCTTTGATGCGGCGATTTCCACCACAATCCTTGTAACAAAGTAAGTACACAACCGAGGGAGAGAAGGGGCAAACAACATAACATATATTCGTTGAATCGAAGCAGCGTAATGATCCGCCCTCACGCGGCAGCCCAACAAAGCAAACCGAAGTAAACAGGGAGAGGGGAAGGAGGAATGAGATGAGGAGGGGAAAGAGAGAGGGCGAGAGAGAGGGGAGAGAGAGAGAGAGAGAGAGAGAGAGAGAGAGAGAGAGAGAGAGAGAGAGAGAGAGAGAGAGAGAGAGAGAGAGAGAGAGAGAGAGAGAGAGGAGAGAGAGAGAGAGAGAGAGAGAGAGAGAGAGAGAGAGAGAGAGAGAGAGAGAGAGAGAGAGAGAGAGAGAGAGAGAGAGAGAGAGAGAGAGAGAGAGAGAGAGAGAGAGAGAGAGAGAGAGAGAGAGAGAGAGAGAGAGAGAGAGAGAGAGAGAGAGAGAGAGAGAGAGAGAGAGAGAGAGAGAGAGAGAGAGAGAGAGAGAGAGAGAGAGAGAGAGAGAGAGAGAGAGGGAGAGAGAGAGAGAGAGAGAGAGAGAAAGAGAGAGAGAGAGAGAGAGGAGAGAGAGAGAGAGAGAGAGAGAGAGAAGAGAGAGAGAGAGAGAGAGAGAGAGAGAGAGAGAGAGAGAGAGAGAGAGAGAGAGAGGAGAGAGAGAGAGAGAGAGAGAGAGAGAGAGAGAGAGAGAGAGAGAGAGAGAGAGAGAGAGAGAGAGAGAGAGAGAGAGAGAGAGAGGAGAGAGAGAGAGAGAGAGAGAGAGAGAGAGAGAGAGAGAGAGAGAGAGAGAGAGAGAGAGAGAGAGAGAGAGAGAGAGAGAGAGAGAGAGAGAGAGAGAGAGAGAGAGAGAGAGAGAGAGAGAGAGAGAGAGAGAGAGAGAGAGAGAGAGAGAGAGAGAGAGAGAGAGAGAGAGAGAGAGAGAGAGAGAGAGAGAGAGAGAGAGAGAGAGAGAGAGAGAGAGAGAGAGAGAGAGAGAGAGAGAGAGAGAGAGAGAGAGAGAGAGACCAGGAGGCCACGTCGACTCACCTTCAGCGTGAAGCCGTCCTCCGGCTGCAGCTTCAGGTCGACACACGCCTTCTTGATCGACTTCTCAAAGTCCATGTCACGCTTCCTGGGCACGTCCAGCGCCGGGAACAGGTCGAAGATGAGCCCCATGAACACGGGCACGTCGTCGGTCACGATCTTCGGCACGTTGAAGTCGCGCAGGGCCCGCATCAGCACTTGGTCCTCGGGCCGCCCTCGATCGCTCCGCTATCGGCAGCAGACACGCGGCGCGTACAGTACCGGCCGGGACCGGCCGGCTCGGGGCATGAATGGCCGCTTATTGCGCCAGTCTACAGCGCGCGGGGTGGGTTCGTGTCGAACGGTTATTTCATAGAGGGTGCGGCAAGAGAGGAGTTCTTGCTCCTGGCCAGCCTAGCCTCGTGGGGTGTCTATCGATCACGCGTAGAGTTTGGTAAAAATCGTTCAGGAGGAAGGAAAGACGCACTTGTGAGAAGCCTCAGGCTTTTGGCTTCTTTCAGTGGTTTGGCGAGTGCTAGGAGGGTCCTGATCTTCATTTGGGATGGCCCGGAGCGAAGCAAGCATTGGTGGGAAGGCCCCGTCCAATTTTTTATTTATTAAAAAATGCAAGTCTTTCCGGGTCCCAGGCACTTGTATGTACTCAAAGTGTGCAGGCGATGATGCATTCGCACGACATTTACAGCAAATTCACGTCCAGCTAAGTGACCACTCGTCAATATAAAATGCAATCATCTAACGATTAATAGCCCAATAAATGGGACGTTGTCGGAACCAACGCGGTCGCCATGCTGTCACCAAGCCGGCGTGAGCCGCTGCGCCACAGCCGCCGGACGCCGGACGCCGCGCTCCGGCAGTCAGGCCGGCGGACCCACCTTCAGCGACCCCGCCACCACCAGCACGGACTTGACGGCGCGCAGGCCCCAGTCGTAGTGGTCCTGCTTGGACAGCAGCTCCTTGCACAGCGTGTAGAGGGTGATGAACTTGCGGGCCAGCAGGCGCGAGTCGACGAAGCCCTCGGACACCAGCATGATCTCGCAGATGAGCTCGATGTCCGGCACCACCATGGCGCACGGCCTGGGGCAGCACGGCAGGAGCGTGAGGCGGCGGCGCTACCCAGCGGCCGGCGGCGCTGCGTCACCTTCCTGCTCACCACTAGCAAGGGCAGTCATGGGCCCGCTACATATGCAACGGGCACCTCAGAGCATTATGAGCAGAGTTTCCTTCAGTACAGTGTAGCTAAATATGTGCAACATGTAAAATGTTCAGATTATTTTATGTGTAGTATACTTTAAGGGGCTCAGTCTAACCATTTCTTGCCCGATAGTTATTTAACCAGTGCCCTCTGGTAACTTAAATATATATTATGTCCAGCGCAAGAAATCCCAGCTCGTAATGCCGAGAAGAAAGAAAATAGCAACTCAAGGCCTTACCTGCTTATATCGCTTTAGAACGATCATAACCATGCACAACCCCTCATGCTAATGTCTTGGTTAATCGCCGATTTAATCTCACTCAACAATGTCGCCAGGTGAAACGAGCCACGACATCAACAAGCCCTGGATGCGGCTCACAGCAACATTAGGCCAGAACACGGTTTCGTTTACACCACCAGCGCACACAACATGCACATAACGCCGCTGGTCCAGTGACACCCCCACACCGCGGCAGTGAACCCCATCGTCCCATCATCACCACACAGGTGACACGGCAGCCGCGGCGCGGCTCGCGCCGGGCGCCCGGCGCACCTGAACAAGGCCTTGAGATTCTCGGGCAGCTCGGTGCGGCCGGCGTAGCCCGGGTTCATGGTGATGAAGATGCCCACACTCGGAATGCATCGGATCTCTTCGCCGAGGAAGTTGAATCTGTCCTTCTTGTCCCGAATGGCGTCCTGCGGCGGCGACAAAACATTGTGCACGTCGATCGCCTTCAGCCGGGCCCGTCCAGTGGAATAATGTTGCACCCTTGGTAGACGGCTCATACAAACGAACATCCATGTTCAAATCGGCATTGAAATCCTTTTTGGCCAACAAACACACAAAGTTGAATGCCCTTCACATGCTAGGTGATGCTCCAATAGCCTGTAGTTAGCACAATCCCAGTCCCAATGTGTTGTCGTATGTCGGATATAGCTTTTGAGCATGAATGGGACAGTATGAGATCAACTAGATATCGCGGGGTTCTAGCAGTGGCAATGAAGCCAAAGATCTTTCTGCTCTTTTTCCAACAGTATGAACACGGGATATCCAATTCACTCCATCGTAACACATTTTTTCCCGAACGCACTTGACGAGTCACCAGTTTCTTCCGTACTTGCTGTACCGCGGCTCGCAATGTTTATTTGTCCGAGCGGCGGCCGAGACCGCACACGTACCTGGACGGACCTGACCTCCACGGCCGAGGCGGCACACGTACCTGAACGGACCTGACCTCCACGGCCGAGACCGCATACGTACCTGGACGGACCTGACCTCCACGGCCGAGGCGGCACACGTACCTGAACGGACCTGACCTCCACGGCCGAGACGGCACACGTACCTGGACGGACCTGACCTCCACGGCCGAGACGGCACACGTACCTGGACGGACCTGACCTCCACGGCCGAGACCGCACATGTACCTGGACGGACCTGACCTCCACGGCCGAGACCGCATACGTACCTGGACGGACCTGACCTCCACGGCCGAGACCGCACATGTACCTGGACGGACCTGACCTCCACGGCCGAGACCGCATACGTACCTGAACGGACCTGACCTCCACGGCCGAGACCGCACATGTACCTGGACGGACCTGACCTCCACGGCCGAGACCGCACACGTACCTGGACGGACCTGACCTCCACGGCCGAGACCGCATACGTACCTGGACGGACCTGACCTCCACGGCCGAGACCGCATACGTACCTGGACGGACTTGACCTGCACGGCCACCACGGACAGCACCTCCACCGAGATGCGGTTGAACTCGTCGAAGCAGCCCCAGGCGCCGGTCTGCGCCAGACCCTTGTAGATGTTGCCGCACGACTGCAACGACAGCGCGGGGCGGCTTCGCGCTGAGCCGCACTGGACAACGGGCACGACCACCGGCCGGGGCAACAGCTGGCGGGCTCGTGCTCGAGCACAGACTAATCACACGGGCACGCAGTGGTAGGCAACGATTGAGGCCGACTGAGAGAAGGCTCGGCTGGGTGCACTACCACCGCACCGCTGCCGGCACGACACTGGGCGCCAGCCATCAACTGGCAACTGACACCAAGCACCAGCCGGGTGAACTTCAACGAGAACACTTCCAATGGCGACCAACGCAGCAGCGCCACGACGCCATGTGTGTCCCAGCCAGAGGCTAGGCTCAGCCGGGCCAGCTCTGACTCCTGCGCCGTCGGACGCCACGCTCTGCCGGCTGGCACGCCACCTCACCTTGTAGTCCATCTGCTCGGAGCAGTTGAACACGTACACCATGATGCCGAGCGCCTTGCCCAGGTCCTTGGTGGTCTCCGTCTTGCCGGTACCGGCCGGGCCGGCGGGAGCGCCGCCCATGATCAGGTGGAGCGACTGTGGCCGCGTGCACGCATGAACGCGGGCGCGTGGGTGACCAGTCGCGGACTGGTAGTCAAAGTCACTGACGGCCAATGTTCACAAAACGGGGGACAGTCTGGTAACAACAGGTCGCGACAAAACTGGCCTGGCACACCGCAGTACGCTACATTCGAACTACATAAACAGCACATAATTCAAAAGGCAATCTGAAATCCGTCATGCTTTTTCCTTCAAAATTTTGAAGGGAATGTTCTACATTTGAGCATTCTGAAGTAAGTATCATGTATGATGAAATAAACTCACTTAAACTATTTGTACACTCAAATGCTCTTGAAAACATAAGTTATTTATTCAGGGAATATGTTTCGCAAAACGTCATTTTTGCCACTGAGAAGGTCGCTGGTGTAAAATGACCTCGCTCAGCCTTTTGCCTTGAGAAATTTGCAGCCTGGTGTAGTTCTTAACGCTGAATTCAGATCCAAACATCAAGATAAACTCGAAAGTCTTAGTCAATTTAACCTTACGAAGATCAGATAGTCAGTGGCTTGATACACCACCGGCGGGCTTCCTAAAGAAATACCAGGGACAAAGCTGACTTCGTGAGGAGGTTTGGGAGCAATTCGGACACCGATCTCGACCTTGACCCTACTTAACCTAATTTGATCCGAACGTCGCAACCTAATAACCTCTAAATTTCACCAAAAAATGAGATGACGAATGGCAATACCTACCCCGTGGTTTTAGGTCTATCTTTTGCAGTGCCTACCGACGTCCACCTGACTCCCACCCCACCCGATCGCGTGGCACTCAGCCGGCCAGCCGAGCTCGTGCTGCTGCAGCGCCAAGCACCCTTGACCGCCGTGTCCGTGGGTCGTGCGGGGCGTCACCAAAACCCGTGCCGAACGGTCACACCATCCACTACACTCGCAACACAACCTCAGCATCCGACGGACGCGCACAGGACGCCACCCCGCCGCGGCGGCTCGACCGAGCTGCGTGAGCCCCGTCCCGGTGGCCGCGCCGCCCGCCTGACCTGCGTGAGCGTGATGTAGCAGCGGTCCGTCAGTGGCGTGATCACCAGCCGCGGCGTGTTGCCCAGGTACTCGTGACTGTAGCGGATCTGGGCGTCGCAGATGTTGGCGAAGCAGTCCTTGGCCTCGTCATCCCACCTGTCCGCACGATCACCACTGAGGCACTGAAGCGGCGGCGCCAGTGGGCTCGGCTCGTTCGGCTGGGGGTGGCGGTCGACGGCAGCGGCTGCCTCTGGACACTGTCTCAGCAGCGAACGACCTGCACAGTGTCCGAGACGACACGACACCCACCTGGCGGCTGCGACCAACGCCGGCGCTCGGTGATGGAGACCATGCTGATTTCGTCTTTACGACGCTGAGATTGCCCGGTCACTTCTCGTTCACAAAGAAACGTCTCGGCTCAGCCGGTGCGGCACGTTAAGATCCCTTCAGTACCAGTAGTAAAACAGCGCAAACACCGCACACCATCACACCGCGCCTCACGCGGCACGGCCCCAGCTGACGCCGCGACCGTGCGGGCCCCGTCACAGCGTCAGAGCCGGCCGGGGCGGGCGGCGCCGCCTCCAGCCCGCCGACCCGGGAGCGGGCGGCGCCGCCTCCAGCCCGCTAACCAGGGAGCGAACGGCGCCGCCTCCAGCGCGCTGACCCGGGAGCGCGCGGCGTCGCCTCCAGCCCGCTTACCCGTGGGCGGACGGCGCCGCCTCCAGCCCGCTGACCCGAGGGCGGGCGACGCAGCCTCCAGCCCACTGACCTGTGCCTCAGCTGCGCCTGCCAGCTGAACGCCTGGCTGCTCTCCACCTTGGTGGTGATCAGCTTGCCGACCACGTCCCTGTCGGGCAGCGAGACCGGCACAGTCACGGCGCTGCGTCGCCGTGCGCCGGCTCCCCACGGCCGGTGGTGCTACTGAGGGCGTGACGCCCTGCACTGTGGCCGGGGAGAGGGCGAACTTGGCAGCAGGCGGAGTGCACGTCTATTGCCGGAAGCTGAATCATGTGACTGTACAGTGTCTGTGTGTATGCGGTGTGTTGAGAAGGCTGGCCGGCCGTCCCCCTGGGATGCATTTAATGCGGGGACATCCAACAAACCACAACGATCACGGAATCCAACGTCCACCTTGTGGCCACTAAACCGACGTGAACACATCAAGCAAGAGCCGCGATCGAATGCATGTCACGGGTCGGGACATTTCGCCCATCGCCTGCGCCATTTTGGCGTGCTGGCGGCGCGTCCTCCTGACCCGGACGCCGGGCGGCAACGCACCGGGAGTGCACGTCGATGGTGCAGATGGTGGTGATCTTCTGACGCTCCTGCTTCGTCAGGTCTCCGACCAGCAGCGTGATCAGGGCGTTCAGCTGGCTCACCTGAGATAGGCACCGAACGTGAAGCTGCGCGCGCAAGTTTAGCGGGCGGCTCGGTGATTCTCGCTGAGTGAATCACGCGTCGTGACCGATCGGACCCTTACACGAGATTACCTAGGTCGTTTACCCAGCGCAATCGCACCCAGACATGTGCTCACATTGGTGTCTCGAGCCGCTGCGGACAGCTCGGACCATGTAAGACGACTGTCGTAAGACTACAGTCGTTCGACGCCCCCTTGCCCAGCTCGTCAGTATCGCGGCGGAGTGACCAGGCTAGACCGCAACCTCGCCTACCGGCACCTTTCGGTATGCGCGGCTCGCAAACTCTGTTCAAGTCACTCAAGCGTATGTTGCAGCTTCTTGAGCAGCTTCAGTTCACGCTATAGCCGATGCAGAGCCATTGTTTCCAGCGATGCAGCAAGCCATCTCCGACGCTAAAGAACGAATGATAGCCTGGGCTTGATGAGGCGGCCCCAAGTGACACGCAGGGCCGGAGCTGAGCCTGAGGACGCAAAACCCCGAGGCGGGCGTCTGTGCCACCCACCTGTTTCTTATTATAGTCCTTGAGCGCGTTCTCATAGCCCTCCTCCAGTCGGCCGAAGCTGATGTTGACCTCGGTAGTCCACCATATCTGGGTGCCGGCTAGCGAAACCTGCGGGGCGCGTTACACTCTCAAACGGCTGGAGTGAATCGTCCACTAGCATGCAGTGAAGACACCATACTAGACGCGCAAATGGACCTGGGCCACGACGTGGGAGCACCACGCATCGAACGAGCCCGATGACAATGAAAGCAAGGCGATCCAACATGAAAGCAGCCCGAACTTTGGTTACTCTTCTGATCATAGCGTAGACCGTGCAGACATCTACCTGCCAAAACTCAATGTCTACAACTTGGCACAACCTAGTCGTTCACATATGCCTCACCCTTCTGAACCTGGACACGGCGGTTGATCGACTTCTTTCGCCATGAACACAACCCAGCCAGCGCCCGTCCCGTCCCCGTCCTCGTCCCCGTCCCCGTCCCCGTTCCCGCTCCCGTCCCCCCCCCCCCCCCCGTCCCTGTCCCGTCCCCGTTCCGCCACCGTCACCGTTGCTGGTTCTTGGCTAGTACTGTCCTCTGCGCTAGGTGACCCGGGCCGTGACCGGAGGGCCAGCAGAGTCGGTGGTCAGGCTGTAATGCTGCAGGTGGGCACTAATGCATCGTACCTTGTGAGATGTTAAGTTCCTGCTACGAGAGCTACCCACCGGAGGGAGTGAAGACGATACAATCGCCGCCGTACCCGTACCCCACCCTCTCGTACCTGTACCCATATCCGTAGCCGTACCCGTACCCGTACCCGCACCCGTACCCGTACCCGTACCCGTACCCGTACCCGTACCCGCACCCGTACCCGTACCCGTACCCGTCAACATACCCTTACCTGTACCCGTACCCGTCACCGTACCTGTACTCATACCCGTCACCGTACCTGTACTCGTACCCGTCACCGCACCTCTCCCCGGTCCCGTCACCAACCGAGTCATCAGTCGCACCGCGCACCTGAGCCGGGTAGTCGAACAGCCATTGTTCACGCGGCTTGTCCTCGTACGTGACGACGGCCTCGGTCATGTAGTGCCGCACCGTGCACCGCATCCGCTCCAGCAGCTTGTTCAGCCACTGCTCCACCTGGTTGGCACCAGCGGCGAGCGCCTCCGGTCAGCTGACAGCGGCACGGATCGGTGCCGCCCGTGACACGCTCGCCAGTCATCATGTGGACCACCCCCCCCCCCCCGCAGCTCGGCGGGTTGGCCTAATTCTAATCAAGTGATGGTGGACTATGACATGATGATGCCAACGATTGGCACCGCTGAAGACATCGCTTTCTGGCTACACGTAGCGCTGCAGCACTGTGAAAACGAAACGAAACGGGCAATACAATAATCAGAAAGTAAGTTGGCATGGCCAATCCATCTGCCACGCTCCAAGACGGTCCAGACGACCGGCCCGGGCCGATCTGAACCGATCCCAGCTCCTGTTGCGGGTGACTGCGGCCGGGCGCGTGCCGCGGCCGCGAGCCGGGCTGGCGGCTGCCGGCGAGACTGGCGCAGCTCCTCCGCGGCGGTGTCCGCCCGCGCGTACCGGTCCGACGCAGTCGATGTCCTCGTCGAAGTCGACGTACTCGCCGTCCTTGGCGAACATGCCGACGGCCACCGTGCCCCCCTCTTCCTTGAACTTCAGCTTGGCCATCGAATCGAACAGCTTGGTCAGATGTCTGCGCGAGAGACAGGCATCACAACACGGTACAGCAGCGCGCACTGATTGTGTTCGCTTGTGTTGGTCGTCACCTAACGGCCTACATCCTCCATTGCAGCAACTGACCAGAAGGCAAGTGTGTCAGGGCGCCAGTGCTGCTGCATTCACTACTTTACTGGTAATTTTGAATCGATCTGCTTAAAGTTACAAGTGGTCATCAAGCTTCAGCACAGTGATGTCAGCATCTCAAATGACTTCAAATATGATTAGAAACGCGCCATTTTCGTATTCATTCCCCGTTCTCACGCGTGACAAGTAGCCCAAAAGTTGGTTTGATGTGCCTTACTTGGCCACCAGCTCCGGCTGGTTTCCGTTGCTGAGGATATCCAGCAGATCAGCGGAGGAAACGAAGTAGAATCTGTGAAACCACATCCAGAAGGCAACAGATAAATACATTTCCCACGCCGTCCTTACGCTGCAGTACCACCATTACAACGCCTCTAAACGCTTGCATTTGGAAAGCCTTCGAAAGAGCACTGCCTTTTTGTGGCAAGCGGTGACTGAGTCAAGACTAGGATTCCGTTATAATGCACCATGGCCCTTTTCAGCTCAAACCCTCACAATAAGGTGCATTCATTGTTAGCTTTATCTGCTTCCACTGAGCCTGAACCGTACGTCAGTTTTGCAGGCCCACCAAAGCTTCCACAAGATGCCTCTCTGGCACCTGCGTACCCTCTCCCACTTCTCCACTTGTACTCGAGCCGAATATTGAAGGGAGCTCGTCCGCGGTGTCATCCCAGCCCGCTCCCAGACTCGGCATATCACGTGGTCCTCACACCGGTATCCCCCCCCCCCTCTCCCCCGCCCTTGCAGGCCCTCCTGCGGGTGTGACCGTGTCCACCGACCTGGGGAAGGCGAGTCGCTTGGTCTCCAGGTACTCGGCCAGCGCCTTCTCGCAGAGCGTCAGCTGGCCCTGCAGCTCGTCCAGCCGCTCGTACAGGCCGTCCTGGTTGGTGGCGCCCACCACGTTGGACGTGACGTTGATGTCCGTCACCAGAACCTGCGACAGCGGACGGCGGCTCGTCACCGCTCCAGCACCGCGCAACACACTGGCAAACGCCACCAGAGAATTACGTCCGTAAAAGTGAGGCATGGCTCGTCTTGCGTCCCGTAGACCATTCCAGTACTGTCAACCAATACAAATATCCGAGACAGAGGAGCAATCGGTATGCAGCGGTACACTTTACATAACGCCCGTGCGGCGTGACCACTTGCAGACGGCGTGCTCAAATCCCCCCCCCCCCCCCATAACGCAGGCACTCGAGACAGCCCCTTGATGCGGAGGCGGGAGCACCGTATCATGACACAGAATGTTCTGCTTGAAAATGATGGTTCAGCAGCATCATACTGTGAACCACACGAGGCGCGGGCCGGCTTGCGGTGACCGGCTTACAAGTGATTGGAGTGCGTGGTGGGGCAGCCTGGTACCATTAGAAACATTTATTGGTCACATTATCGATTACATGTAATCTCAGAACTATTTCTGGGCCGTTTACTGACCCTCTATCGAACAAATAAAACAAAGGGGAGTTTGTCAGGTCCGTTTTTTACTGACACAGTACAGGCTAGGTCACTTGAGCTCCAGTGCACACATGCTTGGGTGGCGGCAGCACCGGCCGCTAAGCTGGGCCATTCAAAAGGCCGGACAGTACCACGATACCTTAAACTTGGCGTCGATCTCGTCGAACCGCTTCGAGTCTTCGGGCAGCTGCTGGCGGATGTCCTCCGAGCCGATGAAGATGCTCTCTAGATGGCTCCACGTCCGCTGAACCTCGAACCAGATGGTGATCACCTGTGGCCAGTAACCATGCCAGTCCGGTGGGAACGCACACACGGGACGTTGCCGAGCTCCAGACATACGCCGACACTCCGTGACGCTCAGTGTCGCATGGCCGCTGTGCAGTGGGACTGGTCTAGACCAGTTAATGACACTGGTTTAGACCAGTCAATGACATTGGTTTAGACCAGCCAATGACGCCGGCTTAGACCAGTCAATGACGCTGGTCTAGACCAGTCAATTACATTTGCCTAGGTCAGTCAATGCCACCGGTTTAGACCAGTCAATGGCGCTGGTCTAGACCAGTCAATGGCATTTGCCTAGGCCAGTCAATGGCATTTGCCTAGGCCAGTGAACGGCACTGGTCTAGACCAGTCAATGGCACTGGTTTAAACCAATGACATTGGTCTAAACCAGTCAATGACATTTGTCCAGACCAGTCAATGGCGCTGGTCTAGACCAGTCAATGACATCAGTACAGGCTAGTCAGCGCCTCACCTGGTCTGCCATGCTCAACTTCTTCTGCCAGGTCGACACCTCCTCCAAGAAGAAGCTGATGTACTTCGATGTCATCAGATTCTGCAGCTGGACCTGTTCACGAAAGCACATTTCTCACAACCTGAGTTTGAGTACTAAATTGTTGTCATGCCGACGGTGCACTGCCCGTCACAAAGACTGACGGCAGTCGAAAATCGAAAGTCATAAAATCTGTCGGTACATCAAATTGGCCAGCCCAGTGACAGTGCAAGGATCAGCACGACGCCCGGAGGAGGGGGGGGGGGGGGGCTAAAACAGCAGTAACGCAATTGTCCTGTCACCGATCCCAAAACAAGAATCCAGCGTGTGGGTGGCGCCTTTAAATCCTTCCAAGAGCCATTTGACTTCGTTCTCTGGATCTGGGTCAGTGGTGCCAGGGTCACTGACGAGGCCACCTGGTGTATTCCTTAACCGCCGACAGGCGACGGGCTCATATCACCACACTGCATCCCCTGAGGAACTCGCCTAGTTATCCTGCGGCCCCCGAGGGACTCACATGGTTACTCTGCGGCACTGAGGGACTCACCTGGTCACCCTCCGCCCCTGTGCAGCTCACCTGGTCACCCTGCGGCCCCTGTGCAGCTCGCCTGGTCACCCTCCGGCTCCTGTGCAGCTCACCTGCTCACCCTCCGCCCCTGTGCAGCTCACCTGCTCACCCTCCGCCCCTGTGCAGCTCACCTGCTCACCCTCCGCCCCTGTGCAGCTCACCTGCTCACCCTCCGCCCCTGTGCAGCTCACCTGGTCACCCTCCGGCCCCTGTGCAGTTCACCTGGTTACCCTGCGTCTCCCGTGCAGCTCACTTGGTTATCCTCGAGCGTCTCGATGAGCTCCTCGGAGGCGCGCAGCAGCTGCAGGCCAGTCCTGTCGTGCTTGTCGTGCTCGAACTCCATGGTGGTCCAGGTGGCGTCCAGCTCCTGACCGGGCCGTCACGCACGCACGTCACCACGAACACAGCGCAGCAGCAGCAGCACACCGCCCGCCGTTACCGTCACGGGCTATGAACGAGCTCTGGAGCTGGTGACGTGCGCGTGCTGAGCATAGCACGGCCGTGGGGAGGCTTGCCCCGTTGAGCGTGATTTCCTTCCCCACATGTGTGTTAAAGTTCGCAACGGGTCCCGTCATTCATCCAACGCAAACGTCAAGTCCAAACCGCCCGCGCCTCCTGTCGGCGCCGCGTTTTCACATGGCGTCACGTGTCGGTGTAATTCAAGGCTTTGAAACCACGTCAAGCTGCTGCTCTGGCACAACGCCGCGCATTTCGCTTGGGCACACAGCTCCATGGCTTCGACACTGGCGGGGAAGCGGTGCGGTGAAAACTGCGTCAACGCGACAGTTAAGGTGCGCCACCAATAACGAAGCAACATGATCGCCCACTCCGACCCAACCACGAGGGGTCACACGGGGCTGAACATCGATTTAATGTCATTGCACCCATCCCCGTCGTTCCGTGCACCGTCCCCTGCGAGAGCGGCATAATCGTACGCACCTTCAACACCTTCTCCATGGACATCTCCTTGACGGCCTTGTCGACGATGTTCTTGACCTCGTCCTCGAACTCGTGCAGGTTGAGCGCCAGCAGGTCGGCCAGGGTGGTGTTCTCGTCCATGACGAACTTCACCTGGTGTTCGGCGGGTGTCAGTGTCACAAGCGGGCGTCCGCGGCGGCGGCCGCGCGCGAGACGCCAGCACACCGGGGCAGGCGGAGGGGACCCCAGCGGGTTGTTGGACTCTACACGGACACGGCGGTGTTTAGTCTGGGTGGTCGTGCTGAGCATTTAGCGGTTCGACACAACGGGCACACAGTGGACTCACAGATTACGCTGAAGAGCAGTTTATACGGTACATCGGCACTTTTATCATATGTTCATGCCAACCATGTATGAAGAAGTTTTGACTATAACAGGTGCCATGCGCATGCCAAACTGTGTAACTTTCTATATACATATATGCGTACTTAAAATGTTTCAGCTCAAAACTTCAGAACTTCAAACAAAAAACTAAATTCGTCAAGGACTTTTAAAATGCTGATGCAGCGCTCTTTCAAGCGAACAGCAAACGAATGAAACCGGACCAATGTCAACGCTACAGCATGACCAAAACTAGATCAGGTGACCCGCAATATTGCGTGGATGCAGCTTGGGTGTTCCAAATATTGTTTTTATTGAATGCATTTCAAGTGACATTAGCTCCCCGTTATCATCCGCATGGTCATGTCCGCACCTCCGTCCAATCACGCTGGACAAAATCACTACGATTTTCATCGAGTAAGCATAAAAGTACACACAGACGAGGTACTACAAATGTTTTACGATCAAGCATAATATTATTTTATTGCCTAAATGCAGATGCGCTACATTCGTTTTACAAACTTGGAATCGCTTTCCATTAAGCTCAAACATCCCATGCCCAAAAAGCTTTCCGGCAATTAGCACACAACTTGGTAACAAACTCCAGGATGGGATAATCGAGCGTTCCATAGCCCGTCCTCGATGCATTTAGAACCCGTCTCTCGGTCTCGGCGGCAATAACGATTGGGCCGTGGTGATAGATAGCTGAGGACCGTGTTACGGGTTACTATTGACAGCGAGCGTAAAGGTTCACCCAGTCGAGTGCATGCATACCGTACAAGTCAGGTAAAAACGGTGCAGCCGAGGGTTGGTTTTGGCTTGGTTTGTTTTGGTTCCGAGCTCTTTCGGCCAGCATTCGCCCTTCTAGTGCTGTAGGATGGGGGACGGAAGAGAGAGTGATGGGCAGCACCGCAGCCATCATGGGAGACCTCCGCTCCGAGCCTTAGCCCGCACAAAGACCCCTCTTCGGGGCTTGTGCGGGCGCTGCGACAGGGATTCCGCCGGAGCGGTCCCTGGCCAGCTCACAGCCGACGGCCACAGGTCGGCCCGCAGAGGCGTGGTGTTGCGAGAGGAGTCGTCAGGAAGCGACGAGTGATGAGAGGCCACAGGTCGACCCGCAGAGGCGTGGTGTAGCGAGAGGAGTCGTGAGGAAGCGACGAGTGAGGAGAGGACATAGGTTGGTCCCCAGACGCGTGATATAGCGAGAGGAGTCGTGAGGAAGCGATCAGTGAGGAGAGACGGACACCGAGGCTCGATCACGTCCGTCCATGATCATCCCCGAGTCCAGAAGTTGACCATGCACAAGCCTAATCGATATCGGAAACAGTTCATGAGCTCAGCGCTGTTGACGATATGTAACGGTGGTCGAAGTCCCATCGACCGCACGCTGACCATGACCGTCGCGGTGACGTCAGCCGCCGCAGAAGCGTTCTGTACAGGGCGCCGCCGGGCGGGGCGCGGCGTCGGGTTCACCTGGTCCGGGAGGGCCCAAGCGAGGCGGCCGTCGGCGCGCCGGCGGCGGCGCCGGCCGCGGCACGCCACCTGTCGCAGCGGCCCGTCAGACGCATGCAGAAGCCGGCCGGCGGCGGAGCGCGCCGGCCGCCCGCCGGCCCACTTACGTCGTCGCCACCGGCCGCGAGGCGGCTGAGCGCTAGCGCCACCGACGAGAGGGCGGCCGTGTCCGGCGGCGGCGGCGGCGCGGCCTGCTCGGCGCGCCGGCCGCGCCGCGCCAGCGCCCGCAGACGCTGCGTCGCCGGCTGGCCCGACATGGTGCCGGAGTCGGCCGGGCCCGGCTGAGCGGGGCCGGAAGGCCGTCAGCACGGAGGCGGCGCCTGCAGCGTGTCGGCTGCCGCACAGCACGGCACGGCACGGCATGGCACGGCACGGCGTAGACGGACCAGGACCGGTCCGAGCTTGAGCACATCGTCGCAATGATCCGCTAGTTCAGTCGGGGTTTCAACATGTCGGTAATGACTGCTGACCCCACGTAACTTTGTCCTAGCATTTTCTGTCGATATTTGGGTGCAACCTCGAGCCTCGGTCCTTGACCTGACCCTTCCAGGATAAGACTGATGCGCCAACGCCAGTTGCAGATCGGATCCTGCCAGTGCAACGGGCGTCGAAGGGGGGGGGGGGGAGGGGAGCGAAACGGGCGGCGGCCGTGGCCCTCCAACTGAGCACCCTAACCGGCCTCCCCTCAGTCTCACCACCACGGAAGCTGCACTCAGTACGAAAACGGTCAGTTTAGCAGGCCTAAGGCACCATGAACACTATACTCGAACTGTGATCTCCCACTTAAGAATGACCTCCCCGGCATAAAGGGAGTCAAAACAGGTATATACCGTGACTCTAGTAAGCTGCTCACGGTCATTATCGTGGCGATTCGACGCACGGAAAGCCAGAACGATCATGGCAACAAAAAACAACAACATAGTTTCTGTGAATGTAACGTTAAGGGATTTGTTCCAGTGGATTGGGACCGAAGTATGCATTTCAGCGTACAGAAATAATCTAGTCGAGCAAATATGCGTCTGCTGACAGCCTTTCCATACCTAGGTCAATGGTTTGTGCGGTCAGCTGCTTCTCATCGTTATCATGTCATAAACGAAACGTGAATGCATACCGTGAAGCTGGTCGCTATTCAGATGCCCTAATTGTCTCCCGCCCCATTAAAACAACAGTGTAAAACAAAAGCACAGCCAAACTGCACACAGCACAAAGTGTGCACAAACAGCGCCAGGCCAGCACACCACACATGCGCCACGAGCGGTCCAAGCCCAAACCACAGCGCTCCCCGGACCGACGGCAGCCACATCAGCCCACCACGCCACCACCACACCGGCCGACAAGTACGCGGGAGGAGCAGGCAGCACAGATGCAGTGAGAGTCCGGTTACGTCGGCCTTACCAAAAACATGCGCCGCATGAAGTTACGTCGCTGTGGTACACAGTTCAAGGCATTATTGGTTATTCTTCGGCCCGTCGCCCGTGGCACGCATCCAGGAAGCATTAGTTACGCACATATATGCCCAGCGCGTGTCTACATACATGTCAAGCCCATGTGGGCTCATCTCCTCGCACTGCTGCATGCTTTCAGTGATACGCCATCCGACGTTCATTGCTATCATTTTGGGGTCCTGAACTTCGCGAAGTAACACATCTTTGGATCTGCGCTCACCGTCCAAACCAGAAAGGTCCGCATCTCAGTGATGGATAAACTCAGTGACAAAACGATAAGCTATTACACAGGTGCCCAACCCATCATCATTCCCCGTTAAGTGCTTCCTACCCAGCAATGTGGCCAACCACGCTAGCTGATCGAGACAATGCCTACTCTAAATGCGGAAGGGGCGATCAACAGCCGTCAGGGACGCAGCAACGTAACAGGAGGTGCTGCCCAGGCCAGTGAGCTGTACTGCACTGGACTGGTCCACAGGGGCAACCAATCATGGCGGGGGTCAACGTTTTCACTGACCATTAATTGGCACACGTTGTTGCAAACGGTGAAATGATGTAAAATCGTACTGCATTCAAAATTAAAGTATATATGCACGGTTAAGATGTCATTACCTAAAAGTGGCATTGGTCAGAATATAGAAATAACAGTTTGCCTACCTGGGCCCTCCATCTGAGGTTTAAACTTGGCGACAAATAGGGAGAGCCCGCGCCATTGTGGAACACGACGGCACACAAATCCAGTGGCAAACAGCCCACCGGGATGTCGTCCAACACCGCCCAAATTAGGTTGACCCCGCCGTTGCCACGGTGTGTCACAGTCGCCGTGGATGACCGGCCGGGCCTCGGCAACCGCCGTCCCCTCACCTTGGTGGCCACCATCAGCTGCTTCCAGTGCCGGGTGCGGATGGCCGGGTTCTGCAGCTCGGACACGGCCTTCAGCGACGTCAGCATGTTCTTCACCGTCGCCTCCAGCTGGGTGTACGTGTCCCACGCCCGCACCTCCTTGTCCATGCCTTTCGCGGAGTGGGCGGTTAGTGAAGGCCCCTGGCCGTGTCGGCGGGTGCTGATCGCCGCCGGTACGCCGCGCGGGGCGGCGCGCACCGGCGCAGGCCGGGCTCCTCTCTCCCTCCCTCCTCCCCCCCCCCCTCAGCCAGCAGAGCTTACCGCTGGCGGCACGGCGCAGGTCTGTCCGTGTTAACGGCGTGATCATGCTGGCCATGATGCGGCTTCACCGGCATACGTTCAGTGAATGCATAGTTTTTTAACTGGTCGGCGCACTGCGACATCTCGCAGACGCAACGCGTTTACAGCACACTTTCAAATGCATCTTTGACAGCCGCAACACGCGCTCGTGAACAAAAATGAAATGCACCACCAGTCGCTTTTGTGCACCTAAAGCAACGATCTAAGTACAAATGCCATCGGTCATTCGATTACATCAAATGGACCGAACGACGCCGCTTCAGTTCAGCAGCGCCCAGGAAACGAACATCCGCCAGACCGCTTACCGCACCCACCACAACCCCTCATGACCTATGTTAAACAGCCGCTCAGGTGGCAGCGAGGTGGCCTTATTTCCAGCGCTCCCACGCCAAGCAGATGAGCTAAGGTGACGAGACTGCATTCAGAATGCGTCAAATTACACTCCCGGGTGTAATTTGAATACACCAGCTTCGATGCGGATCATCAAGGATGCCTACCGCTTCTCACGCATACGCTGCGTCGCGACGCGCACCACACACGATGCATGCGACTCGCGCTGCATGAGATGCACACGACTCGCACCGCATACTCAATACTGTACGCCTATTTAGTGGGAAATATACCGAAACAAGCGATCACTACTTAGGCACGTTTGATATTTTGTGGATGCGAGTGACAGCAATAGACGGTTAGAGTTCTAGGGGAAGGTTCTAGGTTCTAGGGAGAGTTCTAGGCCTAGAGTTCTCTAGGTAAGTTTAAGGGGAAAAGGATCGACAGCTGACATTTTGCGTCATCCTGCCAGAACCCAACCTTTACCAGGAACCCGGTGACAACTAGCTGCGATTTAGCTCAGTTGTACCGCAGTCTCTGCTGTCTACAGGACGTTGCTAGTTATTTGCTGGCTGCTGTCTTTACGACGGGCTCACAGCTGGTGAAGTTATCTCTCTAGGATGACGTTAAGTCGGCGCCGGTCAGCGGCTCGGGAGCTCATGTTTTATTATTTTAAGCCTGACTACATCTGTCCGTACTATTATCATAAGCCTGACTACATCTGTCCGTACTATTATCTTACGCCTGACTACCTCTGTCCGTACTATTATCTTAAGTCTGACTACATCTGTTCGCAAGTAGCTTCCTTACCAAGACCTCCGCGCGTTTCGATTAAAGAATCGGCAAAGTCTGCAAAGCGTCGTTTTGATAAAGTTCCACAGCTCCACTAGAGCAACACGACGGGCTTCAGCATTGACACACACCCATATGTACACATTGTGAGGAGGCGAGTGCCACAAGCGTTCGGGTGGCGGTGGGGGCTCCAATGCAGGCAAACCAGCCCCGAGGCACTAAAACGGAGGCAGTGACCAAGTAGTGGCAGTGTGGGAGACAAGCCGATTGACCGTGTGGCATTCAGTGGAGTGATTTTGTACACTGCACAGTGTACCGCTTATGTATGTACAGACTGACGGCTGTTCGTGATCACTCGGGTCTATGGGGTCCGCATACGACCGCAGCTCAAAAGAACTCATACCGATCCCACGTGCTCCGAAACCACGGTGGAAGCAACTCTCCTCGCTGATTCATACCAACCCCCACCACAACCTATGTTACATCACACACACACACACACACACGCTCACCCCACCCTGCCAGCGATCTATACTTCAGTATACAATGCTCACTCATTCGTGCCGTCAAAGGTGCATGAGACAGGCCCGCGAGCTAAGCCAAATACTTCCGTGGTTCTCAAAAGTTGGCATTCCGCGTGCCTTTGTCAGACGGGGGCGATACGTACCCATCTCTGGATCGGCGAAAGCGAAGGCGAGAGCGTTATAGATTGCTTTGCGAACACCAGTAAAGGTTCAGAAGCGATAGTTCTCCTTTAGCGCATGCAGAGCTTCGTGAGAAAGGTCGCTTTACGAGATGTTTTAGAGGCGAAAACAAAACAGTGAATGAAAAGCATTACCTGACAGAAAACACATGGCTGCAGGAAAGTAGCGAGTAGTACGCGTCGAACAAACTGTATGTCAACTTACAGCATTTTCAAAACAAGTGAGAAGAGATGTCATGAGTGTGGTACCCAGCGAGTGTTACATACCTCTGACGTCCTTTGAGAACTTCTTGCACTCGATGTCCATGTTCTCAACGTTGATGTCCTTCCAAGGCGTCTTTTTCCAGTCATCGATACAGGCGAGGACAATGTTCACTTGATCCCACAGATGCTGTGAACGTACAGGGGTCGCCGCGGCTCTAACAACACTACAGTACGTTACTCTCACGCTATCAAACGAGGGGGCAAGACGTGCCTAGACAGTGACGTCATCACAGCTAACAGGGAGATGAACTGGGGTCACATCCATGTCAAAAGAAACTCTACGGAAGGAGCTGTCCGTATGTATCAGAGCACTGACTAGACACGCATTACTCATTATTCAATTGCACACACACTACGCACGGCTCGGCAAGCAGTTCTCCCCAGTTTTCAAGAAAAAATTGTCCGAATGGGATGGTGTTAAACACGGCAACTGAATGCCACGTTGTCTTTCATTACACTTCAGCACATATCCAGAATGCCGAACATCCCACCACGACCCCGGCCTGGCCCGCCTGACACTGGGCCGGCTCCTCTCCAGGCGCATATGCGCGGCGAAGACAACATCGGCGCAGTACCTTGGCGAGCCGGACTTCCTTGCGGCACATCTTGAGCTGCTTGAAGTCGGGCATCTGGACCTCGAACAGGGCGGCAGACGCGGTGATCTTGGCGAGCTCCGCCTCCATGGCGTTGATCACCAGGTGCGTGTTGTCCAGAATCTCGTACGGGGTCGTGCAGTCGTAGCTGCGGCGCCAAGCACAGCCAGTTCCCACCCACGCACGAGCGACGCTTGGCAAGCAATCACATGCACTGCTTGTCGCTACGGTATGACAACGTGCGCTCTCTGAGGCCCGAACTCTGGAAAGCACGCACTGCTTGTCGCTGCAGTATGACAACGCGCGCTCTCTGAGGCCCGAACTTTGGAAAGCACGCACTGCTTGTCGCTGCAGTATGACAACGCATGCTCTTTGAGGCCCAAACTCTGGAAAGCACGCACTGACTGTCGCTACAGTACGACAACGTACGCTCTCTGAGGCCCAAACTCTGGAAAGTAGGCACGCGAGCCGAACTGAACGGACGCACCACCGAAAATACCGGACAATCCAGCGCATTGCGCGACAATTCACGGCACATGAAGGAGCTGTACCTCTCCGACGCCTCAGCACCAGCTGACTGTGGTTATGTCAGCGAGCCACCGTCACGGCGAACACGAGGGACCCCGCGCGCACCGCGTCCGTGCCCCGTCCACCACCGCGCGTCGATGGCGTTGTGCCCCCGCTCACGCGCATGCGTGCGCCAACACCCGAGCACCGACATGCCAGCCAGCTCATTAAGCGCCCACCATTTCACTGCCGTAAGCAAACCTGAATGGCGGATGGCGACGGCCGGGGACCTAGGCGTCACACCGAACTCCGTCACCCACGAGCGTCGTCCCCACCCCAGTGACGCGCCGGCGGCGCCCGGGGACGCGTCGCGCCGGCTGACCTGAACACGAGCAGCTTGCGGAACGTCTCGCGGTAGTCGTGCTGCTTCAGCTCGAAGTTGGAGATGCTTCGACGCACGTTGGCCACCTCGTTGGCCTGCAGCGGCGCCACCTGCTGCTTGGCCTGGATGCTCAGCTTCACCGTGTTCTTCCACTTCTCCGGCAGCTCCTGACGCGTGAGACGGCCGGGCCGTGTTACACCGGGGCTGACATCATCGCCGCAGAGACAGTCTCACCCTACAGTTATAGGCAGGGGGCATGGAACGGTATAGTAAAGGGGAGGGGGAGGGGCGGGGGGGGGGGGGGCAGAAGGCATGGAGCCGATGAAGCTTTGCGGGTACACTATCGTTCAGCTTCGGCGATTTTCTTGCCAAAACACCGGACGCCGAGCCTCCTATACGAAACAATATCTGGACTGAATGACACCCTTGGACCTCCACGGCCACAAACCGCCCAATAGTTCTAAGGGGAGCTTTGCAAAAGAGGAACCTTGAGCACCCATGCTCTTTTATCGTGGGCTTTAACGTGCCATGGTGGAAAACGATATGGTGGTGGGGATGAGTCGCCATCCGGGACCCCCAGATCATCGGTCGGACCGCCGGCGTCCAGTCCTGGTGGCGTCCTCGCCATGGAAACTTCCGCGACCTGAGCGTAGGTCCCACAGCCAAACTTCCGCTTAGTTCCACGTGCTCTCGGAATCGACTCCGGAGTTCAGTGAATTTCAATTAAGAAGCGCCTTCGCTTCCTCACGGTCTGATTCACGCAAAATGGTCCCGATGCTCACGCGCCCTTAAACGCCAAACCACGGCATGGTCATCATTCACGCCAAACGGCGCCTCGTTGCCGTAAGTCTGAGTATATGCGCTCTGTGTCAGCATGAATATCGCTTCCGCTGAGGCGGAATGCAGCATAAGTCCGCAGACAGCAGCGCTTCGCAGGCTAGATATCGCTTCGCAATCTCCATGCCATGGCATCCCTCAAACAACGAACTGGATCGAAAACACATATAAACAAAAAGCTCGTTTTCTTTGCCACCTGGCGAGGGAAATGGACTCGGCTCTTATCGTGAAATGGAACGGTGCCATCATACTGAAACGCAATGAAAGAAGAGCCGGGCCGACATTTGGTAAGCACGGCCGCAGCGCACCTGCAGCTGAAGATGGATCTCCTCAGACATCTCGACGTCGTACGTCTTCAGCAGCTCAATGGTCTGCTTCAGCGGCTCGAACATGTTGTCGGTGACGTCTTGCCGCTCCTTGACGGCCAGCAGGTGGGCCATCATGGTGACCAGGCCCTGGTAGTCACCCTCCTGCACTTGATTCACCAGCCCCGCGTCTTTCGCGTGGATGAAGTCTGCCAGGTCCTGCAGGCTGTGCAGGAGCAGTGTGGCACAGTGTCAGGTGCAGAGGTCATGGGAAGAAACACGGCTGTTGGGCCGGATGACATTAAAACCAACGAAGCGCACCATCGCGGGTGTGACCTTACGTCGTTCACCGTTCTGCTCGGAGCCTCAGCTGCGGCAGTGTTCAGACAAAGTGACTGACGCTGCTGGTCGGATTGATGACCGGACTGCCCGGGCTGATGGGACTCAGCCAACACCGACTGCGGAAACAGTGTGGCAAACCAACACCACACCCGACATCAGTTCACCCCAGCCGACCCATCCACGTCAGCGCGCCTCCAGACGGGCAGGGCTAGCCGAGTTACCTGTTAGTGACGTGGTCGATCAGGTACTGCTTGAAGAGCAGACTCCAGCGCTTGATGGTGTTGAGCAGCGCCGCCTTGAACGGCTTGCAGTCGAGCCGGAACCAGGTGTCGAACGTGACCACGGGCTTCACCCGCTCCATCTCGACGTACAGCTTCTCGTAGCTGTCGATCTGCTCCTTGTACTGGTCGAGCGTCGGCGGCGACTCGGGAATGCCGTCCTCGCCGAACTGCTCGATCTCCTCGGGCGTGATCTGGTGGCCGTACCTGGAGACCGCCAGCCCGGCCGCACCCAGGTCACGAGACGACCGGCCACCCCGCCGCTGGCCGGTACAGCCCAGCCACGGCCCAGTGTCTTTTGGCGTCCTTTGGCGCTGCTTTTCTACGCGGCTCGCTTCACTGTCACAACAAGTTTCGGCGAATTGCAGAGTGCACCAAACCACTGAAGAGTGACAACATTTTGACCTGATGAAAAGGCAGAGCTCGACAATACTTCACAAAATGAAAGTGGCGCTGAGCTGCGCCAATAAATATACTACTATCCGGTGTGACTTGAAAGGAAGCCAAGAGTTCTACAGGTGTATCCCTATCGATGTTCTAACCGACAAACTTGACTGAACCCATTTATTACCGCGTGTTTCGATAACAGCGGTGCCGGCAGGGCCTGACCTGGACCGAATTGGACACCCGCACTAACCTGAGGAACTGGGCCATAAATTCGTTGCGGTCGTCCGTCCACAGGTAGCTGTGCTGGTCCAGCGAAGACCTGTACTCTTGAGCCTGGCGGCGGACGCACACAGTGACTCACGGTGGTGGGATCAGGCAGCAGCAGCGGTGGCCTACGGTGGCGGGCTCAGGCGGCAGCAGCAGCGGTACAAGGTGATGGGATCGGGCTCCAGCGGCGGTGGTACACGGTGGTGGGATCGGGCGCCAGCAGCGGTGGTACACGGTGGCGGGATCAGGCGGTAGCAACAATGGTACAAGGTGGTGGGATCAGGCAGCAGTAGCGGTGGTACACGGTGGTGTTATCAGGCGGCAGCAGCAGCGGTACACGGTGGTGGGATCGGGCTCCAGCAGCAATGGTACAAGGTGGTGGGATCAGGCAGCAGCAGCGGTGGTACACGGTGGCGGGCTCAGACGGCAGCAGCAGCGGTACATGGTGGTGGGATCGGGCTCCAGCGGCGGTGGTGCACGGTGGTGGGATCAGATGGTAGCAACAATGGTACAAGGTGGTGGGATCAGGCAGCAGCAGCGGTGGTACACGGTGGTGGGATCGGGCGCCAGCAGCGGTGGTACACGGTGGTGTGATCAGGCGGCAGCAGCAGCGGTACACGGTGGTGGGATCGGGCTCCAGCAGCAATGGTACAAGGTGGTGGGATCAGGCAGCAGCAGCGGTGGTACACGGTGGCGGGCTCAGACGGCAGCAGCAGCGGTACATGATGGTGGGATCGGGCTCCAGCAGCGGTGGTGCACGGTGGTGGGATCAGACGGTAGCAACAATGGTACAAGGTGGTGGGATCAGGCAGCAGCAGCGGTGGTACACGGTGGTGGGATCGAGCAGCAGCAGCAATGGTAAGCGGTGGTGGGATCGAGCGGCGCCAGGGCAGCAGCAGCAGTGGTTCTGGTCATCAAGGACTCCATAATAAACCAACACAGCACGAGTCCGTCCAACCACTGAGACGCGGGCAGATTTTGGCGAGCGATGGCGACGTAATCTATAAGCATATACACACATTTTGGGAACAGGGTTCCGCAACTAGCTTCCCGCCTCTGAAACGACGCAGACCGGAGGAGGGGAAAGACCGAGCAGGAGCCGACACCGCGCTTGCTCTCACCTGGCTGATGACGGAGTGGATGTTGTTCATCAGAGCGTTGCGCATCAGGCTCAGCTGTTCCGTCTCGTCCAGCTCCTCCAGGTACGACTTCTGGTGCACCTTCCTCGACAGCTTCTTCATCAGGGTGGACATGTTGAATATGTCGGACACAACACCCTCCGTGATGTCCAGAAAGCCGCCTTCCTCCTGGCAAAGTGTGCCGGGTCAGTGGTTGCACCGCGAGCTGATCGCGAGGCGTTCGCCGATGTTTCCTTGAAGCACGCGGTTACGCACCGCCACGAAAGCACCGGTCAGGCCCCCAAGTTCAAAGAGAACGCCATGACTGCGCGTTAACAGCAAAAACGTGTTTTTTTCTGTTTCCGTTGTTTGTCTGGGGTTCCGCGCATTCCAACGGAGCCACAAACGCTGTGCCGCATGACACTAATGTTGGCGGGTCAGTCTAAGCCTCTCAGGACAGCAAGGCGAAAGGCTTATCATCCGGCTCTCACTCGGAAGTCTAGCGAGGGCTTGAGAACAGCACGTCCGGCTCTCACCTGGAAGTTGAGCGAGGAATTGTACAGCACGTCCAGCTCTCACCTGGTAGTCGAGAGAAGGCTTGAGAAGAGCACATCCGGCTCTCACCTGGTAGTCGAGCGAGGCTTTGCACAGCGCATCCGGCCTCACCTGATAGTCGAGCGAGGGCTTGAACAGCACGTCCGGCTCGATGAGCTCGAGACGCGCCTCCATCAGCGGCTGGGTGTTGACGCGCGGGTCGGTGTTGTCCAGCAGGTAGCCGAGGCTGCACTGCACCACCCTCACGAACTCCTGCACCACGATGCCTGGCGGAGCGGAGCGCAGTCGCGGCGGCTCGACAGCGCTTCGCGGCGGCTCGACGCCGCAGCGTACATACACAACACAGATTCTCACCCCCTCTCTCCGACTCTCACCGTGCGCAGTGCACACTCACCGTCTACAAAGTGCACGTAGTGGCGCCAGGCGCGCGACTTCCCGTCTGCCTTCAGGTGTATCTTGTTCTCCCGCACCAGGCGATGGATCTTTTCGCCCGACTTCGTGATGGCCGCGTACCTGGGGACATTGCAGTGATCACTTGCCACCAGCTGGAGAGGAGATGGTCGACGGCGGTAGCTCAGGTAGGGGGGGAGGGGGAGGGGACGCAAAGAGGGTCCGAAGGGTCGCATTAAGGGTTCCAGTCCTGCGGACCGGGCCCTTAAATGCCAGTCAGAGGGCCCTTTGCGCCGATTTCGGGCCCCTGAGCCGATGAACAGGCACCACCAGCACCGGACAGCCGGCTCCGTGTCGGTCTGGACCGGAGGGCCCATTTCCGAAGGAGGGACAAGGCCGGGGCCCCCGATTTACGTTGGTCACGGCCGTTAAGTCAATGAGCCCCCCCCCCCCCCCCCCCCAACACTTTTTGTCGGCCACGGGCCTGCAGCGCCCGACAGGAGATTTTGTGTTGGCAAGGGGCCGGAGACAAACAGTGTTCGAGGGAGCTCGAAGATAGGGCCCGAAGTGCTCTTCGGACCGCCGATCAGGGCCCAATTGGAAGTTGAAGGGACCAAAAGGCCCCTCGGGGGCCCGATCAAGGGCCAGTCGATCAGGGGTCGATTAGAAGGCTGCGGGGCCCAAGGGCCTAAAGGACTACATGTAGGCCACATTATGGGCCAGGATCCCGACTCGTTCGGCCATGACCTCAAATGTCAGAGTGCCTCTTACACTGATTGAAAATCCCTGAGATAGGGGGGGGGGGGCTACCATCATCTGCGACGGGGAGATAATTTTCTTCGCGCGAGTTCCAGATGCATTGACGGTACTGATGCACTGCGAACAGACTCACAGACCCCCACAAACGTTAATAGATACGGTACCTAGCATATCCATGAGCCACCAATGTCAGTTCATCCCCGGTATCTTAAGCAGTTCTTTTAGTTGCGTAGCTTAGCTCTTCCCTCGGCCATCTGCAAGTTTTCTTACGAGACAACATATCTACAACATACAACAGACCCCCACAAACGTTGATAGATACGGTACCTAGCGTGTCAATGAGCTATCAATGTCGGTATTCCCTGGTACCTTTAAAAGTTATTTTAGTTGCGTGACGCAGCCCTTCACCCGGTCATCCGCAAGTGTCCTTACTCAACCACGGCCGTTGCAATACATGTGCTGTATGCGCTGTCAATGGCAGTATCCGTGAAGTTTAAAATCGACATAGTGTTCTTGAACTCCAGATTCCGGAAGTATGTTCAGCAGTGTCGTCGTGAAAACTGTGCTAGTAGCGACAGCGGGAGAGGAGGGGGGAGGCTAAAACCCCAAGAGCCCCCCCCCCTCGCCTGCGCCACTGTTTCTCCGTGATCTTATTTGTTCGGAACTTTGCTTGATATGCAAACCCTAGACTTTCGACCTCTAACCATCCCTATCAGCCGGCTCAGAGGACGAGAACGGCCGCTGTGTGACCATGGTCAGTCGGCGTGCCCCCGAGGATTTCACGTCATATCTGCAAAGAGGAATCAACACAGAGACTGCAGCAAGTCAGCCGGCCGTTCTGCTCTTTCAAAACCCTCTGAGGTAAGGAGGTACAAATTAGATACCTTGTGCGAATATCTAAGTGCATAGCACAAATGTTGCAAAAGTCCAAACGTCGCGGAAACGGTGCTTCATTACCAGGTACGCGGGCAAAGTTTGTCTTGATGGGGAGGGAAAATGCCAAATTTTTCCGAGCTCGTGCGAAGTAGGACCGAATTTGTGTGAAATCGCTGTGTCTGGTGTAAGACTGTTAGCTTGGGGGAAGCGGCATGCCCCCCCCCCCCCCCCCCCCCCCCCCCCCCCCCCGCCTCACTGGCCTGTACATCGCCATTATCGCACCAAAGTGTTTTAGCTTTCAGCTGTGCAAAGAGAAAACTACAGAACTTCCAACTTAATCACATGACACTTGCGTCACTATCAGCCTCAGACCTCAAGCAGCGCAGCAGCAGAGCCTCAAATCCATCGCCAGTGCACGCCTAATACGACTCGGCGTCGGATAACATACGTTTTCTTCAGCTTCTCTTCCTTTTCCTCCAGATTTAGCAGCGTGTTGGTCCGATCCTCCTTTCTCTCAAATAGAGGCTTAGAGGCAAACACCAACAGCATATCTGGAAAGTCGGAAACGTGCGTCCAGGCGCTATCATACATTCTGATTACAGCCATTGATCGAAACGCAACGAAAACATGTCGTCGCTTTACCCTTCCTGCAACAAGAGCTGCGACTACGTTTACAAATCTTGATGACAATGAGTCTGGTCAAAATATAATAAGCAAGCCCTATAGGCTGCTGACATGATGGTATGACTGACCCGAAGGAAAAAGCTTTTTCATTTGACCCTAGTTGCATAATAAAACGACCACCAGGTCAGTTACCAGAGGGCGCTGAAGTCAGCCAAAAGTGGAGGGCAAGTGAAGGAACTCCGCGTGATCTGTTACGTCATCAGCATCTCAACAAAGGTAAAGCACGTAGTCAAAGTAACTGATCCTAACAAACACCCACCCCTTATAATCTGGATGTTCTTCTGAGACTTGGAAACGCGTTCAGAGAGATCCATCACAAGGTCACGAGTTCCCTTGATGTACTCCCAAGCATCTGGAAAATGAGTCATCTGATCAGCGCACACATCGAGGCGGCTCATACCCAGGGAGTCGTTTAGATGAATCGGAATTTCAAACTCATAACTTGGCCGTCAACACAGGAGGGTTTTGTGTGACGCGCGTTTTGATTGGATTTAAGGTGTTGGAATGAGCTGCCTTCTGCCCTTCGCATGAATCTGCAACGGTCGGTGACGGGGACGCCTCCTAGCTGATCCAAGAATCACCAAAACTGCAGACACGAGTTGCAATGACCGCGCTGAGCCTGCAGAAACCGCAGCACATCACTCACAGGCCATGTCGCCCCACACATCAAATCTCGAACGGCAACCGAGAGCGAGGACGTAGGCTAGGGTGTACACGGGCGACAAAACGTAACTACGACCTGATCTCAACACCAGGCTACCGAGATTAACGAAGCCTCATTGAAATCGCAGTTGCTTCCAAAATGCGTGAGTCAGAGCCACAACAACCATGGAGGCAGCTAGCTACGCGATCGGAGCGCAATTTCCATCGTTTGCCCGACCAGGACTGGTCCAGCACAGATCGGTTTCAGCTCTTGCTAGTCGCTGGTCGATCTCCTTCATCTGGCTCTCGATCAGCTTGAACTCCACGGGCTGGGTGTTTTGACGAAGGCCATTGTAACTGTGGAGCAGAGACCGGGTTATCCTAAAGCGCACGAAACTGCGGGCTGTTACAGCTGTTCAGCGGAGACTAGACTTGTTACGCCATAGATGCAGTTGTTAAGCAGACCACTGAGCGCGACCAGAGCCCAGACTGGATGTCATGTATGAGTAAGAGTCGCAAGGTTCGTGACCAGTGCACCAAAAACTGACATCTTACGGCCACACCAAGCCAACATGGCGACCCCCACCGAGCGGCCTGTACAGGTCACTTAGCTGAGGAACGGCAGCTGTTACAGCCGAGCCGCTCCCGGTGGCGGCGGCATCACTCACGAGGTGCAGATGAGCTCCAGGTTGGAGGTATACTGGCGGTACATCTCCGAGTTGTCGTCCATCTGGCCGGCGTCGCCGGGTACGTCGTCGCGGTTCAGCTGCCGTAGGTACTTGACCTCCCTCAGGATGCTCACCAGCTGCCCGGCAGCGCGGCGTCGGCGCGTCACGTGACGCAACGTTGGCACACTCACGGTCGCCACAGCAGGACTACATCAGCTGTCACCAGCCAGAGTCGCGCTCAGATTAGCCGGCCGCCACAATAGAACTATATCAGCTGTCACCAGCCAGAGTCGCACTCAGATTAGCCGGCCGCCACAATAGAACTATATCAGCTGTCACCAGCCAGAGTCGCGCTCAGATTAGCCGGCCGCCACAATAGAACTATATCAGCTGTCACCAGCCAGAGTCGCACTCAGATTAGCCGGCCGCCACAATAGAACTATATCAGCTGTCACCAGTCAGAGTCGCGCTCAGATTAGCCGGCCGCCACAATAGAACTATATCAGCTGTCACCAGCCAGAGTCGCGCTCAGATTAGCCGGCCGCCACAATAGAACTATATCAGCTGTCACCAGCCAGAGTCGCACTCAGATTAGCCGGCCACCACAATAGAACTATATCAGCTGTCACCAGTCAGAGTCGCGCTCAGATTAGCCGGCCACCACAATGGAACTATATCAGCTGTCACCAGTCAGAGTCGCGCTCAGATTAGCCGGCCGCCTCAGCAGGACTACATCAGCTGTTACCAGCCACAGCCCTGCTCAGATCGCCATTCTCCGAGAGAGGTCATGGCCGGTGTAACAGTGTCGCAATGCTTCACTCGGACGAAGGCAGAGCCAAGAGTGAGCCCGCTGATCCACACAATCCCAAAGCAACTCAGATGTCTTCCACGCCAAACATCCCAAAGCGCGCCGGTGTGTGCGAGGCCTGTCCGCCCCTGCTACGGGACCACCGTCCGCCGTCCCGCGGTCCCCGCGCTCGGTCCCAGTTCGGTCCCGCGCCCGTCAGCGGGCGGCGCTCACCTGCGGGTCAAAGTTGGTGTGCACGGCCTTGTGCGTGCGCGTGATGAGCGGCAGCTTCAGCTTCTCCTGGATCTGACTTGTCACGCCGCCCTGCCACTCGTCATACACCGTCTTCTCCCGTTCGAGCAGCAGCGTCATCAGATCGTCGTACTTGTCGTACAGGTTTTTGGCCGAGTCACATTCCACCACCCTGACGCGGTCCGATCCAGGTCATGTTCCACCACCCTGACACGGTCCGATCCAGGTCACGTTCCACCCCCTGACACGGTCCGATCCAGGTCACGTTTCACCCCCCTGACGCGGTCCGATCCAGGTCATGTTCCACCACCCTGACACGGTCCGAGCCAGGTCACGTTCCACCCCCCTGACACGGTCCGATCCAGGCCACGTTCCACCCCCTGACACGGTCCGATCCTGGTCACACTCCACCACCCTGACACCGTCCGATCCCGGTCACACTCCACCCCCCTGACACGGTCCGATCCCGGTCACACTCCACCCCCCTGACACGGTCCGATCCAGGCCACACTCCACCACCCTGACACGGTCCGATCCCGGTCACACTCCACCACCCTGACACGGTCCGATCCCGGTCACACTCCACCCCCCTGACACGGTCCGATCCAGGCCACACTCCACCACCCTGACACCGTCCGATCCCGGTCACACTCCACCACCCTGACACGGTCCGATCCAGGCCACACTCCACCACCCTGACACCGTCCGATCCCGGTCACACTCCACCACCCTGACACGGTCCGATCCTGGTCACGTTCCACCTCCCTGACACGGTCCGATCCTGGTCACGTTCCACCTCCCTGACACGGTCCGATTCAGGTCACACTGAACACAACACGAACGGGTCAAGACCCCATGCAGCGCCACACAATGAGCCATCAGAAGCCAGCGCACGATAACGGTCACGTTTTCAAGGCATTGTTAGTCGTGATGGATCAGCCCCTCACTCTCTCCCAGCTCTGCCATCGAAGGGCCAAAATGTCTAAATCGATCATCGGGTAAAATGGTAGTTGGCAAAATGGCAAAATGACGACCTGCGTTTGCGCTGATGCAATTGGTTTTGTTTCCTGAGCGGGAGAATTGCGTTTTTAATGTTCGCAACACGTAAATGTAAACATGATACGGACTTATCATGATTCGAGCCAGACCCTGCCTTGGTCACGCGAGCACCGCACGCTACAGCTTGCGTTGAAAGTGGGCTTCAAAGAAACCATACGAAATGGGTGTAATAACCGCGACTGCCTCTGCCATTGAGTATTTGAACTGAAACTAACCAACGAATACATACATCGAGCGTGTCTAACCGGCTTGGTGACAATGGGATGTCAAGGCGATGAAAAAACAATGTTGTTCTCTTTCTAGAACCGGTCTCCGCTTAGCTCGCGTGATACTCCAAGCGTGTTTCTGAGGCCTCGATGCTGGATCTGCCCTTCACAGCTGTTCCAGTGTTTCAACAAGCGCGCCGTTAGCTTGTCAGCTTAGCTTAACAAGCGCGCTTGTTACAAGCGCGGGTGGGCGGCAACTCACGGACGAAACGAATATCGGTCGGGAGAAGCGTGCGCCGCACCGCTCTTCACCTGCTTACCGTACCAGGCTACATCAGCGCCTAGTGCCAGCATATACACAGCGCAGGGACCGAATGGCCGCCGCTCAATCCAGCCGCGGTGGATGTACCACACAGTGGTATGTCTCCATCGACTTAACCAAGCTAACAGCGGACCCAGTCCAGTTAGCGGAGGCGAAGGTATCGTATCTCAAGGGTCTACGGCTTCGGCGAACAAAGTGAAGATATGTACAGCTTCTACAGTGTATGAAATGTCATACGCATGTCAGGGTAAAGACATATCTCAGCTGAAGGAGCGTAAAGTGACGTACGCCGAATGGCTCTGGTCACTAACAATAGGTCTACCAACCATCGACGAGATATAAGGGTTACACCATGTGAGGTACACGAAGGCGTAGAGAAGCGAGCATTTTACAGCATGGAACGGCCGTCCGTTGGAATTCCGGTGTCCAATTCATGACGGCAAAGCAATATTACAGCAGCTGTACAGGTCCGCAGGGTGTTGAAACACGTAGCTGCATTTACCATTCGGGCAGCAGAGGTTTTCCAACTTGCCTGCAATGTCAGTTGAACACTGATAACGTTATTGAGTAGCGAGCAGCCTCAGACATTGAGCTAGTTTGCGCCACCAACTGAGACGAGCAAACACGAGCACAGGCACAAAATGCAGCGAGTTGCAGGCCCACACATACCTGCACGTCGAAAAATAGCCACGTGGTAAACATATATTTAATTACTCCATGCTGTTTCCGCTAATTAGCGTTCCTGGACGGAAAAGCCTAGTCATCTTGTGGTCCTCGGTGCGAGGTGTCTCTTAAGTAAAGTAACGAACTTTTTACGTGCGTCACTTATGCCCAGCTCTACGGGCATACGGGCGTGGAAACGGGCATAAAAAACATTCCAGCCGCACTTCGGACACATTTCTGACCTTATCGCAGTGCGCTCTAAACAGCTGGTATAAGGCTGCCGCGTTTCGGAGCGGTTTTCCATTAACACCTGCCCACCGTGCCGCTGTGCCCTGAGCCCCAGCCAAGTGACCCGACCCCGAGCCGCAGGCGTGCGCCCCATTGGTGCCGGCGCGCCGCCATCGACAGCTCCGAGCCGCCGGTGGCGCCCCCCCCCCCCCCCCGGCGCCCCCACTCACGGGTGCTCCAGGCCGCGGAAGTTGTCCATGGTGCCCTGCACGCGTCCGCGCAGCTCGGCTATCCACTTGAGCGTGCCGGCCACGGCGGGCATGTTCTGCCCCAGCTGGAGGGAGCCGGCCTCGGCCAGCGCCATCTGGCGGTCGTACACCACCTGGCCGCCGCGGCCAGGCGTGCTCAGTGCCGGAGGTCGCTCGCTTTACCCACGTCACTTTTAGCATCTGCCTCTTAAAGGCCGGACGTTCACGTGAGCAAACCAGGCAGACGACAAGAGGGCTGGCGCCCACACGAGTTTGTCTCCCGCGTAAACCAACCTTGGCCTCGTCCAACTCGGCGTGAATCATCTGCAGCAGCTGATTGTACTTGGGCTCGAAGTCCTCTTTGATAACGGACCGCTCCAGAAGAGTGCCGCACATGGTGATCAACTGGAATCGTGGCGTAAACCATAAGCGAATGCTCTTAAAACGTTCGAACCGGCACTCATCAGTCAAAACTTCCACCCGCTTGCGCGAATCAGTGCTGATTCAGACGTCGCCATAACCCCCAGGCAGAACTCAATCAGACAGCTGTCGCACATCGAGCAGACAAAACGACAGTGTCTGTGGTCACCACCGGCCTCCCGCTCCCTGTGGTCACCCGCCCGATCCCCGGCAAGTCACAGCGCTGCCGCCCAAGCCCCCACAGCTGCCCCCGTCGAGCTGGGCGACGGACTCGCGGGCCAGACGGCCGCATGGGTCGGCCAGCGCTGCCGAGCGGGAGAGATGGCGGCGGCGGCGGCGGAGGTGGCTCGCCTTGAAGGCCGACTCGCTGCACACGCAGTCGTCGAACGCCTGGCAGACGCAGGTGGCCAGCCGCCGGTCCAGGTCCAGGATGTGGCCGGTGAACGTCTCGTAGTCGGCGACGAACGACTCGTCGTCCGGGTCCAGGCTGTCGTACGTCTGCCGGCCGGTGCGGCGGCGCCTTGTCACCGCGCGCGCCGGCCGACACCTAATCGGCCGCACGCCCGGACACGGGGCAGGGCGGCCGGGCGGCGCCGTGTCACCGCGCGCCGGCCGACCGCTGACCGGCCGCACGCCCGGACACGGGGCGGGGCGGCCGGTGCAGCGGCGCCGTGTCACCGCGCCCGCCGGCCGACAGCTGACTGGCCGCACGCCCGGACGCGGGGCAGAGCGGCCGGTGCAGCGGGCGCCGTGTCACCGCGCGCGCCGGCTGACAGCAGACCGGCCGCAACGCCCGGACACGGGGCAGAGCGGCCGGTGCAGCGGCGCCGTGTCACCGCGCGCGCCGGCCGACAGCTGACTGGCCGCACGCCCGGACACGGGGCAGAGCGGCCGGGCGGCGCCGTGTCACCGCGCGCCGGCCGACAGCAGACCGGCCGCACGCCCGGACACGGGGCAGAGCGGCCGGGCGGCGCCGAAGTCAGCCCACAGCCAGCGTCGCTCACGACGGCCGCGATAACCGTGACGTTGCGATCAAGGCTACAGAATATTGCGTGCTACACCCCAACACGCAAAAGTGCAGACTCAGCGCAATAAAAAGGTTCTGTTTAAGCGGTTCCATTCGGACAAACCAGACCCTGAATGGGCCGTACCGACGCATGAATACGGCTCATGGAACCGAGTGATTTCAGACAGCTCTGTGGCCTTACCTGTCCCGCAAAGTGGGCGTAATACTCGTTGAACTGGTTGAACACGACCAGGACCTCGGAACTGAGCGCCTTGCCCCGGATGCCGCCGATCTCAACCTTCTCCAGCTTCAGAAACTCCAGCGACGACTCGAAAAACTCCTGCAGCCAACCGGCATGGGCGAAGGAGTCAAGAAGCGCAGTGTTACCAAACCCAGCCGACTTGACGAGAGGCAGCTTGCGCCTGACGAGAGACAGCGTCAGTCTACCCGACGATCATCCCAGAGCGCCCGCCGAGCACTCAGTGACGTAATCACGGAAACAGCGGAGCTGATCGGGGGGCGCACTCGGCTTTAGCAGCTCTCGTTCGCACCTTGATGGTCTCCAGACGCTTGAAGAACCGATTAAACCTGGAGAACACCAGCTCCGGCTGGAACTCCCACAGCTTGACCAGCTCTGCCGACGGGAAGAACTTGGGCAGCTTCTCCTTGTACTCTTCATAGACGTGTCTGTGGGAACGGCACAAAGAACCTTATCGCCTTCGTTTCACTGTGGTGACCAGCAGGAGCGTCGTTTTCTTTCGCTCTTGCCGTCTCGTGTCTTGCCGTCTCGTGCCGTGTCTCGTCTCGTGTCTCTCGTCTCGTGTCTCGTGTCTGAGAGGTCCGACGATCCCGTTGACCCCGGGGTACGCGGTGGCACGATGCTGGTCTCCCTGAGGCTTCACACAAAATTTACCGGAAAGGTACGAAATGTCCAGCTTACCTGAACAGCTTCAACATTCGCAGTGTGGTGTACACATTCTGCACGGCCTCCTCCGCCTCGGCTTGGAATATGGAGCCCGGGTCCAGAAACGTGCGGGACTGAAACACCAACCGAATAGCGAGATTAGACATCCTGCGATGAGCACAGACGTCGGAAAGTACATGCGTCCTTCCTGCGCTCTGCCCCCCCCCCCCCTCCCCATTGGTGGTGCCCGATGGAGATCTAGACTTCATACAGCTGAGCTAAGAAGAAAAGCCCACGCGAATGAGGGGAACTGTGTTCTGGAGCTGTGTGTTAGCAAAAGCTTTTCATATTGATGCTAAACGCTGCGTGCATTTGAATTGTCACGCACGCTGGAGCGACACTGGCTCCGAGAACCCATACACTCTTTCATTCTGCCCACTGTGCAGGCCAGACTCCATTCCAGCTGAAGCCCGCGAGGCAGTGAGCACCGCCGGGGCGCGATACCAGGGCGGTGCGCGGCTGACCGTGTGTATGATCATGTTGCAGATCTCCTGGAGCAGCACGATGATGCGGCCGGGCGTGCTGTAGTAGCGCGAGTTGGCCCAGACGAGGCAGACGGTGTGGATGAGCGGCCGCAGCAGCACGTCCACGTCCGTCAGGTCGGCGGACTCCACCGCCTCGATCTGCGTCACCAGCGGCCGCAGGTGCAGGCAGATGTCCTGTGCCTCGTTCAGCGCTGTCGGAACAAGGCCGGCTCAGGTCACCACCAGACACACTGTCGGAACAAGGCCGGCTCAGGTCACCACCAGACACGCTGTCGGAACAAGGCCAGCTCAGGTCACCAACAGACACGCTGTCGGAACAAGGCCGGCTCAGGTCACCACCAGACACGCTGTCGGAACAAGGCCGGCTCAGGTCACCACCAGACACGCTGTCGGAACAAGGCCGGCTCAGGTCACCACCAGACACGCTGTCGGAACAAGGCCGGCTCAGGTCACCACCAGACACGCTGTCGGAACAAGGCCGGCTCATGTCACCACCACACACGCTGTCGGAACAAGGCCAGCTCAGGTCACCACCAGACACGCTGTCGGAACAAGGCCGGCTCAGGTCACCACCAGACACGCTGTCGGAACAAGGCCAGCTCAGGTCACCACCAGACACGCTGTCGGAACAAGGCCGGCTCAGGTCACCACCAGACACGCTGTCGGGACAAGGCCGGCTCAGGTCACCACCAGACACGCTGTCGGAACAAGGCCGGCTCAGGTCACCACCAGACACGCTGTCGGAACAAGGCCGGCTCAGGTCACCACCAGACACGCTGTCGGAACCAGGGCCGGCTCAGGTCACCACCAGACACGCTGTCGGAACAAGGCCGGCTCAGGTCACCACCAGACACGCTGTCGGAACAGGGCCGGCTCAGGTCACCACCAGACACGCTGTCGGAACAGGGCCGGCTCAGGTCACCAACAGACACGCTGTCGGAACAAGGCCAGCTCAGGTCACCACCAGACACGCTGTCGGAACAAGGCCGGCTCAGGTCACCACCAGACACACTGTCGGAACAAGGCCGGCTCAGGTCACCACCGACACGCTGTCGGAACAAGGCCGGCTCAGGTCACCACCAGACAGCACGTCGGAACAAGGCCGGCTCAGGTCACCACCAGACACGCTGTCGGAACAAGGCCGGCTCAGGTCACCACCAGACACGCTGTCGGAACAAGGCCGGCTCAGGTCACCACCAGACACGCTGTCGGAACAAGGCCGGCTCAGGTCACCACCAGACACGCTGTCGGACAAGGCCGGCTCAGGTCACCACCAGACCCTGTCGGAACAAGGCCGGCTCAGGTCACCACAGACACGCTGTCGGAACAAGGCCGCGCAGGTCACCACCAGATACGCTGTCGGAACAAGGCCGGCTCAGGTCACCACCAGACACGCTGTCGGAACAGGCCGGCTCAGGTCACCAACAGCACGCTGTCGGAACAAGGCCGCTCAGTCACCACCAGACACGCTGTCGGAACAAGGCCGGCTCAGGTCACCACCAGACACGCTGTCGGAACAAGGCCGGCTCAGGTCACCACCAGACACGCTGTCGGAACAAGGCCGGCTCAGGTCACCACCAGACACGCTGTCGGAACAAGGCCGGCTCAGGTCACCACCAGACACGCTGTCGGAACAAGGCCGGCTCAGGTCACCACCAGACACGCTGTCGGAACAAGGCCGGCTCAGGTCACCACCAGACACGCTGTCGGAACAAGGCCGGCTCAGGTCACCAACAGACACGCTGTCGGAACAAGGCCAGCTCAGGTCACCAACAGACACGCTGTCGGAACAAGGCCGTCTCAGGTCACCACCAGATACGCTGTCGGAACAAGGCCGGCTCAGGTCACCACCAGATACGCTGTCGGAACAAGGCCGGCTCAGGTCACCACCAGACACGCTGTCGGAACAAGGCCGGCTCATGTCACCACCAGACACGCTGTCGGAACAAGGCCGGCTCAGGTCACCACCAGACACGCTGTCGGAACAGGGCCGGCTCAGGTCACCAACAGACACGCTGTCGGAACAAGGCCAGCTCAGGTCACCACCAGACACGCTGTCGGAACAAGGCCAGCTCAGGTCACCACCAGATACGCTGTCGGAACAAGGCCGGCTCAGGTCACCACCAGACACGCTGTCGGAACAGGGCCGGCTCAGGTCACCACCAGACACGCTGTCGGAACAAGGCCAGCTCAGGTCACCACCAGACACGCTGTCGGAACAAGGCCAGCTCAGGTCACCAACAGACACGCTGTCGGAACAAGGCCAGCTCAGGTCACCAACAGACACGCTGTCGGAACAAGGCCAGCTCAGGTCACCACCAGATACGCTGTCGGAACAAGGCCAGCTCAGGTCACCACCAGACACGCTGTCGGAACAAGGCCAGCTCAGGTCACCACCAGACACGCTGTCGGAACAAGGCCAGCTCAGGTCACCAACAGACACGCTGTCGGAACAAGGCCGGCTCAGGTCACCACCAGACACGCTGTCGGAACAAAACCAGCATCCCAACAGGGTTTCTAGCAGCTGCTACTTTGGCGATAAGGGGGCCGGAGTGCTCTGGTCGATCCAGAAGCCCTCACAGGGCTAGAGCATGCGCCAGTCCCGTCCTGATGCTACAGGCCTTCTGACGTGGGTATTAGGTACAGGATCATCGCGGGGCACGTACTGACACAAAATGATCCATTACTAACGCAGGGTGTCCAATAAGTGACGTCAAGACACCAACTCGGCCTACCGACCCTCAATTGGAATGGTGCATAGGATCCCTCGTTCGGTTCTCAGGCCTCGGACTGATACAGGCTCTTTTCACTGTGTTGATGAGTGTGAGCCCTTGCATAACCATTTTTCATGTTTCCTCTCATTGTCAAACGGGTCTTGAGCAAGGCAAGAGGCCTTTTGACATTGGGGTCCCGCTTCTGTCCCTGTTGAGCAAATGTGCCCCTGGCCGACTTGGGGCCCACTGCCGACATAGGGTCCCCCTTGTTAGGTACTTTACTCCTCTGACCAGCACAGGAGCCCTTCACTGTTTCAAGGGTCTGACAGGGTTCCCACCTTGGGGGGGGGGGGTACCAAGGTACCAAAGGGTACCTTGCAAAAGGTTTCAGATTGGCATTTGCAGGCCCCGGCCCTGCCCCTATTTGTTAAGGGACCCCAGGGTCCAGACTGGCGCGGAACCGACTGTTCAGTTTTGGTGGTCGCAGTTAGCCGACTCACAAAGACGCCCCACTGTTCCAGGGGACCCCGGTCTGTGCAAGAGGTCCTCTGACTGGCTATTGAGGGCCTCGCCTTTTGACTAAGTTCCGTTAATGTATACCGGCCCTTCCTTTTGAACCTCCAATTGAACCTTTGGTCATCAATTCTGAGGCCAAAACGGTCCTCGGGACCCTCGGGACCTAATGTTGGTCACGTGCATCTGTTCAAGCGATGAACAGACCCATGGCTCCTCGCGAAAAAAATTAGGCCATTTTTTGGTGCTCCCTGGAATTTGACGTCACTTAAGCTTGAAGCTGTAGAACGCTTTGCGGGGACTCCCTGACAATGGGCATCTTTGAAAATGCAGGTCATGATACCCCGACATGAAAACTTTGGATCTCTATTTGCCAAGGAGGCTGACCAAGGATTGTGTAACGGTAGAAGGCACAGAAGTTGCGTTGTCCGGATTTGGGTCCCCCTTGAAAGTGAAAACATTGGGATCCTTCAAATGACCCGTTTGTATTTACTGTCTCTTCAAAATAAACGCTATGGTGCCCCAAAATGGAAGTTTTGGCAACCCATCGCCGAATGGGCCGGTCCTGGATTCTGTCAATGGGGAGGTGCGATCATTGCGATGCCCCCTGGAATTTGCTGTCTGTTGAAAATGAACGTTTTTGGGCCCCCTTGTGGCGCCCACTCGAATTAGGTGCCTCTTGAACAAAGATTTGAATGTTCCACAGTACAGGTTTTTGTCGTCTCTTCGCCGAAGGGTCGGACTAGAATTTGGTCATGGTGGAAAGTACCGGATCGTGTGTCCCTTAAAATGAACGTTTTGGGCCCTCTGAATCGTCCGCTTGAACTTGGTGCATCTGGAAAATAAATGTCATGATGCCCGAAATGAATGTTTTGGGATTCCTTCGCCGAATGGACCAAATTGGGATTTCGTTAATAGATGGGTACGGATATTTCGGTTTCCCTATGATGTGTTGTCTCTAAAAAAATATAGGGTTTTGGACCATTTGTGATGCCGCCGGCATTGGATGCCTCTGGAAAATAAAGGTTTTGAATTCCTGAAATGAACGTTTTTGATGCTACTTCGCCAACCAGCGAAGATCGGGCAGATCAGGTATTTGGTCAGGGTGAAAGGCACAGATCAAGTGGAGCAAAAAATCATGGTATGGCGAAATTAAGGTTTTGATGAACCCTCGCCCAAGTGAGCGATCCAGGATTTTGTTCGGGGTGGGAAGCACACTATTGCTGTACCTCGGGAATACGAATCCCTTGAGAATGAAGGTGCGCAGCCCTCTATGATTCCCTACTGAATTTGGTGCCTTTGGTGAAAAATAAGCGTTTCAAACACATCCCGGTCTTGCAGTTAGTGTGCATATGTATTTTAACGTGCTTTCACAGCAAACCAAACCACCCTGGCCCGCACGGAAGACACTCAGCGTCAAACCATGTAACTGAAAGCGTGATCGGGGTCGTCTTGCGGACGCGTGTTTCCCGTCAGGCCATCCTCCACCAGGTCCCCCACTCGCCGGCTGATGCGTCAGCCGCCGCCGGCTGCCCCCGCCACCCCCGGCGGCCGGACAAGCCGGGTCGTGCAGGGTGTCAGCAATAGCCGCCGCCGCCGGCCGCCCCCGCCACCCCCGGTGGCCGGAACAGGCGGGTCGTGCAGGGTGCCATCAGTAGACGCCGCCGGCCGTCCCCGCCACCCTCGGCGCCTGGACAAGCGGGTTGTCCAGGGTATCAGCAGCAACCGCCACCGCCGGCCGCCCCACCACCCCGGCATCCGCCCGGGTCGTCAGCAGTAGACGCTGTCGGTCGTGTGCAGACGGATCCAGTCGAGCGCCGCTGTGACGCGGCCGTACACGCCCGGGTACTGCTGCGAGCCGCACTCGACGCCGAACGAGATGACGCCGATGACGGCCAGCCTGCCGGCCAGCTCGGTGACCAGCGGGCCGCCCGAGTCGCCGGTGCAGGCGTCCCGCGAGCCGTCGTCCACGCCCGCGCACAGCATCGTCTCGTCGATGGCGGTCAGGTTCGCGTAGCTGGCGGAACACTGCTGCGGCGAGCGTACCGCCACGCTGGCCTTGAGCAGCGTAGCCGGCTGGCTGCCACCCGGGTAGGAGGTGAAGCCCCAGCCGCTGATCAGAGCGTCGGCGCCGCTGAACAGCTGGCCGGCCGGCGGCAGGCAGGCCGGCCGCACGCCCGCGCCGAACGTCGCCGGCGTCGCCAGGCGCAACAGAGCGAAGTCGTCGCCCTGCCACGGCTGCGAGTAGCCGTCGAACACGCGCACGGCCGAGACGCCGAAGCGCAGCTCGCCGTCGGCGGCCGTCGTGTTGTGCTCGCGCAGCAGCACCTGCAGCTGGCCGGGCGTCGTGTCGGCCACGCAGTGGGCGGCCGTCAGCACGTCGCGGTCGGTGATGAGCGTGCCGCCGCACCAGACTGCCGTGCCGCCCACGTCGACCAGGCCCGCCTGCCAGGGCAGCTCATGCTGGGCAGTGGGGGTACCGCCCACCACGCGCGAGCCGGCTACGCCGCAGCAGGTGTTGCTGGTCACCCGCACGGTACAGACGAAGCCGCTGTCCGTCACCGAGTAGTCGGTCTCGAACGCCGCTGTGAGCGTGTTGATGGTGCTGACGGCCGGCGGCAGGTCGTAGCCACAGTACCGCACGCCCTCCACCACCAGCCAGTCGTAGCCGCAGGACGAGTGGTCCTCCACGCTGAACGTGCTGCAGTTGAACGTCATGAAGTCGCCGACGCCGACCGTGGTCAGGTTCCAGTGGCAGATGTGGTTGTTGTCGTACTGGCCGGGATGATTGACCGACTGGATCTGGTAGGTGTCGGGCTGCAGGCTGAACGTGCCGCACGGCACCACGGCCGGCGCCACTTCGATCTGGCAGCGGTAGCCGGCGCGCTGCACGTAACCGTCCGAATGGAAGTGGACGTTGAAGACGACGCTGGAGCTGGGCGGGGGGCCGTTGGGGTCGCAGTACTTGACGCCGTTCACCTGCAGCCAGTCCCAGGCGCAGGAGCTGTGGGCTTCCACTGAGAACTGGGAGCAGCTGAACTGCAGCTGCTGGCCACCCCTGGCGGTCAGGTCGTAGAAGCAGTCCGAGTTGCGGAGGTACGGGCCTGGCGCGCCCGGGTGGGTGATCTCGTACGACCCCGCCTGGAGCACGTGCGATCCGCACGGCAGAGGCGCGCCGCCGGCCTGACGGTCGGTCCCCGACAGCCACGGGTCCATACCTCCCCGCTCCGAAGAGAGCCCCATGAAATATCTGTCCTTAGGTGGCGCCTCCTTCCCGGAGGACTTCCCGGTAAACAGCGTCTTCGAGGAGGCCTCTTTCGCGGGTGGATATTCACCACGCGCATCAGCCGGCTGCCTGTAGAAGCTCTCAGCGCCATCTGCACCCCGCGTACCGCCCGCCAGCCGGCCGCCGGCACCGGTTCCGCCGAGCGCCACCATCCCCAGCAGCAGCAGCAGGGTCCACATGGTCGCCGCGAGCGTGCCTCGGGCGCTGCGCTGACCGGAGTAGCGGCGGTCAGAGCGGGCCGCCATATATACCGGGCTTGCCGGCGCCGGGCGGCGGCGGCACGGCACGTGCAGCTGCGGCCGTCGACGGGCCGTCGGTCATGCGACGGTGCCAGCTGCGAGCTGACGGCAGGCTCCTCATGCCACACCCAGAACGGATCACGCTCATCTTCTCCCCAGATCTGCAGCCCTCCACATCGGGGTGAAATGAATGCCCCGTCCGCATTTCTGCAGGTGTAATGCGCTGCACGGCGCAGATCTAACGGAGTAGTGGGAATTGTTCAGCAAAAGCGATTGACTGCGTGCAACGATTGAACGCGGTTTTCTTGGGTACTTATGAAGCGAAAGAGTACTAGGTGAGGCCTACAGAAGCATACTTGTCTCATGAATAGCGGATTTCAAAAAAAATCAGGCTCGTTTAAAGGGGTATTTTCTAATCAAACCACAACGTCCATGGTAAAAAAGATGAGTTACATGGTACCCACGTATTTTTCAATTAACCTACCCGGCACCGAACCGCTCGCTGCAACAACGGACACCGCTGGACAGTGAATTGCTACCACCCCATTATTCGCAACAAGGATGTCCCATCGCAACAAAGCACTGCGACGCAGCAAACTGTTGAGTAACAGCATGACGACTGGTTCTCCGGAGCCGAACACTTGCCCGCCTCAAACAAATTGGAGGCCTTTGTCACGAGTGACTGCTGGAAGACACGTGCCAGCGGGCGTCGCTGGCGGCCGGGTCGCGGCGCGCCCGCTGTGTCAGGTGACGGGGACGCCTCTGCGTCGTCGCCAGAGCGCCGTGGTCCCCCGCGCTCTCACTGAGCTGGTGCTGACCGTGACAGCGGCGAGCACAGCAGTGCTGCCTCAATCGTATCAGCAATCTGCAGGAATTATTTTTATGCGACGACGCACAGACGCACACACGTCAATTCCTTACACCGGGTAGGGAGCGGTGCTGGCATACTCACTAAATCTGCCGGAGCATCGGACGGAAGGCTGTGACTCAAGCGACGACAGCTGCCTCTCTTACCGATCAACAGTCCAATGAAGCTTTGTTATGATAGCGACTGGCTTTCATGCACTAACTTCACTACGCGTCCGTTTTCCAACGCACTGTAACCGCCTCAAACGACATCGAGCCGGTGCGACAAGTGAGGTGGAGGCTTCTACGTGCCGAACTCTGCCCCGCCCACTCACCTGCCACCACGTTGCGGAACATGGCCTTGAAGGCGGGGAAGTAGGCGGAGCGCGACTGCTCCAGGATGATGGCCATCTTCTTGACGTCCCCGTCCTTCATCTGGTCGTAGATGCACTCCAGATTCTCGGCGCGGCTGTTCCAGAACTGCACCTCTGCAAGGCACACCACCCAGGGCTGCACATCTGACAAACGCACGCGCCGTGAGGCAGCCCTGGGCGAGACAGCGGCTCGGCGTCCCCGTCCGCATCCGCTGAGACCGCAGACCGCGAGGACTGCCCAGGAGGACAGCAGAGCATGATCCGTCATTGGCTTGGCGCTTGCTGACTGTACCGCGCCTGTGCCCGCAAGCTGCATGCAAGTCTCGTCCTAGCGTTGATGGAAGGACTAGTTTCACGTGCAAAATCAGTTCCTTGCAGAGGCGTGTTCTAGTGCTGACAAGGAATTCCTTGCCCGTATAGTGGGGTCAGGGCTTATGCATTGAGTAATGCTTAGCTTGGGTGCTCATCCTAGTGATCTATCTAACTAAAAATATTCGGGCTGAATCTTTGAAAACGTATCATGTGGAGCAGAACGAACCCTACATTTCTCAGTAATAGCACGTAAAAGGTAACTAAGACAAGGCTTCAAGGTAGCACGTTGCATGAAAGAGTAATGAGTGCCTTTGCTCCCCTATCTGCGTGCAACTAATTCCCCACAATGTCTCCGTTTGTGCGGGCGTATTCTCGTGCTGGCTATCCTACCAGATTTACTGGTGGCCCGTGACGTCTCGTGCCACTCTGCCTCCTCCTGATGATTGGACACATGTAGCTGTGTGATAACCGTTTCCCAATCACACACGGGGAGTGGAGCAGCAGCAGTTGCGCAGAAGTGCAGCGCAGAAGTGCAGTGCAGTGCAGAATTGCAATGCAGTGTAGAGGTGCAGACGTTCAGACGTGCAGAAGTGCAGTACAGTACAGAAGCCCAGTGTAGTGCAGAAGTGTAGTGCGGAAATGCAGTGTAGAGGTGCAATGCAGTGCAGAAGTGCAGTGTAGTCCGGAAGTGTAGTGCATAAGTGCAGTGCAAAGGTGCAGTGCGGAAGTGCAGTGTAGTGCAGAAATGCAGTGTAGTGCAGAATTGCAATGCAGTAAGTGCAGTAAAGTACAGAAGTGCAGTGTAGTGCAGAAGCGTAGTGCATAAGTGTAGTGCAGAGGTGCAGTGCATGGGTGCAGTGCAGAAGTGCAGTGCAGAGGTGCAGTGTAGTGCAGAAATGCAGTGCAGTGCAGAAGTGCGGCACAACAGCAGTTGAGCACACGCTGGCGGTACTACTCACCGACCATGGGCCCGGGACTCTGTCCGCCGACCAGGGCGGCCGACGAGTCCCGTTTCAGCACCTCGTCCACCTGGGCGTTCCACTTGATGGCCATCGACTCGATGGAGCCTTTCAGCACCACGTCCACCAGCTCGCCACTGCCCGGCCCGGCGGCAAGCCGTCACGCGCTGACATTGCAGCAAACAATCAGTCCAAGCAGTACCAGTCTAAAATGTTTGGCTAGTCGCTGCTGAAAAGCAACAAAAATCACACACCGCACTGAGTCAGCTATCTAAAGTGGATTCTGCTTACTTTTCGAGCGCTTTCCTCTCGGCCTCGGCTACGTGGTCCCTATTGATCGGCATCGGCAGCAGCGTCTTCCCCTTGATCTGCGAACAGGGACGTGGTGCGATCACCTCCCGCAGCTGTGCTGCGACGGTCGATGCTGTGAAGCGGCCGGCTAAGAACCCACCACGTCGAGGTACTGTGTCAACCAGCGGCTGGTGTATGGACTGAGTTGCCATGGTCTGCCCCTGCATCAGCTCCGCGGTGCGCTGCCGCAGCCCGAGGGCACGGTCCCGCTCTGGGTCCGCGGGTACAGAGGTGCAGCCGCCGTACAGGAGTGTATCAAATCGTGTGAGATTTGGTAGAAATACTGACAACGAGAGGATGGTGGAAAGAGAGATGGCGGAGAGCGCACTTGAAGGTCGCAGTAAATGCATGCCTCCGCCACGTGCATACATTACATTTGTGTGCTAGAGGCTTGTTTGTCCCAACGTGCGGACGTCACCGCGGCGGGACAACACATTTTCCCACACAGGTTACTAATACACTCGGCCAGTCTGGCGGATAGTTCGTTTTTTGGGAACGGGGCCGCTACCAACACAGAACAAACAGCTGTAATTGAGCAGTATAAAATCGGCATGTCTTACCTTACCAGAAGCGACACCACCACAGCGGCGGCATTCCATGGTCATCCGCTTTTCCTTAACACAATTACTTTAAGTCTCCCCACCGTACTTAGTTTGAAGTGATGCTAAGAACACAGCTTACCTGTCCCACCATTCTGTAGATAGTCCCCTTCAGCTCATGAATATGCTTCTCCACATCTTGAGACACCACCTTTGGCCAGCCCTTCTGGTTCTCGGGATTCGTCAGCAGCGGCACCAGTACCTAACCGCCCAGAATGGAAATAAAATCGCCGTGTACTCACAAAAACACGCACAACCAGCACTTCATGTGCACCTTTCCATGGTCAGAAGAATTTATGTGTGGGACATTACACCTGGAGCAAAATGTTGGTGTTGACCTGTTGTCACAGATCGTCTCCCAACGGCACACACAGCGTATGCATTGCCTCACGTTCTCCACGAGCACGGAGAGCTGCTCCAGGGGACTGTTGGACAGGTCTCCGAACACGAGCGCCTCGTGGACCTCCTTCTTCGGCAGCGGCTTCTTCTCGCGCTTCAGGAAATAGATACTCTTAGCCTTCGGGTTGGCCGGGAATTCCGTGCCCGGAATCAGCGCGCCTGCGAGGAGGCCACCGTTCAAACGTCACCGGGGAGGGGCGACGCATGGAGCGCTTTCAGTGCGCGCTCGCTTCTCCGCAGTGTGACGTCAGACGGGTTACGCAATGTGACGTCAGACAGGGAGACGCTGGCGCTTGGTTTGGGTTTATCGCTCGCACCGCTGTACAATGTGATGGTAGTAGGGACACGAACCGCTTGTTCACAGTGCGTTTATCCACTGTAGGAGGGGAAAACATGGGAAAACAGCACTAACGTACATGCCACGGCGAAGTGAATGATGAACACCCCTCTCTGGCTGCTGGCTATCGCGGCCAGCCACTTGGTGGCAAAATACTTCAACGGGCCCCTTCTATCTCCTGAGCTATAGCACAAGTTATCTTCAATGTACGTTCAGAGGCAACAATTCAAATACGTGCTCACCCCAAACTCAATGCTAATGTACTCACAAAGCACGTAATCACATCTAGTCCCCTCCCAGCCTGGTAACACCACGAACGGCTTCCACGCGGCTGGTCGTGGCCAGCCGCATGCCTCGACTGACCGGCATTATTCTGCGTAATGACCAGCAGCTCGGCGGAGTCCGCCTTGTCGCAGAAGTCCATCACCACGGCGCGCATGTCGGTGGTGCCCATCATCTTCTGCCACTTCTCCAGCTTGATGCGCAGGCTCTTGCTGATGTAGTCGGAGATGAACTCGAGGCGCGGATCGATGTCCTCCGCCGAAGCTGACGCCGAGGCCGGCGGATTGGCCGCCTCTTCTTCCCCCATCTCCAGTCACTGACGCACCGAAGCCCACCCGTCAGCTGAGCCCCAGTTCACAGCTCACAGCACAGCCGCGCTTGGCAGCTACATCTTAAAACACCTGCACTTCATGAGCAAATACAAGCTGGCGCCGTGTGATGCGCAGTGGCTGTCGGCCTGCGTCGTCTGGGATTTCTCCTCCCGCTACGACAGGTCGCAACGTCGTGACACTGACCCACCTGGCGGCTGCGACACGCCGAGTAGTGGCCACCAGCGAGCACAGCACGCGCGGAGCGTTCACCAGCCACCGGGACCGACAGCAGGGTCACATCAGGCCGGGTTAGGCCCGGTCACCTTCTCCCACACGGCGGAGCAGAGCTATCGATCAAGCGGGCCGTCCGGCCGCACCGGGCGAGGCGCTCCGCTAAGCTCCAACCGCAAGCTGCTGCTGCCGTCCAGACACGGCACAGAGCGGTCTCGTTCACAATGTTTCTCGTTTGAAACGGCCCTGGTAAATTACGTAAAGATTTCGAGTTTTAAGTAGTCACTTGGACCCGGTTTATGAATAGAATTGCAACCAGGACACAGTTAGAGTCATGGTACGGGGCAGGGGCACAGGGTTCAGCCTTTGGTCAAAACAGATTGGTGAAAAAGAAATCATGTAACATAGCTTTAGACATGCACGCTCGCAAGTCTTCGAAACAAAAACATCTACACCCGACACCCGGTGTTTCAGTCTCCATAGGGCCCCGCGGACTTGCAAGTTCAGAAGGCAGGCCGAGTGGATATTTCAGCTGTGCGGTTTTTAGATTGAAATAAGAACGGATTAACATTCACAGCGAAATGGTGCTGGAATCTAGTGGAACTGGAAGAGTAAAGGTAGAATCTATTTTTTCGTGTCACATGACTGTTATTCTGTTAAGAGGGTGTCCCCAAAATTATTCTTGAATTATTTTGAATTGATTCTCATCAGCCTTCAAGCACTTCCAGACTATTTCATGCAGTACCCGCATGTACATTACACGTATATTCGTAAGGTTCATACATCCCTTCTCGAAGCTTGAGTAACACCACCACCATCTGCCGTGTTCGGCAGGTGACCCGAACTTCGGGTCAAGAGACAGGGGTTTGAGTCCAGTCCAATTACACAACATCCTGTCGACACCATCATGACAAAAACAGCGTAATAAATCGACACGATCGTTAAATCGAACGAAGCTGGGGAAGGAAGTTGGCCTGTCAACTAACCGGAAATTTGGTTGCTACAGCGACCGGCTTATGGTGGGTTATCGTTGCATCTAATGAATTGGCCGCCATCTTTTGCAGCGTTATGTTTCCAATGTGCTTGCATGCGTTTGATTTCACGACGGTTCACTTAAACGTTGCAACATTAACGAAATTTTGCTTCCCCTTCCGATTAACGTGTGAATCCCAAAACGCAGAAAACTTGCGAGCAGGCCAAAATATGTCCGAGCTAGGTACTGATCTCAGCAACCAATGTCCACATTGATCCGATACCAACACCGTTTGCCGTTTGACAAAGGTGGGTTCACAAACCGCGTTCCCAGGTGTCGGCTGTTGTGTTCAGCCTTTCACCCAACATCGAGCACGAACCATGGCTCCGACGAGCTTCGGCCATTTCTAAGGATAGATAGAATTGTCCAAAATTTCTCTGACATTGTCTAAAATTTATTGAAGCGATCCCATGCGACAGGGTAATTACGCTGATTCCCACCAAACTTGCATCATTCCATGGGCTAAGACCCGTAGCTCATTCTTTCCAGAACGTGGTATTTGAGGCGATTTGTAAAAAAATGCCAGAAACACCTGAACTGCCGAAAGTGGCTGCCGAAAGTGCCGAACTGCCGAAAGTGGAAACCGATCCGATGCCCCGAGCTAAAGCGACAGATCGCCACCAAACCTTCACCAATCGGTATGTCAAGGTCGATTACTCGGGCTGTCCGATATATGGTGACATTGGCGCAAGAAGTGACCAAACGCACCCGAAATCACCTAGATCAGTTTGCAGATAATGGCAAGCTTCTAGCCTATTGGACCGATCATCACCAAGCCTTGGTCACTTGATGTGCCGTGGTCAATAACCTATTTGAGACACCTTTACCTGTTGTTAGGTTCCAAAGTATTGTCTGGTGTCAGGTGACTTCTAGGCTGAGACCGGCTGAGACCGGGGAACAATCTGCAAAACCCATGTTGAATACGCAGCCGTTTAAGGGCGTAGTCCCATCAAATAAGTTCGCGGGGGGGGGGGCTGAGCAGGGTGAAATGACCCAACCTTTCCCCAAAATATGACAACTAACAGCATTTTCCCCTGATTTGACCCACTTCTTCACCAAGTTGGAGGGCTGGAGCCCGGGTTACGGCTGAATACCTCCCCCCTCCCCCAAATGAATAGGAAACTACTCCCTGCAGCCGCCGAAGTGAACGGAGCCATGTTACGTTGCGAGATGTCAGCTGTTTGATAAACCCGCCTTCTCTCACCTTGCAGGTCGTCGGAGCTTCGAATGCAAGTCAGCTTCTTACTGCAACCCACTTGTCATGGCACGTCTCCAGAAAACGCGTCTTCACACACATTTCTCAGAAAATGCACACATCTTACCAACAAGTTAAGGCCATTGGCCACATTACCAAATCCCCACAGCCCACAAACATTTATTCCCACCGGCCCCTTCTTCGCAATTAAAACTCGAGGCCGTATGACCCGGATTGGTTGCTATGGATATTCCGTGTTGCTATGGTTACAGAAGCTGCCAAATATAGAGAAATAGCCCACGCCAGATATTTTTTGGAATAACACCTTCAGAAATAGGAAACGAACTCACCAAATGTCGCTACGTCACGGTGTGGTATTGAGCTGTTCACTGGGGGCGAACCACGGTGCCGATTTATATTATTTTGTGAGGGCATTCAGACCCCCTTCCATATTCGTTTAGATCTCCCAATATTTTTGGCTGGAATCTTACAAAAGCGCAGCAAAAGCAAACAATTACACAAAGGCCATCCTTGATCCTTCCTCATAGTGACGCCACGATGAAGGGCGCATCGAGGTAACTTGAGTCTGCAACCTCAAAATCATCTCTTCAAATGGGGGATTACTTTAAACATTGGGGATGGCCCATTTTACATCCGACGTTCTTTTGTTTTGTCTGTGAAATGTAAGCCCAGACGCCTTTTCTTTGTGCAACCTACATGTGATGCTGACGCCACTGATTAACCCGTCTCGTGGACACTGTTTTGCATCGCGACATTTGGTCCCTTATCCATGATGGGATACGAACATAGCTTTTTTACCTGAGGTTGAGACCCGAATTGCCTTGTTGCATGGTCTCAAGAGAAAACAAAAGGCAGATAATGTTGGGATTTCATGGTACGTAATATTACGTATTTTAGTCTGATTTTGTGGGCTGATCAGTTATTACTTTGTTATGTTGATAAAGACCTAGACCTCACGTAATTTAATTGGCTCACATAATATAACATGCATCCATTCAACGGAAAGTCGCGCGAACTTCAGGCGTTCATTGCAATTTCAATCATTTCATTGCTGTTCATTGCAATTGTTGATGCCATGACATTGTTGAATTGAAAAATGTGGTACAGCGCCACCTTCCGGCCAATACTTTCGCACGCCGCTTGCGAGTCACGCAAAAATCTGGTAGTGATATGTCCGCCGTATAGAGCAGTGCACCTACCAACGCTAAAACACGCCTCCCCTCGCAATGAAAAGTCGATATTCCGCTCACCACCAGAAAAAGTCCTATCTGCTGAGCGGATGAACCGATGCAACAAACTTTACGCACCGTGAACCGTAAGAGGTGCAGAGGCTTGATAAGATAATCAAAAAAGCACTCGGAGTACGGGAACGTTATAACACGTTCATGACTTACCCTGTCTCCGTACCTCATAGCCAAAAATACGCGCCACTGCCCATGGCCATGGCCAAGTGTGTTTTTGGCACTCCAAGACGGCCTCTCCTGGGGCGCCTTCCCCAACCAATTAGAAGGGGCACGTGCTTCCAGCGCCCCCTCCCCCTCCCCCTCTACATCCGCCCTCCATGACAGCTTTACTGCTTAACATGTGCCCAAGTGGCCTGTTGAATACCCTTCGCTAGGATGGGGGGGTCGATTTAACCCCCTGAGATCTCAAAAACTAAGAAAGCTAGAAACACTGAATTACAGGGTGGGTTGGCCTGCATGTGAACTTACTTTGCATAAAACTCGAGGTTCGTTGGTCGTGACCTTCGGGACAAATAAGGTCAAGCAATGTCAAACCCCGGATGGGTGTCCAAAATGCCCTCAGACCTCGTGCAACCACCGTGAACCTGGATACCTATTATAGGCAAAAATTCAATGTTTTCACTCCAGGTCGGTGGCTCTTTTTGAACTTGAGTAGATAAAGGTGACCAAAGCCTACAAGAGTGCTCCTTTTTTGCCATTCGAATAAGCGTGAAGAATTACGTTAGGCGGTACGCTCCCAAAAACAAAATGTTGGCATGGGTCATTTATGTCATTGACATACTCTAAACTTTACAAAAACCATAGGGCGTGTCTGTCGCGGTCCCTTTGAAATTCGAAATCAGCACCAAAAGCTACCCCATAAAGGTAGTTCTCGGGTAAAAGAACATAAGTTTTCACCTTAATGTGACCTTCATACCTGATACTAGGTCAATATGTATTTGTTCGTGTGAAAGAGTTCGTTAGTTTTCTGGAGGACCATCGACTTGATTCGAAAAAAGACGTTGAAAAGGAAGAGTCTCTATTAGCCAAAGAGTTGCAAGACGAAGGTAAGAGAGGCGTTGGAAGAGAGACGTCGCACACTCCGAACTCGTCGTCGTCGTCGTCGTAAACACTGACGCGGCTCGCGTCGAGCCGCGCCGTCGGAGCCTGAACGTGGACTGATGGGCAGAGACCGTGCGTTCCTGCCCGCGTGTTCCATAAACCCACGTGGCCCACATATAGGCTCCAGATGATGGGGACCAATCGGCGGAGGGGTCGCTCACACCATCGCGGAGACGCCGCCATCGCGCCGGCAGCGACGGCCCGTTTGCTCGCTAACAGTATTGCTTTTTTATAAGTTGAATGGGCTTATTGCCCACAAAACTATCGTGGAGATGCACAAAGATGTGCGTCTTCGTTTACCACTCCGTTGTAGCATCAGATTGAGAGATTGCTCAGAAATGGCCTTCGCTGGGATCCATGGCCTGGCTTTGACCTGTCATAGGTCAGCTACCTTTCAAGGAACGTATATTTTTAAACCAAAAGATCCGCCGTACAAATCCCCACGACAATCCAGAGTTAAGCGCGGCTACGCCGCGTCGTTCGGAAATAAACTCGGAAGAGCATTTGGTATGGTAAAATCAGCGCTACCCGCCCCCGAGCTTATATTAAGTTAAATATTGTTTTCAGTTATTCGAAAACATAGAATATACATTTTCGTTCGGTAGAATAAAGTGTGCCAAGCCCGTTGAGCAAAAAAAAAAAAAAAAAACAGAGGGGGCAGATCGTCGCGTCCTCGACTCGGTCCCCTCATCATTTACAAAAGTTGACACCCCAGTGTCAAACACACCGAAAGTTGATTGCAATTACAAATCGATTATTACATCGCATTTGTATTGCTATCAGCCGTTCGCTCTTGTACCGTCACTTGAAGACATGTTTTTTGCTTCAGCATGAGATTCCAAAGGTAACAATGTTCTAATTGGCTGTGGCTGGCGGTAGCTGGACGCCAACGCTCTGCAGTCAACGTATCAAAAGAGGTAACTGCGACGAACTGGTCAAATATCGTCGAGTTTATTCGGTGAGCCATGGGAAAAGGTTAAGGCTAAGAATAATTATCATTTAGTGTTCGGACATTAGCGATGATCTAACTAAGTTTGTTATCATCTATCCATATTTGTCGCGTCTCTTGTGCGATCATGTTCGTCAACGGCTTCGCATTGTGTGTAAAACTTCCTTTTGAACATCAGGAGAATCGTTTATTGTCGGATGTTTAGAGGACCTATGATAGCGTGCGCACGACAAATATTTTGTCTTTGCGAACGAAACACCTTTACGACATGAAACCAACAGGATGGTAAAATGCGTCTTATCATCTCGCTGGATTTCGCAAACTGGTTGATATGTCTACGGTTTGTTCGTGTGAGGGCGCGTCCGCATCGGCACACAATTTTTCCAAGTGACGACACGGTAGTCCAGTGGTGGTGCTTTCGGGTATTTTGGTGACCTTTGACTTGCTCCAAGTTCACCAGTCTCTGGAAATTAATGAATATCGACTGTGGCACATCGATTTAAAGGCTTTCGGGTGATTTAACCTGAAGGCTCGGAGCCGGAGCATGGGGTTGCCTGCAATCTGACTTTTGAGGTTTGGGATTTTTTAGTGACCCTTGACATGACCAAAGGCAATGGTGATTTTTTACCAAGCGGCATCGAGTAGTGAGGGTTTCATGTTGATTGGTCCTAAATGCTCGGAGCATGAGTTGCGCACAGTTTTTGTTGACCGTTCAGTCCGTTCCCTAGATGTGACAGTAATTGCGCAGCTGCTGCATTAGCTGCCTGTCGTCGGACATCGGTGATTTATTGCACTATTCCTCTTGGCCTGCTGACGGTGGGGCGCGTTGTTGATTTTTTCTGCAGCTTGTGGTATTTGTGTAGCCGCTGGATTTGCTTGCACGCCCGCAGGTTGGTGCCCATTACAAGCAACCATAATTTCAGGTGCGCAGGCCTGAGGAAGGCTAGTTCTCACTGTTATAGCAGCTTAAGTAATGACATTATGGTGAGCATGGAGATAATGGTCTTTAAAATTAGATTTGACACCAGGTTGAACATTTTTAATCTATCAAAAAGCACTGCTATGAAACATGTTATAACTTCTGTTGCATTTTCCATGTCCACCATAAAATTGATATTGAAGCTACTTGGAGAAGTGGAGACCTTGCCTCCCTCAGACCTGTGTTCCTAGGGCTATGGACTGACTGAATCATAATTGCATGATGCACCTCACATATTGTTTGTACCATGCATGGCAAAGTGGGGCCACTTTTCAACTTTCAAGGATGTTTGGCCATGCAAATGTAAGAAGTGAAGCTAACTAAAATTGCCAAAGTATTGGTCACATGATTTGATTGCTAAATCAACTGCATAGGTGCTACTAGGTGTTACTGCATTACTACACTGAGTTTTATTCATGCAGTGATGAGTACACCAGCAAATATCATGGTTGCTTGAGCTGCACTCCATAATTGTTTTACTTCTTCCATTATTTAAGGTGACTGCCCATGATTTCCTTTTCCATTGCTGAGTGTTATAATCCAGTTTTTATACAGATACACAACACTTGACAAAGTTGTTTGATGGGCATGCTGGTTGTTTAATTTACTTTGCATGTTTTGAGATGAGTGTTGGTGGTGTGCATTTTCATTTTGGTGTCTATTTACATTTTAGAGGTATGCTGGGAGGTCGCAACACACATGTTAACATTGAGTGTTTATATTGTGGTGCCTGAGTTTTATGATATATAGGGTAGATGTTGCTGAGGATTCATGCATGGAAAGTCCTGATAAAGATGAGAAAATCTGCATGCCATCTGGTGTCAGACACTCACAGTGCCTATCTTGACAACCATGTTCATGTGCATGCATGTTGACCAACATGTGATCACGAGTAGAGACCCTGACACCTCAGAAGATAAGCTACTGTATAGAGGTTTTTCTGATGCAAAAGGACTTCTCTCTCTGCTGATGGTTAACATCAGACTGCTGCAGCTTCAGGGGTGTTGCAAGTTTAACCAAAATATTGATTTTGAATGTATGTGTAGTGTAACATCATATGGTACTTCTAATTCCATGTTTTGCTTTTGTGAAATGCCTGAAATCACCTGTTCTTTTTAAGTTAAATGTAAGGCATATGCAGATAGAACATGACTGACATTTACTTTAGTAGGTACAACTTACCCTTTACATTGCATCCAAAAACCTATTTGATTTTGTTGTAATTCAAAGGAAGATAATCAGGTTAAAAGCTGAAATTATGGAATGCTTTTGCTGCTCTGAGCATTTAAAGTCATAGATTTCATGAAGAAATTCAAATAGATCTGTTAAGTTGAATAGGTATTGCTTTAGTGGAAACTAGATAATATATTTTTTAGTCCCAATTCTTTGTCAACTTGATAGAGCTCACCAAACATAATATTGTTATATCATGCATGTAATATGTGTGCCATTATATCTTGACCACTGATGCTTGATGAACATAAAAAGCAACTGCCTGGATGTGAGCTTTAATACTGTCACATACCCCCTTCCTCACACACAGTTTCATTACAATTTGTGAACTGAATGGGCTAGTTGCCACTGAGTATGTCAGTTGGTGTTGGAATGCTCTTAATGTGATTGTATTGATGTCTTGAAACTGGGCCGTCTGTAAAGAACTGATGCAGGTCTTTTTTTACTTTGAAATTCGTTGATAAAATAAAACCTGGCTGGTCTGGCCCCTGCTTCACAGCCCCCTCAGTTCTAGCACTGCCTTCATACATCTCGTGAACTCATGGCCATAAACAGAGCGGGCCTGCCTTCTGTCACGTCATGGTGCTGACGCGGCCGGCAGCCGTGAACAGTGACCTTCTGCTGGGTCATGCGTCAGTCGGCTGATCGTCCATGACGTCACTGGTCGGCGGACCTCACTGGCACGCAGTCCGGCGGCCGGCGTTCACGAACTTTGTTCGCGGTCCGTGTTCTGGCCGGTGGGATGACGCGGCCTCGGTGCGGCGGTGTCCGGCGCCTGCCTTCGTGACTGTTTACCTTGTCGCCACATGTGGGGCAGAACGGCCGCGGCGGTGGGCCCCGTTGCTGCGGTGCGTTAGCGTGCCGTTCCGAACGCTGAGCAAACAGCGGACGTTGTCATTCTTCGGTTTGTTGGTCTCGCCTCGTGTAGCTTTAAGCGGGCGTTGGCTCCGCTTATAGCACCTGATAGCAAGCCAGTGGTCGAAGGACGTCGGATAGCCTTAAGCCTTTGGGGTCGGTCGATTGGTTCTCTGCAACTTGTCTCATGCCGATTGTAACACTTGATCTATAGTTTTTTCGCGATTTTGCGTGTGTGCAAAATTTATCACCATTTAAGCGTGGGAAAACTCCGGTACCGAACCCATCGACATTCCCCACGCAGCTTAATAAGCAGGTGTCTTGTTCACCGCGCAGTCGCGAGACCATACGTCTGGCGGCGACAAGCTTTAACTGGCAGCTCTACAGGCCTACCGCGCGGTGACCCGAGCGGCTCTTCAGGCGGGCCGCCTGCCGCGCGGTGACCCGAGCAGGTCGGCTGCGGTCAGTGACCTGGCGCACGTCTGGCACAGGCACGATGGCGATCGGCAAGATGGTGGACGTGGGCACAGCCGACGCCGTGTGGTTCAAGTACCTGCTGTCGTGCGCGGCCGCCTCGTGCGCCGAGTTTGGTGAGTCGACCCGACTGCCGGGCGCCCCGGACTCGCCCCCAGCCGATGAGACGCGACCGATGACGCGGGGCGATGGGACCCAAACACCGTGACCCAGCTGAGGAGGGCCCACTGCTCCCAGCCGATGAGACGCAACCGATGACATGGGGCGATGGGACCCGGACGCCGGGACCCAGCTGAGGAGGACCCACTGCCCGGAGCCACGTGTTGGAATGAGTCTCGGGAACCTAATGAATGCGATCAGAATGCTGAGACATGGGTCACAACATAGGGCACATGGCTGTGCTTGGTCGAGCAAAGCCCATACACGCTTTGGCGGTATGCCGTTTTCTAATGCATTTTCAGCGTATTGCACAGACCAGGGATGATCTGTGTGCTGAGCGTCGCGGCTGGTTAGGCGTCTTAGAGAGGAGGCCATGTTACGGATACACCGCAAAGCGCCACCTTCCGACCAGGGAACTTTTGACGAACATGTTGCCCCATTGGGCACCTTTCGACTGGGGAACGGTGTGGGAGGCTGTGCCGACCTTTTAACTCTCCGGTCACCATCCGGCTAGGAGGCCCGTGGCTGAATTATGTTGACCCATCAGTCACTGACTGGGCTGACCATCTGACCCGCGGCTAACAATCTGACCCCCGGCTAACAATCTGACCCTCAGCTGACCATCTGACCCGCGGCTGACATTCCAACTCCCGGCTGACCATTTGACCCGCAGCTGACAATCTGACCCGCTGCTGGCAATCTGACCCCCGGCTGACAATCTGACCCGCAGCTGACAATCTGACCCGCTGCTGACAATATGACCCCCGGCTGACAATCTGACCCGCTGCTGACAATCTGAACCGCAGCTGGCAGTCTGACCCGCGGCTGACCATCTGACCGCTGTCCCGTTTGTCATCGCTGAACCGGCAGACCGATGCTGGCTTTTCTGACCGCTTTGTCACCGGGCGCCCTCAATGGCCCGGGGGTCATTGACGCCAGTTCGCTGCGGCTGTCGTCCCTGCACGGTGTTGTGTGACACGGGATCGGATGCCATCCTCGCGCCCCCGCCCCATCTGGGGGAAGGGGAGGGGGTGCTTGCCGCTGGCGTGGCTGCGCTGGACGGACCGACCCACTTTTGCGCGCGCCAAGTGTACGCTGGATGGGTTTTGCGCTGATGTGGACGCGGGCGTTTTGCGCGCGCCGCGGCTGCGGTGGTTTTGGCTCTGCGCCGACGTGTTGTGAGACGGCTCATTTTCAGCGACGTACCCACTGGACCTGACAAAGACACGCCTCCAGATCCAGGGCGAGGCGGCCGACAGCAAGGTAAGGAGCGGCCGCTGTCCGCTCCTGTGTCTCTTCCGCCGGAGCCATGTGTGGCTGCGGAGTTGGATAGCGTCGGCCGTGATGACGCCGCCGGTTGTTGTCGCTGTACGCGCGAGCTCTTTGCCGAGCGGGGCTTCTCCGTCGCCGTTTCCCACGCCTCGTGTGTTAGGCGACCGGTTCGTAGGGCCGGCTTCTGTGAGGTGCTGCGTAGGCGAGCTGGTCATCCCCACTCTAAGGCGCGCCTCCCCGTACGCCTTCCCTTCGCCTCTCCTCCGCCTCCATTCGCCTCCCTTCGACTCCCTCCGCCTCCCCCGCCTCCCTCCGCCTCCTCTCCGCCTCCCTCCGCCTCCTCTCCGCCTCTCCCGCCTCCCTCCGCCTCCCTTCACCTTCCTTCGACTCCCCTCCGCCTCCCTTCGACTCCCCTCCGCCTCCCTCCGCCTCCCTCCGCCTCCCCTCCGCCTTGCCCGCCTTCCCCCGCCTCCCCTGCCTGGCGGACGGCGGTGTTCCCGTGTCGTCTCTTGCTATCGGCCCCGTAACTGATGCCCGCCCGACGCCCGGCCTATCCAGTGACGCCGGTCCGTCAGCCAGCTGACTGTCCCGGCCTGCTGCAAGCGCCCGCCCCGCCGCCTCGTCCGGGACTCGGTCCGTGTCGGTGACCTGAGCTCGTCTCCCATGCCTGCGCGTCGTCAGCAGCCCGGCCCGCCGCCCGGCTCGCCGCCCGGCCCGTCGCCGGATGAGGTCGCGTCGCCGCCTGCCGCCAGGTGCCGTACCGGGGTCTGGTGCGCACGGCGCTGGGCGTGGTGCGCGAGGAGGGCCCGCTGCGGCTCTGGCAGGGCATCACGCCCGCCATCTGGCGGCACGTCGTCTACACCGGCGTGCGCATGAATGGCTACGAGTGGATGCGTAACCAGCTCCGCGAAGAGGGCCGCTCGCTGCCCGTCTGGTGAGAGCACCGGCGGCCTCTGCCGGGGTCGGACACGCCGCCTGTCGGCTGTCTGGTCTTGTCTGTCTGGGGTAGGTAGGGGGTTTACCCGGGGTGGGCAGAGGGTCTACCTGGTGTGGATAGGGGGTCTGTCTGAGGTGGACAGGTGGTCGGTTTGGGCTGGACAGGTGGCCTGTCTGGGATGAACAGGTGGTCTGTCTGGAGTGGACAGGTAATCTGTCTGATGTGGGCAGGTGATCTGTCTGGGTGGACAGGTGGACTGTCTGGGATAGACAGGTGGTCTGTCTGGAGTGGACAGGTGATCTGTCTGATGTGGGCAGGTGGTCTGTCTGGGTGGACAGGTGGCATGTCTGGTGCGAATGCTGCCTGTCGGATCAGTCTGGCTGTCTGTCTGGCGAGGACAGCCAGGCGCGCTGTCGGTCCGGCGACGACGCTCCCGCCCTACCGAGCGAGGACGCTCGCTGCTTGCCCTGAGTGCCGGGTACTTCTGACACGGCCAGAGACACTCACGATGCACAGACGCTGGTGGTGACACCACTGACATTCTGGCCGTCAGCCACTAAGAGGTGTCTATTCTCGGAGCCGGTCGCTCGCCACGTTCGGGGCGTGCCTCTGGCAAGTGGGGTGTGCTGTGCACCGCTTGGCCGCCCCTGCAATGCGCCGTTATGACGGCGCGGAATGCGGTCTGGGTGTGGGACTGACGCAGGGCCGGCAGACGAAGCGGTCGGCGCCCGGTTAGGAGCCAGCTGCGCTGTTGGAGCTGGGGCTTGGCTGCTTCGGTGGGAATACGGGCCAGTCCACTGGGTAATGCACAGCTTGTAGGAGCGGTCGGTTTGTTTATGGATACTGAAATTGCAACCGGTTTACACGGGTCGCAACGGATTTCGGGAACGAATCCGAATGGTGGTATAAACTCGTGACATATTCGTGACGTATGCGCTTGGCATGCCCATTACGTGAATCAGCGGGCGTTTCACCCTCCATTAACAGTTGTATGTGTGCCATTTTAATTTGTACTTATGTACATGTACGTGCAAGTTGTACAACAACCGAACCGGAGATGTCAGTTGCCCCCATGTGATTTATGTTGCATCAAGGGGCGTGGAGGACGCCAGCTGATGACATATATTTGAAGTCTTGAAATATAACACATATCCCCAATATTCTACAGCGGCGGGCATTGCTGGCAATATTTGTGCTGCCTTTGTGAACAACAGACATCCATCATGGCGTGGCTGCTGGTGTTTGTTGGGTCGCCCACGCGTGTGGTGACACCTGTGCAGGCAGGCGGCACTCGGTGGCCTGGTGATGGGCGGCACCGGTCAGCTGCTGGCCTCGCCGGCTGACCTGGTCAAGGTCCAGATGCAGATGGAAGGTCGGCGCAGACTGCTCGGCAAGAAGCCCAGGTCGGTGAGGCGCTCACGCCCGGGTGAGGGCGGTCCGGAAGTGCGGCGCGCGTCCGTGCGCGCCGACAGCGCGTCATCACCCGCGCCACCGGCTACTACTCGCGGAGGATCATTTTCTGGAATGCATGGGCGGATAATGACCTGTTTATGATCCCCTTTGGCATCACCTGACAAAATTGCCTCGGAGCTTTATAGCGTGGATATTGCGAAGCCACACCGAGCAAGTGATTCACAGCAACCTGTGTGAACGACGGCTGCCCGCTTGCCGTGTGCCGCGCACCTCGTCGGCTGTCCGCGCCCCTCACGCCGCCGGGTGGCGCTCGGCAGGGTGCAGAGCGCGGGCCAGGCGCTGCGCAAAATCGTGCGCGAGGGCGGCGTGCGCAGCCTGTGGAAGGGCTGCGTGCCGAACGTGCAGCGCTCGGCGCTGGTCAACCTCGGCGACCTCACCACCTACGACTCGGTCAAGGGTCGCTTGGTGCAGAACACGACACTCGGCGACAACCACCTCACCCACTTCCTGGCCAGGTGAGGCGGCGGCGAGGCTCGGCTGGTCACCGCGCCGCTGGTCGCTGCGCCACGCCGGCGGGCAGCGTTGGGCGGACGGGCCGGCCGGGCTGGGCTCTGACGCGGCGTGGTGAAGTTCATGCGTCGTGGATGTGCTCGCGAAGCTGAACCGAACATGTGGGACGGATGCTTGGCTGCGCAGAGCCCGCCGCCTGAAGCTGGGCCGCCTTCAGGCTCAGCGTCGGAGCCGCTTACCACATCCTTGCCCGCTGGAATGCTTGTTGTCACCCATCGTCTTCTATGCAATGGAAATCCATTTCTATGCGTGATTTGCATTCCAAATACGGTTGCGCGGATGGAGAATGCGGGCCGTTCTCTCCGTACCGACCCGTGGCCCTCGGCGGCGGCCGCGGGAGTGTGACCCGTGTGCTCTGACCGTGGTGTGGCCCCCGGCAGCGCCTGTTCGGGCCTGGTGTCGGCCACGCTGGGCACGCCGGCCGACGTGGTGAAGACGAGGGTGATGAACCAACCGACGGACAAACACGGCAGGTAACGCTCAGTCGCAAAACTAGCGCTGGCGAAGGCTTAGCGTCGAATTTTCAACCTCGCCCGCACCCTCAGCCTCATTCTCGACCAAGACCATCATCAGCGCTATCAGAATGTTTCAAGTGTGGCAGTACATACGTATGTGTTTATTGTGGCCTCTAATGCGCTTTCATTATGGCTATTAAAAGGCTTCTGAAGCGGCAGTACTCTAAACTGAACGGAAAGTCGCGCGTTAACGCCGCGCAGTCGGTAGGTGGTCACTGCCGATACTGTGACCAGCTGCCTGTGACCCGACCTTGACCTAGCCTTGACCGGTGGCCCGACAGGGGAGTGCTGTACCGCAACTCCATCGACTGCTTCCTCCGGCTGGTGCAGGAGGAGGGTCTGCTGGCCATGTACAAGGGCTTCGTGCCCTGCTGGCTCCGCATGGCGCCGTGGAGCCTCACCTTCTGGTTCACCTACGAGAACCTGCGCAAGTTCTGTGGCACGTCTACCTTCTAGCGAAGTCGGCGCGGCCGGCCGACCGACCGACCTCGCTCGGCCGCAGCGGGGTGTCAAGCCGGCCACGAAGGGGGGGGGGGGGACACCCTGGTGCCGCCGGAGCTGCGGTGCCGTCGGCCGCGCGCCGCCCGTATGATACTCTGTCGTTGGGGCGGACCGGCGTGGGCCGCGGCGGGACGTACATATCCTGTTGTCAGGTGCCGTCGACGCGTGGCACGAGTATGTCAGCGGTGCGGGACCTGGAGCGCTAGCTCGCTCGCTGCGGGCGTCTTGCGGCTGACGCCGAGCGGCGGCGGCGGCGCAGTGTCGCAGCGAGCGCTCCTGATGGGGGCGGGGAGGCGCGGCCCGCCACTGACGGCGAGACAGGCCGGCTCGGCGTCTGACCCGGCCTGACCCGGCGTCTGACCCTGCCTGACCCGACGTCTTATCCTGCCTGACATGGCGGCCCGCCGTGTCCTCCGTGTCAGCAGCTGGTGATCGGTGTGGTGTTCGTGCAGCATTTACGCATACAGTGGGACTGGTTGGCTGTGGCACCGCCGCTCACCCGGTGCCGGACCCTGGAGCTGGAGCATGGATCGGGACGAGCATAATTGCGAACGCACACGTCAGGGAGTTAGGGAGTGGATGGCGGCTCAGGGACGGCATTTTTCAGCGGCTCAGGGATGATGAATGGCAACAACAGCTTGAGACACGATGCTAAGGGGCGTTTTGGTCCTCCCATTCCGATGAATGACAGCGCCGCCATAGTGAGGGGGCCCATCTGTAACGTCGAGAGGTGTGGTTGACGGGACTCAGACGCGTTCTTTGTGATGAAGATTTTTCCGTGGAGATATCTAAGATATCCCGAGGCTCGACGAAGGGAGGCACAGACTCCTCAGACGAAGCCGCATCAATGCCCTCATCCGGTGCCGGCCTGTCGCGCCGTCTGTCTCGGTTATCGTCGCTGTCGCCTGGGAGGGGTGGCGGGGAGGTCGAGCCGGCCAGCTGATCTGACCCGGGTCAGATCAGCCGCGGCGCGCGGGACCGGTGCGCGGTCCGCGCCGGCCGACACTTGACCCGAGCGCGACCCGCCGGCGGGCGCCACTCCGCCGCTGCCGCCCCTCCCAGAGCCTCAGCCCAACAGTATTGTTACGCTCAGTTCTTGGTCAGGGACCTGCGCGTGTTTGTGTTGCCTCTGTGACGCTGACGTTGCAGGGAGGTGGTGGGAGGTCAAAGGGCAAGGGGTCGGCTGAAAGCGTGGGCGCGGGGCTGTTATCGTCGCGCCGGGATCCTAGAGCTGTGTTGGGACCATATCACTGCAGAGCCGGGGAATGCTTCGTCGATAGCCTCCCGCCTGACTACATGTTAATGGTGCAACTCGTATGTGTGCCTTCAAAACTACCCGACGACCCGGACACTGCTGCGATGTGGGAAGGGAAGCCGGCAGGGCTGGTTTGAACGCGACGGCTTCAAGGCTCTTAGACCAATCCCTGCGTGGAATGTAGCGGTGTCGTGTCCGTAGGAGAGCTGTAACGTACTGTGAATATTCTGTGATGGGTTCTGTGTGAGCACGTGATCGTGCGCAGGTGCGTGACGAGCTGGTCGTATGTGCGTAGCGCCATCGCCGGGGGGTTGCGCCGCAGCGCGCCGGCCCTGGGCCTGGGGGAGGAGGACGAGGATAGAGGGCGAGGGGGAGGGGAGAGCCAGAGTCGTCAGCCAGAGTAGAGCCAGAGTAGAGGGCCAGCGGCCGTTAGCAGCCGGGGTCCACTTCGTTGCCGAGAGGGAGCCGCGGTCGCTCTCGTCACGTCTCTGACGCTTCTCGGGGCAGGAAAAGGTCAAATGTACCGGCAGCATCAACCCGTGCTGCGCAGCTGTTAACAGTACTCGCGGCACGTGCGGTCCTAAGCCGGGCGACGGACTCGGTCCGGCTGCATAGTTCTCAGTTCTCGTTCTCGAGTTCTCGGCTGCGGTCTCCTGCGCTAGGGGGGGGGGGGGAGACTGGCCTCTCCGGGTCTTTCCCCACCATCCAGCTGCTGTTGGAACTCCGTTGTATGAAATAGTCGCCCTAACCGAGTCTCACAGGAAAAAGCTCGTCGATACTGCCGCAACTCGTCGGGAAGCGTGTAGAACATCCTTCCGAAGCAGATTCTATTTTTGGAAGACATCTAGCTCTCATCGGAGTAATATTTTGACGTCTATGACATTTTCGGGGCAAATTATGTAGAACTAATTGTTGTTTGTATGTCTGCTTGCAGTCCGAGTAGTGTGCGTCTTGTGGTGAAGATGTAGTGCAGGCACTAGTGTATGGCGGGATACCAGGAGTCTTGTGATCGTGGTAGTGTGATGACCTTCTAGGAGGGTATTACAGCTCAGTCGAATGTGAATGCTTGTGTGGTTCACAGTGCAATAAAGGATGTTTGGAAAAAAGCGTTTTGGTTCGCAGCCGTCAGCATGGGCCTTTTCCAATTTTGCTCTGCTGTTGACAGCAAGACCCGTTTTTCGAAGTCCACAAGTACAACTCCTGCCGCCCAAGACATTCTCACAAACCTGCGTGACATGGCACTTTTCTCGACTGCTGTTGGAGTCTATAATGTGCTTAACTCAATGCCATTCTAAAGTCGCCGTATAATTAAAATGGGAGGAGAGCGCAGAATGGCGTGCCCGCCCCGGCCTCTCAGCGTGCACGCCCGGGGTGGCGCGGTATCCCACCGCACGGCCCCCGCCCTGTGGCACAGTATGCCACCAGACCCCCTCCAGACGGCTCCCGTCCTATGACACGGTATCCTGTCAGACGATGTCCGTCCTATGGCACGGTATCCCGCCAGACCCCTATCAGACGGTGTCCGTCCTATGGCACGGTATCCCGCCAGACCCCCATCAGACGGTGTCCGTCCTATGGCACGGTATCCCGCCAGACCCCTATCAGACGGTGTCCGTCCTATGGCACGGTATCCCGCCAGACCCCCATCAGACGGTGTCCGTCCTATGGCACGGTATCCCGCCAGACCCCTATCAGACGGTGTCCGTCCTATGGCACGGTATCCCGCCAGACCCCCATCAGACGGTGTCCGTCCTATGGCTAGGTGTCCTGCCAGACCCCCTCCAGATGGTGCCCATCCTATGGTACGGTATCCCGCCGAATCCCCACCAGACGGCGCCCGTCCTATGGCACGGTATCCCGCCAGACCCCCCTCCGGACGGTGTCCGTCCTATAGCACGGTATCCTGCCAGACGGCGCCCGTCCTATGGCACGGTATCCCGTCAGACTCCCTCCAGACGGTGTCCGTCCAATGGCACGGTATCCCACCAGACGGCACCCGCCCTATGGCACGGTGTCCCGCCAGACCCCCATCAGACGGTGTCCGTCCTTTGGCACGGTATCCTGCCAGACGGCGCCCGTCCTATGGCACGGTATCCCGCCAGACCCCATCAGACGGCGCCCGGCCGTCGCCATGGTGACGCCTCTGACCCAGGGGCTCGGTGGAGCCGCGACCGACGGGCAGCGGCGGTCGTTGTTTAGTCGATGGAGGCCCGGACGGCCGTGCCGGCCGTCCCCGCTAGACCGCTTCTGTCCGCCGGGGGTCGTGTCGTGTCGGTACCGAGGGTCGTGTCGTGCCGGCGCCGAGGGTCGTGCCGCGTCGGCGGAACTGTGCCGGCTCTCAGACACCCGTCTGGGAGCTGCAGAGCCGCCGTCTTTGTGGCGGGGTGTGGGCGTCCACAACGGCAGCTGTCAAGATCCAGCCTTGTGAGACACGAGTGAGGAGATGAGCACCACTGACTGCGTCACCAGCATCGGGGAAGACGAGGCCATGGCGGCCGGTCGGCTGGTGATCGAGTGTCAGCGGGTCGGACCCCACGAGCTGCACGTGACGTGGCGCCGCCAAAGCCTGTCCGAGGTGGCCGCGGCGCCGACCTCCGCCAGCGACGGCGGCGGTCAGGAGGGGCGTCCAGCGGGTGACCCCGGCGGTGGGGGCGGTCAGGACGGACGTCCGGCGCCTGACCCCGGCGGCGGCGGAGAGCAGGCCGCGGACGGCCGGAGCCTGACCCCGTCGGCGTCGCGCGCAGTGCCGACTGACCCGGACATCGACTCCCAGCGTCTCCGGTCCGCCACCGACCGGGACGGCGGCGGAGACGCTGGCGGGTCCGCCCCGGATGGCGGGGCGGGTGACGCCGCACCGGTCCGGCAGATCTCCACACTGGAGGTGTATGAGCCGGGCCCCGCCGGCCGCTGGGTGCAGCTGTACCGGGGCTTCGGACATGCTCACTGCCTGCGCCGACTGCAGGCTAACGCCCCCTACCGACTGCGAGTCAGCCGAGGCGGCGAGGCCAGCGAGGTGAGGTCACGGACGGAGCGCGGCTGTGCTTGGGGTGCCGATCGCAGTTTTCCGTAGTCTATGCGTGGTCTGTACTGTAGTGAGTTCGTGCTGATGAGGATGGATGGTCGGGGCTGATGAGAAATTTCAAGCGGTGTTGTTTTGCTGCTTTGCCAAGGAAGCGGATATTTGACTCCAGTTTTCAAGAATGCTGAACGTACAAATGACAACTTTCCTAAAAAAGCAGCAAACACACACCGAATTGTGCTCGCCTCACGTAAGGAAGTGGTTTTCACTCTCCAAGCAGGACACTGATCCACCGGCTGACCGGCCCCCGCCGTGAGCTCAGCCCCTGCCACGCCCAGGTGCACAGTTTCATGACGAGCGCGGCACCCGTCTCGGCGACCGAGCTCCACCGCGCCGTCCAGCTGGACCGGCGCGAGCGCGCCGCCGCCGTGCTGGCGCGCCGGCCCCGCGTCGTCGACGCGCTCAGCCCGTACGGCCTGACGGCGCTCATGGTGGCCGCTCGCGAGGGCTTCGCGCAGATGGCAGCACTGCTGCTGCGCTGCGGCGCCGACGTGAACGTGCGCAGCCACGGCGCCGCCAAGACGGCGCTTATGTTCGCCAGCTTTGCGGTGAGGCGGGGGGGGGGGGGAGGGGACCCGTCCTGCGTTGGATGGTGGGGCCCTTACACCTCAGTTGCCCGCGGCGCAGAACGGGCGGCACTCCTCTCAAAACGAGACGTTGTGTTATGATCGGCGTAGCTAGCATATCTTCACTGTGATGTCAGATGTCAGCTGATGTGTACTGGCCATCTATCGGCGGATTGCGGCTCGCAGTGACTGACTGCCTTAGGCTGGGTAAGGCGAACAGTCAGGGCGCAGTGAGGATTTCTTCGGGAGGGATCAGAGCTCGGCGAGGGTGCATCACGCCTATTTTAACTTTTTACCATGAGTCCTCTAAGTTAAAACACGAAAAATCTGGGCCTAGGGAAAGAGCCCAGGTATTCTGGTACCTTCTATCACAACGCCAGCTCAGTTTTCCACTGGGTCAGATGGCCACCAGTCACTAGCTGCTGTCCGGTTCCCATAGGGTCACCTGGCCATCACCGAGCAGCTGCTGTCCGGCTCCACAGGGTCACCTGGCCATCACCGAGCAGCTGCTGTCCGGCTCCACAGGGTCACCTGGCCATCGCCGAGCAGCTGCTGTCCGGCTTCCACAGGGTCACCTGGCCATCACCGAGCAGCTGCTGTCTGCCGGGGCGGACGTGCGAGCGGCGGACTCATCGGGGCGATCCGCGCTCCACCATGCGGCCGACGGCGGAAGCTGCGCGGTGCTGCGGCGCCTGGTGCAGGCGGGCAGCCCGCTGGAGCAAGCCGACTCGCAGGGCTGGACGGCCCTGATGCGCGCCGCTCTTCTCGGAGGTGACGCCGCCGCGCCGCACACGAGCCACGAGCTCAACGAGTCACGAGCTGCCGACGCCGCACCGCTGAAAAGTAACCCCAGTCGGGACGCTCGCATGGATTCTTTGGTCGGTGGTGTAGATTTGTTTGACCCTTTTGTTCTTGTGCGTTCAGTGTGCTCTCGGCGTCTTGTGAAGACTTGGCTTCTTTTTAGAACTGCATGTTTTTGCACGTTCTAGCCACGCTGGGTTAAAAATGGCTGACCGCTTCATGCCACAGCTTTTGAAACCTGGGCAACTCCGAGTGATGTGTTAGCATGCAAACATATATCAACCACGTATATATCGAACATGACGTTACCTTCGTAGCGATAACAAGAAAATGCATAAACAGGATTCACTCTCATCCGTCCGACCTGTTTTCAGCAGTTGCCAAGATCTGCATTCAGTTGCCAAGATCTGCATTCAGTTGCCAAGATCTGGACATTAGCTCAAACAAGCGCCGCGACATTGAGTCCGGTGTATATTGGTTTCAGTGGTCTCAGTGGTGACCTGTTGATATTGACATGCCGCATAGAGGGGGCGTTATGTCGGACCAGGCGCACCAGGCGTCGGGGCTCAGGCTGAGTCCCAACCTTAAATGGAACTACGCCGATGTGTATTGACGGTGTGCTCTTGGCCGTTCCGAATCTGAGCACCGACATTAGACGTCCATAAGACGGTCACCGAACAGTTATTTTTATTTCGGTCTATCCAGCCATTGGGGTGATCTACTTGGCCAAGAATGTCTCGCGGACTTCCCGGGGTCCCGAGGCTGATGGAGCCCTCTGGGAGGGCCTCGTCGGGGATCACGCCCGTCAGCCTGTCGCTCCCCCCCTCCCCCCCCCGCCGCCGTTGCACGAGTCCGACGCGCGTCCTGTCCACAGGCCCGGTGACCACCCTAATGGGGCTGGGCGCCCGCACGGACGGCGTCGACTCGCGGGGCCGCCAGCTGCGCCGCATGGGCACGTCTCCGCTGCGGACGGCCGACCTGATGGGCGTCTGGCGTCGGGGCGCGCGCATCCTGCAGAGCCACCCCTGGCGGTCTGGCCGGTCACTGCCCAAACAGAGCTGGTGACCCGCCCAGACGCTGCATGGACCCCCCTCTCCTCTCACCCGGCCACTGCCCAAGCAGAGCTGGTGACCCGCTCAGACGCTACACGGACCCCCCCCCCCTTCTCCCCGGCCGCTGTCCAAGCGAGCTGGTGACCCGCTCAGCCGCGACACGCCCCCCCCCCCCCTCCGGCCGCTGCCCAAGCAGAGCTGGTGACCCGCTCAGACGCTACACGGACCTCTCTTCTCTTCTCACCCGCCCATTGCCCAAGAAGAGCTGGTGACCCGCTCAGACGCCACGCGGACCCCGTCCTCCCGGGCAAGGGCGCGGTCAGAGGCATGGTAAGGAGGGAGGGGGGGGGGGGGCGCAGAGTTAACAAAAGCCCCTTCATGGTGAAAGGCCACCTTCTAAAAATCGTTGAATTCGCCCGCTTGATTTCGAGGGCACGATTAGATTCGTTGTATTTATATAAGTCACTTCCTTAATTGGGACCAAGGCCAGCGAAGCTACGGGAAGATGTAACTCTGCTTGTTATGTGGCGTGGTTTCAAACATGCGCGCTTGGAAACCTTAGCAACGGAATACCCGACGCCCTGCGTTGCAGTCTCCGCAGGCTGTGCACTGTCATCCCTGCATCTAAGTCCAGCTTACGGTCAACGGACGGATGAAGATGATGACGTATGTGAAAACAGTACCTTTAAATGTTTTATGACATCAATTTGCACGTTTGGTAGGCAGCTCTGGTGGATGATGCACCTGTGTGGTTTTTGGATCGATAATAGGAATGGATGAACATTCTTATAATCCTTGAGCGGTAGGAATTTTTATTTTAAAAGACTCTCGGAAGCATTATTTCACGACGGTCATTCCCACGCGCCCGGCGCCAACCGACTGGTCTGGTCTGTAGCGGCCAACGCTGTTCGGTTTTACGAACACTGCAATCGCGGTCAAAGCAATTGTTCTTGATTCTAAGTTTGCTAATGCGCAGGCTCTAAGCTTTCGATATGATTTTTTTCGCAAGTCGGTTTTCCAAAAAGAATGCACGTTTTCAGGCAAATATAGGCTGGCCTTTTCTTTATTTTTTCAGTCATTTCGATCCACTTTTTGTACACTTGTGAAACTCTACCTTTTCCCGACGATGGGCTACATGGGAAGAACACTAGGAGCGCATGATCATTCCCAGCCAAGGGCTGAAGGACAACTCCGTCCCAGCGAGGGTTGCTACCGGATGTCATTCCAGCGATGCAGGGCGGGGGCCCCACGTCTATCCGTAGGCCTTTAGCGGAATGCAGCGTGCACTGGTCCCTTTCTGAAGCGGGGTGCTCTCTGCCCTAGGCGGTTGGTCTTAGATCAATGCGGTAGTTCTCTTTGACGCAACAGGACCCCTAATCGCCACGGGTGGTCCAATAATTGGCACAGAAACTTCAGTTTGGCTTGGCAGGTCCCCAGCTGAAATGGGGCGGAGGGCCCCGTTCCGTGCCGGAGGCCCGGACTGACAGAGAACCCTTCCATCGTCTTAAAGAAGACTCTCATCATTAGACCTCATATCTCTCCTTGTCAGAGGCCCCAACCAACGCTAAAGGCGCTCTGGCATTCGGGGGCCAGGCCCTGTCCCTGTCCCTGTGCAGCGTATGTTTCAGAGGCCAACTCGGAGCCCCTTGCCGACACAGATCCCCTCACTGACACAGAGCCCCTGATGGGTGCAGGGGCCCCAAGCAAGGTCATTGGCAGGCACCTGCCTTTTTTGGAAATGGACCCCAGGACTCGGCCGACACGGAGCCGACTGTTCGATGAAGGTAATGTCTGACCTGACCTGTAGACTGACCTACGCTTTGCCACGCCTTACCAAATGTGTGAAGCGCAGACTGTTACCTCCGCGCTCAAAGCACGTGAGCGATGAAAACCTGCAGGCCTTGCCTGTTTGTTTAAACATACGTTGACGCGCGGACCAGTGACCGAACTACCCGCATGGATCATAACCCGCGTCCCGGCGGTGCGCACGGCGGCAGGACAGCGGTTCTTTGCACACTGAGCGGCGTCTCACATGAATGAGTTGCCATTGGATGTTAGACGGCTGGATTTCACATGTTTTAAGCGCGCTGCCAAGTCCTTTCTTAAGCAATAGGGTTGCCGTGTATTGTTTGTGCGCGCATGCGTTTATTTGTCGTTTACCCCTTACCACTTCCCTTTGTTTTTTACATACTGATTTATATTTCAGAGTAATGGCACATGATAGTCATGTATGTATGTGGAATGTCAGCTGACGTCAAATACAATAATTATGGCCAACATAGAGGCTCTCATCGACTGTGGGGACCTCCATCGGTGCAAAGGGACTGGCATTTGAGGACCCGAACCGCAAAGCCGGGACCCATAATGCCAGCCTTTTGGGCCCTTAATCGTCGAGCTCGAAGGGCCCTCCGGGCCTCTCGGCACCTAAGAGAGGTGGCACGTACCCCATGCGCCCCTGCGTGCGCCACTGCCCCCGGGTCGCGTGTCTAAGCGCCGCAGAAATACGACCGGTCACATTCTGCAAACACTCGGAGACCTGGCGACATGAATGTGACCTGTTTGTTACCTGTGTGTGTGACCTGTGTGAATGGTCACATCCTGCGGACGCCCGGAGACTTGGCGTAATACTGACAAACAGTTCTGCTGGCCCGGCCATACGCACATGCATACGGCAAGGACATGCCGCTCCCGGTCCTGGGTATTTGCTCAGAAGATTATCACAAGAGTGCGAACATCAGTCTGACTGGCGCCTCTTGGGCCGATGAAGTGTTGGCACGCGCGGAATGTGAGGTGTGGATTCGAGTGACCTGAGCGCTCCGTTTCGTGCGCCGACATGCTGACGTACTCGGACCACACCAAGCTAGCCGGCCTGCCTCCCGGCCTCGCCAAGCTTGCCGGGCCTGCCTCCCTGCCTCGCCAAGCTTGCCGGGCCTGCCTCCCGGCCTCGCCAAGCTTGCCGGGCCTGCCTCCCGGCCTCGCCAAGCTTGCCGGGCCTGCCTCCCTGCCTCGCCAAGCTTGCCGGGCCTGCCCTCCTGCCTCGCCAAGCTTGCCGGGCCTGCCTCCCTGCCTCGCCAAGCTTGCCGGGCCTGCCTCCCGGCCTCGCCAAGCTTGCCGGGCCTGCCTCCCTGCCTCGCCAAGCTTGCCAGGCCTGCCCCCCTGCCTCGCCAAGCTTACCGGACCTGCCTCCCTGCCTCGCCAAACTTGCCGGGCCTGCCTCCCTGCCTCGCCAAGCTTGCCAGGCCTGCCTCCCTGCCTCGCCAAGCTTGCCGGGCCTGCCCTCCTGCCTCGCCAAGCTTGCCAGGCCTGCCTCCCTGCCTCGCCAAGCTTGCCAGGCCTGCCTCCCTGCCTCACCAAGCTTTCCGGGCCTTCGTTCTGGCCTCGCAGTCAGGCTCAAGCACCCCGAGTTCCTTCAACGGAGGACAGTCCAGTACGCCTCAGGGAAGCTCCCGCGGACTCCGAAACGCGCTGCACTTCGTAGGCTCACGTGCAGCCAAGTGTCAGGTGTTTATGGGCGAAGGCATCCAGCTTGGCAAATACATAACAGTCAAATTCACTACGAGTATGTGCAGTGTTCGTGCTCTGCCAAGGTCCAAGCTGCGATGATATCGCGAACGACCAGTGCTCGCAGCGCTACGTTTCGTCCGCCCTCTCGCCGAGCCGCCGCTGAACCGGCCGGCCAGGGCGAGCTGGCGCCGGACGGGCCGGAAGTGATGGGCGTGCTGGCTGACTCCTCACCGGCTGCCCGAGGCGGCTTAACGGCGACGACTGCCAGTGAGGTCTCGGAGTCGGTGCGCGTCAGTCAGTGTCGGTGGGTGTCGATGGGTGTCAGAGGCTATCGGTGGGTGTAAGTCAGTGTCGATGGGGTATCATCCAGAGTCGGTGTGGTGTCAGTCAGTGTCGATGGATGTCAGAGGCTATCGGTGGGTGTCAGTCAGTGTCGGTGGGTGTCAGTCAGTGACGGTGGCTGTCGATAGGTGTCGGAGGCTATTGGTGGGGTGTCAGTCGGTGTCGGTGAGGTGTCAGTCAGTGTCGGTGGGGTGAAAGTCAGTGCCTGTGAGATGTAAGTCAGCGCCGGCTGCCCTCTTGCGTAAGCGTCTCTGCCGGGAAGGGGAGGAGGCGTCGATGCCTCTTCCGCTCCTTCACCTGGGGATGAAACCCACAAAGTCCGAGGACTCCTGCGGAATCCGAGGAAAGAAGTGATAGGTTATTATATATTTATTAACGCCCCCACGTGCGTGTTACCCCTCCCCCACCCGAACTTGTTGCGTCCTCGGCCAGAAATGGTGGTGGTGCGACGTGGCGCGCCCTGTGACGAGCCGAGCGGCCGCGCACTACCGCACTCTCCGGCGGCGGGGCTGAGCCGCACGGTCATCCGGTGTCCGCCGCACGGTCGTCCGGTGTTAGCACAGCGATCGTCCGGTGCTAGCCGCACAACTGTCCAGCCGTTCATCCCTCGTGGCGTTCGTCCCCCCGGTCCGCGTGACGTTCGCTTTCATGCGCGGCTCGCGTTCCCACTGATATCCGTTGCTGGGCGGCACCTGGAGCATGCGCGTGATGGCCTGGTCCGGGTACAGGGCTGAGAGCAGTCCGCACTTGGCGCTTGGAAGTGGAAGCCGAGGCGCGCGACGACGCCCGCTGACAGTGGAGTGCGTACAGCCGGACATCGGCTGCGGCGACGGCGGCGGCGCGCACCAGCTCCGAGCCTGGCGCCGGCGCTGCGCTCGTGCAGTGCTGGTTTTCGACGGCTGGAATCTGGTGGCTGGGCTGCTTACCGCATGAGGTCTCACTGCTTCCATTACCGCCGCCGCTGCCGCCGCCGCCGCCGCCGCCGCCGCTGCTGCTGCTGCTGATCAAGAGCCCGCGGCGGTACAGTGCGACGGCGGCCAGCGCCAGCACCGTCAGCAGGCAGACCGTCCTCACCGCCGCCGTGTCAGCGCCGGAAGCGGGCACCGCCGGCGGAGTGGGCGGCTCAGCAGCGGAGGATCGCTCCGGCCGGCGGAGGGACGCGCGGCC